GAATACAAGCTTGTGCAGAAACTTCGACAGACTCCTCGAGTTTGCTCCTTCGTTTTCGAAGTTGTTGGAAAGCGATCTCAATCAACCAGTCACGAAGTTGAACCTGGATCTCATGTGCGCTTGAAGTTGGGAGACAAGGGTGACCTGATCCGAGCATACTCCGTTGTTGGTGGCACCCGGGACCGCTTCGAGCTGGGCGTGGCTCTTGCAGACGAGTCCCGTGGAGGATCTCTATATCTGCATAAAATTGCCAAAGTGGGAGACGTATTCTCAGTCGGGAAAATTACCACCAGCTTTCCGCTTGCGTCAGAGGCGGACGAACATATCTTGATCGCCGGTGGAATCGGGATCACAGCCTTCCTTCCCGGTGCGGAAAAAATGAAGGAATTGGGAGAGAATTTCAGGTTGCATCTGGCCGTCCGCTCTACCCATGATTTACCCTTCAGGGAGAGACTATCGAGGCTAGGCAAGAGCCTCGTAATCTATGACAAAGAAAAGGGACGGCGCCTAGACCTCGCCCGTATCATGTCCAAAGTGACCACCAATACACATGTGTATTGCTGCGGGTCTCCCAGGTTGATGGACGACGTTGCTGCAACCGCGAAGCGATACGGGCTTTCAGAAAATCAGGTCCACTTTGAGGCTTTCGGGATCACGACCACAGGCGATCCTTTCACCGCGGAGCTGCTGAAGAGCCAAAAGACAATTCATGTGCCGGCATCACGGAGCCTTCTGGAGGCGTTGAGGGAGGCGGGCATCGATGTACCGTCGTCGTGTGAAGCTGGAAGCTGTGGCACTTGTCGTGTTCAAGTTGCAAAGGGACGCATTGACCATCGTGGAACCGGCTTGTTGGAATCGGATAAAGCCTCAACAATGCTAGCCTGCTCTTCTAGAGGCATTGGACATATAGAACTAGAGCTTTAACAGTAGGTAGCAATTCACGGACTACTACTGACCACAGACACTCGACAGATATCCCTAAGACAAATTGATTCTAGGCAGATACCGCTTCCAATACACTTCAAATAAGTCTTTCGGGAGGGACGACAATATGGAGAAGAGATATCGAGGAAGTGGGGCGATAAAGGGGGCATAGATAGCAGGCTCCGCCAGGCCAAATACACAACAATATCTCCATAGTGAAGTGCACTTATCTGTCACGCGACTGAATGCTGGCCATTTTTTAGGTTTTGTGTGCTGTGTATGATACAAATAGTTGTGTTGCCACCTATTAAGAGTCTAGAAAATAACAGCTCCGTTTGAGTAATTGTTGGTATATCTCTATCCTGGAACCAAATCTTGCCGTCAATTCCCGGCCAGTACGTCCCCCTCACGCTCAGAGGCCTTGAATCAACGCAAACTGGGACTCACCTTGGTCATTCCCACATCACCAACGTTCAATTGAACGAAAGGGAGAAAAAAAAGAAAATGGGCAGCATCCAGGAGTCGCTCCTCGGGGAAACCCTTCTCCAGACAGCGAAGAGGCTTGAGGCAACAGATTTCACAGAAGTTCCCGTCATTGACCTGGCCGGTCTTTCCAGTGGTGAAATCACCGACCGCATCGCTGTGGCGCGAGAAGTCCGTGATGCTTGTATTCGCGTCGGCTTTTTCTACATCAAGAATCATGGTGTGCCTCAGACGGTGATTGATCGCGCGTTTGAGGTGTCGAAGAAATTCTTCGCCTTGCCGGCGGAGGATAAGATGGAGGTATATGTGAGCAAGAACGAGAGCTTCAAGGGGTATGAAGACATTCATTATGGAGCGGTGGATCCGCAGACAAAAGGGGGTGAGGCTTTTCTCTTTCTTCCTTCCCCCTTTCTTCCCAATACTTGTTGTGCACGGCTTGAGTATTTCCTGCCGTCCTTTTTCCCGAGAATATTCAGCCACCATGTGATCCCATCCAATCATTGACTGACAATCATGCGTGCAGATATGAAGGAAGCCTTCAACTTCGGCTATGAGCCCGCAGCCGACTTCCAGACTCCCCTCTCCGAGCCATGGCCATTGTATGAGGGCCTAAAGGGTCCCAATGTCTGGCCTCGAAGCTTCTCTGAGGAATGGAAACGAGACTTGTTTGCCTACTACGGCGAAGTGTTGAATCTGGGTCGACGGATGATCCGAGTCTTTGCCCTTGTGCTCGACCTCCCCGAAGATTATTTTGATGGTCTCCTGACTCGGCCGGGTGCCATCATGCGGCTGCTCAGATATCCTGCTTCAATACTCGACCCTGACCATCCCGGGATCGGGGCACACAGGGATTATGAATGTAGGTATTGGAGCGGCGGAGATACATTTACTACCTGCCCCCTGCTACCAACCAACACTAACTCTTGTGGCCTGTTGCAGGCTTTACGATTCTCTGTCAAGACCAGACCAACGGTCTACAGGTGCAGACCAAGAAAGGTGAATGGATCGAAGTGACTCCAATCCCTGGCACGTTTGTGGTAAACATTGGCGATTTTCTCTCTCGCTGGACCAATGATGTCTTTCGCTCAACCTTGCACCGAGTCTACAATGTTTCTGGCCGCGAGCGTTACTCTTTCCCGCTGTTCATCGGACCAAACTACACCACGAAGATCCAGGCCATTCATACCTGTGTCAATGAAGACCGGCCTGCGAAGCACGAGCCTTTTGTCGCTGGCGAGGTAAGCTATATACCTTACTGAACCATACTGGCCCCCCACCGCGTGAAGAGAAGCTCTCTGCTTGTAAAACTCAGATCCTGGAGCAACCAATACTCAGAGTTACTGACATGTTCTTTTTCAAAATCTCCTCTAGTACATTGCCAACAGGCTCTACGGTGCGAAACGAAAGCATCTTCCCATTCCCCTCGAGAGTTCCGCGTGAGAGACCATCTACTGTGTGACACCTTCGGGAGGAAAGGGGAGGCCCGGATGTGTTGAACAATTAATTGAGCCCTTGACACCTTGGCTGGGGTTATCTCTGAAGTGTGGTCCAGTTGATCTGCATGTGGATTTTGATACAATGTAGCTTTTCGGCGCAATTAACTTACAAGACGTCCTTGTAACCGCTTGTCTCCAGGCTCCAAGTGGCCATAGTACTCTCTTTTTCTGTTGTTGTAATTACAGGCGCGGGCAGGAGCTCTGAGGCACTGGGTGTGCAGCAAGGTGTTCCATCTCCTCAAAGGGGCCAATATTCGAGGCTTCCGTCGAGATTCCAGCGGTGCCCATTGAGGCTCCCATCCCAGGATCGATTTCAGGTCCCTTCTCATTATACGAGGCTGCAATGGCCAGATGCATTCAGCATCCGCCTGTCAGGACAGTTCGGTTTCGTGCCTTCAAGTGCTCCTGACGAACATTCGGAACATTGCCGAGGGGTCAGGAAAAACTTATATGGGCTCGATATTGGGACTCTTCCCTCCCTTCTCAATTCAGGGCATGTGGCATATGATCACGGGCAGCCGACTCAAGTATGCACACGTCGTCATCCAACAGCCCTGCAATCAGTGCCGCTCCTTGGTTCAACTCTCTTCAAGAAGGTGCTGAGTCTTGGTTCCTTGGTTGTGATATGTGGCAAGGAGAGAGTGGACTTACGTACCAGATTGTATACTAGGAGTGGCTTATAGACACCGTAAAGCTTGATGAGAAGCTGTTGCGCACGGCAAGCTTTTGTGCCCCGTGTTCCAATGCCAAAATACTCCAGTCTGACTGAACATGCTCGAAATACGGGTAGTGAGGCTCCAATGCAACAGCTCAAAGTGCCATTTTACGATATCACGGACCATATTTCATGGGAGTAAAAGACTCAGCGAGCAACAAATTCACGGAGAGTCGCTATTATCAATGTATGTCTCTGCTTAGCGCGGGTAGAATGACACTCCTTCACTCTTCACAATAGTCGAATTCATATATAAGCCGATGCACTCTCTCGTGGACGCTGATGTACCTTTCGTAATCTTCGGGTATTTCCTGTCCTTCCCAAGCTCTTAGCTTCTCCCAGAGAATATTCACCCGTTAAACCCCAATTCCCGCAGTGTTGAGCGCACGGTAGAACCCTTTCAATCGATGGTCTCCCAAAGAATTTCTGACCTATTCTCAGTCTAGCGGCGGCAATCTTGTCATCTGTCTCGCCATTAACTAGATACGACCCCTTTGCGACAGTCGGGATCAGTTCTTCCCACCCTGGACCTTCAGCATCCCATTTGGCTCCCTTTTCAAGGGAGCATTTGATTCCATGCAGATTCAATATGACCACTGCGCGTTGGATGGTATTTCCGAAAAGGGACTCCGGCATGCAGATCCACGTTTGTAACGAGCAGTAATGAACAATAATCGTCGTAGTGCATAGCAATTGCTGTTTGATAGGCAGGAAGGCTGAATGAATCCAACGTTTCGGGAAGTAACGATACCAACGAGTTCCGCAACCTCGAACCCTCCGTACCGGGCGTGCTCACGTTAGGTACAAGATCACGGCCGCGATCAGCTGCGAGAATTTTCCTACTCACAACGTGGAACGACCTCCTTCGTACGCAACGTCTCAAAAGTTTCGGGCATGTTCCAGCTATACACGCATGGATGGCGTTGTGGAACAACTCGTCTTCGATGAAAGTGTCCGCTCCCAGTGAAAGTATGGTCTTTGCCCCTGGCTCCCGGTGTTTTTCTTCTGATAGCGAACATGCCCGACTCAGGACTGTAACTTTCCTGCCTCATCTACCAGTGATTGTAGTCATTAGAAGTTCTGGCGCCTTTGGAACATAAATTCCAACACTTCCAACATCCCCTCGGACAATGCAAGGTCTATCGGTAGACGTGCAGAGGATAAAAGGGATGCCAGGCGAGTCGAAAGCAGGGATCTACAAGTTGCTTGAGTGCCGTCGTTTTGTCAAGAGCAAACTCTCGCATTGGGAAGCCTTTTATCCTCATATGCTGCGATGTCAAATATTCGAAGAGTGAAAAGTGGACGAAAGAAACCCAGTCTTCCTCGACTATGTTGAGCAGTCCTGGTAGAAGTTTCAAGAGGTCCTTAGATCTGAAAATCAATCACGCATAGGGATCTCGGACCCTGAGAGGCCGTTTTCCATGTCGTGTCATCATCGAGGGCATCCAGAGAGCGGAAATCAACGGGATAAAGTCAGCAAGATCCTCGAACATCCATGTCAGGATTCGAATAGCTAGCAGCCTCTTCTTTTCGTTTATACACCGTAGCATCAGGTCATAAGTTTCGTGTAGTCCATAAAGAAGCTCTTCGAGGACCATGTCGATGTCCATGACTGTGATTGGATAGTAGTCCCGCATATTCTGAAATTGTAGTATGGCGTAGAGAAACCTGTGGAAGACCATCGAGTAAGCGCCTACGAATTGAAATTCCCGTTTTAGGAAAGATGGCGAGAGGTACATGCCATCCGACTTCTCAGAGAGACGTTTCTTGGCTTTCTCTTTCGTACTTTGACAAACGCTTCCACACGCAGGGGAACGTAGTTCATCTTCGATGCAGTAACTGATGGATGATTCCATCTGCTCCTTTCGCTCATGTTCTACATCAAAATTTCCATCGAGGGAGTTGTTGGGCTTTCCATTGGAGACCTTCCTGAATATCACGATTAGGCCGGCTTGAAATGAATAGATGAAGACAGTCAAGCCGCCAACGTCGAATATCGCCAACGAGAGTCAGAAGTTCTTCTCTGGGTCGATAATCGAGGACCGATCGGAGGGAGGCTGTATCAGCAGGATTCGGGCATTTGTCAACTCCATTAATAAAGATGTAACATCTGCTAAAGCGACTTGCCACCACCTGCAGAGAATTTTGTGAGTTGCTCCTGTGTTGGGGTGTTTCCTGACTCGAAAACAGAGGTATCTTCCGACGGGTGGGGAGGCACGTCACACATTTGCAGAGCGGCGACCTGGTAATCCTCAGCTTTTCCTCCTGAATGAGCTGCCAGGCGTGCCAGCAGTGACAAAAGGGCGCTTGTCAGCACATTACCAATGTCAACTCTGGCGGCAGCCCGGGCTGCGGACGGTACCCCTGTCAGCTTGCCCGATGGAAGGCGTGTTCGAGGCCAATTCTTCGGACAATCATCGTTCAGCGAGCTCGCCATTGTGGATGTTAGATCGGTGGTCAAGTTCGCCGGTGCCGAAAACGACTTGTCATTCCTCGCGCGTCTCGGATGTGGGTACATGACAGGTGCTGGAACCATCTTCAACGTCCTTCGTCCACCTGCTACCAGTGCCTTGGTGGTGCTTGGGCTCGGTGCAGTGGGCCTGGCAGCTGTAATGGCGGCTAAGTGTGAGGTGGTCGGTCCCAGACATCATTGCCTGGGACATTGTTAACTCAAAGCTCGAGCTGGCCCGATCCCTTGGGGTCAGGCACGTCATCAATTCGCAGCAGGGTGACATCGCCAAAAGCACTTGTACGAGATACCCTGATGGTGTTGGCTATATTGTTGACACCACCGGGTCCACGTCTCTGATCACCAGTGGGATCAAGGCACCTGGCCATTCCGGGACCCTGGCAGTGGTTGGGGTTTCGGCGCCTGGGACGAGAACTGAGATTGACCCAGTTGATCTGTTGATATCGTGCAAGCGGGCGATCGGGGTCATTCTGGGCTCTGCGGATCTTCAACAGGTATGTTGGCAGGAGCCCCGGCGGTGAGATATGGAGAGGCTGACTAGGCGGACCCAACACATAGCTATTGCCGCGACTTGTGAAGCTGGTGCGACCGGATGAATTCCCTGTCCGACGCTTGTCCAAGGTCTACGCAGCCCAAGACATCGATCAGGCTGTTGCCGACATGGAAGAAGGACTGGTGAGTCATAGCGCGTGGGCCGACCATTTGTTTAGGCGAGTCTAAGCAGCAGTGTCCAGACTGTCAAACCGGTGCTAGCGTGGTAGTGCCAGATGGGAGCGGTGGAACGAGAACGAATGTATCCTCGACAAGTGCCGACATGTGCTTGTCTATCAAGCACCTTGATGAGTCCACAACATGGGATGATATAGCCAATTCCGCTCATTAAAGCCCAATCTGTGCATCTAACAACACGTCCTTACGTATCTCTTTCCGCGGAGCCAGTGTTCGACGTCGATTCAGCCGCCTCCTGCCGCTCACCTCTCTGCGAATTCTGCACCGTCGTGTCGGGGGATTGCCGCTGGTATTGCATGGTTGTTCGCTTGGGGTATGCTTGCTGCCCAGCAGGGCGACCGATGATCTTGCCAGGCTGAGTTTCGCGGCGCGAGTAATGCTCTTCAATTTCATCCTGCATGCCCCGGGTGGCAGCACTGGTGATACAGCAACGGCACATCCAGCTTAAGGGAAAGCCGCCCTCATTCACGTAGTGGGAGGCTGTGTAACTGTGTGTCTGCCTCATGGTGAGGGGAAGATCGAGGGATCAAGGAGGATGGCGGGTGAGTTTTGGACAATTGACTGGGAGTCAGGTTATTTAACGCACGAGAAAGACTGGACGGGGCAGTGTTAATTAATATACAGGCGGACGGTCGCGGCCACGCGGCCTAGTGATAAACCCGACCCGTGCCACGTGTCACCTTAGCTCCCGTGCTAGGGGAGAAATACGTTGATAGCGAAGGACTTAGCACACCTCGGTATCAAGTATACTCTCGTGCCCAGCTCGGCCTCCTCGATCGTAAGAGACGGCCTAGAAAGTAGGCAGATCAAGTAAATAGAAGGAGGTAGCTTAATGTATTAGGTGCACGGGAGAAGAGTACGTCTCTCATGCGAGTCACATGCTACCTACAGTACAGAGAGGGTTTGACCCTTGAGTCTGTTCTCGGTTAACTGTGAGTGGTATAGCTTCTATCTGTGGCCCTCTGTCATTGTCACGTTCCCGGTTAAAGCGGCCTCGCTCCCTATCCTGAACGAAAATAGAAAAGGATAAAGATATATATATGTACATATAGTTATATATCGATTGAGAGAAGTATTCCTTACCGTTCATCCTTCTCGTAGAAAGGCAACTCAATTAAAAATCCAAATCAAAAACTCAAAGAAAAAGAAAAAGAAAAGGCCATCGAAACAAATGCCTCTCTACGACGTCGAACACGTCGTCGCCCTCACGCCGGACCAACAGGAGGCGCTCGCCAAGGCGTTCACGGAGCTGCACTCGATGCGCTTCAAGACGCCGCGCTTCTTCCTCAACGTCCGCTACACCGACTCCAGCAGGCAGGTGGTCTTCCGCAATGGCAGGCGGGCGGTCTACAACCGTGTCATCCTGCGGACGCGGGCCGGCGAGCTGCGGTCCAAAGAACTGTACGACGAGCACTGTCGGGATATCATCAAGATCTGGGAGGACATTGTGGGGAAGGAAGGGGAGCTGGGGTTGAGGACCGTGTGGGTGATGGGGGCCTTGACCACTGCCGTCGAGTGCGGCATCGCCAGGCCAAAAGTGAGTCGAAAGTCGAAAAGCTGTCCAGCTTGTTCTCTGGCCATGCTCATGTTAATCTGTGAATCCAGGTGGGCGAGGAAGACGAGTGGCTCAAAGCACACATGGACGAATTTCGAAACCTGGCAGCAGCAGGCGATGAGGACTTCAAGGAATTGGTCCAGGAACTCGACTCAAGAGGTCAATAATCCTCCATATAAAGGTATTGTCAATCCTCAACCTCCACGAACGAGGCCCCATTCATGCCCCATGTATGTTTCTCGTCCTACATGTTCATCCCTCTCATCCTTCGCCTCTGTCTCCTCTTCCCTGCCTCTTCCAGATCAGCCTTTCTTCAACTCAGCAACGGTGACGAAAATCCCATTCACAATGAATCGAAAGAAGGCTCGGCCTGCCAAGCTCAGTTATCGTGTTCTTTGTTCCTCGGCGGGAGAAAAAAGCAAGTAGAAGTAAATGTGTTGGTGGCCTTGCTGGTGGGTTGCATATTGTTGCTCTGAGCTGATGTAACACCTTTGCTTTTTCTTGTCGTCGCATCATGTCGTCGTACAAACATGGAACATCACAATGATGAATCTGTGAAATAACATTCACCGAACGAAATATCAATAACTCCTTCCGTACATGAAGCCACCCAACGGCCCTTGATGAGGTTGTGGTGGTCGAGCAGCCGCAGGGCTTGTAGATGTCATCGGATGGCGATGAAACATATTAACCAGCTTCCGGCCGACGATAGGTTCAATTTCCGTACCGTCTCGGGCAATTTTCACTTCACGGTTGGCATTCAGAGAGTTTCGAAGGCCTCTGGTCCGGTAGAATGGTAGACGATCGGTCGACATCCACTTAATCTTAAAAGGCTTCCCGAAAGTTTGTGGTGTCGCAGGACTGGTCGATTCGTAACCTTCTCCAGACACGTTGCCAGCGTCATCGTCTGTATGTTGTTCTTCTTTTTCTTTGCTCCCTGTGTCTGCCTCCCAGAAGATTGTACCTCGAGCCGAGTCGTCAATGATTCGTCCCTTCGGTGCGGTCGCCGTCGCCGGGGTTGGTATGGTCAAAGGAAGATCTGCAGGACTAGGCTCTCGCGCCTCCGGTCGTGGTTGGTATTCGATATTCGCAGCCACCTCGTCGTCGATCGCCGACTCCATTCGAGCGTAACCGAAGTACTCGCCAGACTTGTTTGCCGAGAAGACGAGGTAAACATTCTCTGAAGTCTGACATCTGTCAGCGGCCCAGCGAATTCAGCCACGGATTGCATACTTACTCGATAGGCACTGTTCAACACAGCCTCATTATGGGCCTGTGTTGCCCATAATCCGCTGACGACGCTGCGTTCCAAGTCCTCGACGGTCAAACTTTTCACCACGAAGAACCTCTCCTTTACCTTCTCCGTAGGTTCGGGTTCCGCTGTTATTGTCCCGTCCACTATCGTGGTTTCTTTTACCGCTCCATCGACGTCCGTCACTCCTTCAGCGGACGTCGTTGGTTGTTGGGTCACACCTGGCGATGATGTTGCCGTCGAAGAACTTCCACGTCGCAGTCGGCACACCAGTCGCACTCCTTGAAATCTAGAGTCGTGGAACCGAGCCATGGCAGCCGCGCAGCTAGCCTCGGTCTTATAGTTGACAAAAGCACAGTTGCTCTTCGAGATCAGAAAAACGCTCTCTATGTCGTCCGTCGCATCCCTAGCAAAATGATCTTTGAGGTCAATTATATGTGTCGCAGGCGGCAAATTGCCGACCCAAAGAGCATGTCCAGATTGCCTTGGTTTCCTAGGTGGGCCTCTGAGCACGGATGTTTGCAGAGATGAATTTGAGCTGGATCTCCTCACTGCTGAGCGAATCGAAAGGGTTAGTCACTTACAGAGCCTGCAAAACCCCTGAGATTTTCCATACCTTGAGAACTTGAGCGTGAATACATGCTCGGTGTCTGACTTTGGGCAAGGCTGTTGTCGAGCCGCAGTTGTGGCAGCGGATAGGCGGTTGCCAGTCTAGAGACATAGGGCGCAACATAGGCCGTGGTCCCATGGGCCTGTGAATACTGTGCATGTTGATGAGGCTGGGCTGCCGCGCCGGGATTGTGTATCATTGGCTGCTGTACCACGAACGCTGGGTTTGGGTACGGCTGAGGGCCTCCTGGGCCCCCTGGGTTGCCGACAAACTGAGGATAAGCTGCCCCCTGCGGCTGCTGTCGCGATGGCGGGCCTTGTCCATATTGCGACGGGTACTGCTGAGCAAACGAGGGGTTGGTGTGAGGACCAGTCTGACCTGCAAACTGCGCGCCCTGGTGGTACTGATACATCATCGACGGGTTGGTGGAGCCGGAATGCTGGTAAGGTTGAGTATACGGTGGTTGTTGGAACTGGCGCATCGGGTACTCTGGCAACGCCGCCGCGACGCTCGACATGTCGAGCGCTGCCGTGGTTGCAAAATTCCCGATGGCAAACTGTTGTCGAGGATATGGTTCAAACTCCATGTTCGCAGGTTGTCCCGGAGAGGGATTTGGAACAGACAGAGATGTTTGTGGAGGCCCTTCTGCAAAAATTAGTTCCGTACACCATCACATTAGGTAGTAATTGACCTCTTGATAGATGCTCGTCGTTGTCACGTAATCTGAGATTGTGTCGAAGGGGAGGCTCGTCGCCCATCCCGAAGTCCTCAAATATAATCGGAAGTGTATAGTAGTGCTGTACCCAAAAGACAGCCATCGGTCAGTCCATGTTGCCCAGATGGTGAGACACAACAGATTAAGCGCCAAAAGAGAGTACCTCAAATAGGTATACCTAAGCTAGAAGTGAAGTCGATCTTGTGCGAACTCAGCAGGAGGCTGAGCACGGATCAGGAGGGTTCCGAATGATCTCGTTCGTTGTTAAGAGGGATTCTGTTGAGAGTTCCTTTGACTCGCCCGTCTGCTCGAGAAAGGAAATGAAACAGCCAGCTCAGCGCCAAATTTGGAAATGAACGTGCTTGACAAGGGTTCAAGGGGATGTTTCACAGGGCTAGACAGAGAAGCAGTCAGAACTATTGGTCTGGGAGGTGGTTGGCAAAAGATGAGCTTTGGTGAGAAGGGGATTCATATCCAACCGTGTCTCATATCTGGCCTGAGCGGCGTGGATGTTAATGACTGGGGGGCCATAGAGACGCACCTTCTACTCCAAGCCTTTGGCACACAGCAAGTAAAATTCAACTACGGCGTCGGGGTCCACTGAAGGCTGGTGGCTAATAGAACAGGCCACGGAATGATTGGGAATAGCGGGGATAGAGCCCTGGTCGAGGGCGTAGATGATCAGGACTGAAAAAAGAACGCTCAATGGTGTCGCGATATCCGAGACTGAGAGGATGCCGAGGATCGATGGTTCTTTCACCAGGAGGATACTCCTAGGAGCTTTTACCCGGCAGCGAAACCACAGGGCGCGCATTCGCTGGCTCGTCAACGGTGGGCGGAACGGTCGAGATCGAGAGCATGTATTGGCTCGGATCAGACATGCGGTACTGGGTTCCAGTAGGTAAAGGGTGGATATAGGACGAGACGGCGGTAACGCGCGACAAGCAGCCCTGGCGGAAGGGCACCTGCTCTGAACCCAGGGAAGCAGCCTAGAGTTGGACCAAGAGTGGCTGAAGAATGTCCTTTCCCTGAACTATTGCGCGGAAGCCGTACCGTAGCTGGGGTTTGTGGAAAGAACACCACAACGAAAGGGCTCCGACCTCTGAGGTCCGCAGGGCTGGATACGGAGTCCTTCGTACCGTTAGGTTAGCCATGGCATGTGGATCAGTGGGTAGGTTGTCGACCTGTGAGGATTTTTCTGCTGGTTCTTTCTGGAAGCTTGGGCCGCCGTTACTTTGGACGATCCAAAAGGAGTTTTCCGTCTACCTGGTTCGTATTCCTCGACTGGACCATGGCACTGGCAGGCGCAAAGGGAGCTCGAAAGAACAGACTGGAAAAATAATACTAGTTGGTACCCAGGAATCCGCAAAGGGGATCCGCTGAGCCACGAACGCCCCTGGTTCGAAGTGTGGCAACGTTCCACAGGGGTGGTCGAGGCGGAAGATGAATGCCTCGTGGCCTAATTCGCTCGATAGGTGAGCCACCTGTCCCTCGCTTATTGCAATAGGGTCAGACCCCCGGGTACAGTCCCACTTGGTAGTGTGAGGCCTGTTTGCAGTAGTGATTGCGTGCCCATCAGAACGGGGCGACGCCAGACGGAAAAGCAGCGGTCCTGCATGTCTAGGACAGATAGGAGGTTCCAGCCGAAGGTCAGTGCCGGGTACCGTCAGCAGCTGCAGTTTTGCGCTGCCACTTTCAGCCCACAGTCGGGTGGTGCTGGTATCTGTCGAGGTTGCGGAGGTTGGGGGCTTCGGTTGGCGCATGAAAATCCTTGGACTGAGCTCTCTACTCCGTAGGATGTTCTGGACCGCCAAAGGAGAGGCAAGCCACATTTGCAACGGGTGCGAGTCTCTGCTCCACTGCTCGGCTTCTGCGGCGATCTGGATCCTCGAAACTGCCACGCTCTGTTTGACACCCCAATGGTACGAAACGTCATAGCAACGCTTTTGGTTATCGAAGCTGCACCACATATGTGCCAAAGCAAAGCTTATCTTACTCCTCTTTCCATTCACCGCAAAACCTAATGTGAGAAACTGCTGCCTCGGTGCAGATCACACCTGGGACTCCTCTGACGCTCACGCGATCGGCTACGAAGTAGGCCCTCCATTACTGTGGGACAAGCCCCCCGCCGTTGACGGAGGAAAAACCTTCACATATCCCTGGGTGCAGAAAACAGCGGGCGTTATACTGGCGGTGACATATCACGGTGGGTAAGCTGAGCACCGCTCTCAGGGATATCCCCCATAACGTCTGGACATGATAGAAACTTTTTTCCCGAATCGTCTCGTCAGTTTGTCCCAAGCCGTAGGATGACGGAAGGATAGCATCATTTCCAGACGATCGCATGCACGGCAAGTTCTGCAGCTATTGTTAGAATGATGCAGGAACGGTCGGAAAAATGATCGTCGTCTTGCGCAGAGCACCCAGTGTCAATCGCAATTTGCTTCTGGCCCAAGTTCGTGGCATGATGGGTGCATGGCACTGCTGAGCCCAGGTTGGGTGGCGACACGACGTCTCTCCGACAGATGTCGATCATGTGGCGGGAACGGCACTACTGACGAACTTGTCTTGGGTCATAAGAAGAAGATCCGAGGATACGTTCTAGTGAGTGGCTGGACCCCTTGTTTGTGGCTGAGCAGTTTCGTTCTCCAGGATTCCGGAACAAAAATATGGAGAACAAGAAGAGAAGATGCGATTGTTTAGCAATTCCCATCTGCTCGAGTTACTAGAAAAGGTATAGCGGGCTCCGGAGCGGAAAATCTATTTCGCAGCGTTGGGACTTGCGTCATGGCCTTGGCACTGCAAGCGTCTTGTTCCAACCTCATTTTCTTCATCGCCCGCTTCATCAGGGACTATCACTTCCACTTCTTGGGTTCGGCACGCTGATCGCTACAACAGTCAAGCAGAGATGCCCAATTGCTGGTGCCTAACGGCTTTCCTCCCTGTCTTCGGCTGTCTACCACACCAAATTAGCAAGCGAGCAGCAGGAAGTTTGTGCCGACACTCGTCGCCCTCTTCCTGCCATAATTAGAACCACAAGGCCTTGTACCATCTGCCGACTGGCGAAGGGGGGACTGAGACACCCTTCTCTTCGGCTGTCTTCTAACCCTGTGGCAGCTTTCCGACTGGTCTTGCTGATTCGAGCTAATCAACCTTGCACCATCGTCCGGAGGCCTGTCCCAGATCCTAACCACTGAACCCTTCTACCAGGACCCGATATATTCGCCACCCGCTTTTCTACTTCTCTGACCCATCTGCAATTGCCCTCGCACATGTCTCTAGCTAGCGTTGGGCGTGTTTCGCGCTAAGCGACCTTCGGCGCTCTGAACAATCAATTTCGGGACCATGCCTACACGAGATCTATTCGATCCTTCCTTCACGAGACGACATACTTGTTCGGGATGCGATCAGCATATCCCAAGGCCGGGGTCTCCGAAAATGTCGTTCTACGGATTTACAACGGGAAATGATCACCTCACAGCCTTCGGATTGGACGCTTCGTAGCAGAGATTTCGTGTTCAAGGTACTTTGGGCGACCGTCTCAGGAACGAAGGAAGTCAGTGCGACAGCCGACGAAATAGCCTGGCTGCGAAGAAAGGTCACACCACTCGGCGGAGGGACCTGAGCGGCCCGAAGCGACGTTGTCTGCCATGTGTGGTCGATATCAATGCGTTTCAGGCTCTCGGACCATACTCCAATGCCGACAGAACTCATTGTGGCAAAGCACTCACAGCCAATAACACCCTTGAACAGTGACGAGTCGCCATTTCAGCCAACCCAATCACCATATAGACTCGTCTTTGCTGGAAAATTTGGAGATACCCACTATCGGCTCTCCAAACATTTCACCATATGCACGACAACGGCTCCGAACGTTGTGGGGTGTTGGTGTTATCGTTGCAAATGGATGTTTCTGTGTGAACCAAATGGGCCGAGTGTCAACGGCTTCAATGCCAGGCTCGTCCGAGCATTGGCGTTGGGACCAATCAGAGCATCACGGTAAGCGTCTGAGGAGAGCGTCTTTTTTTGATCGATCCAAACCACGTTTCATTGGATGCCTGAGGCAGCCACTTCTTAGGAGCATTGGGATGGACCATCACTTCTAACGATCTATTTGCTAGAGAATGGATTCGAGCTACTCGCCTTGCACCAGCGAGTTCCACTCATCTCAGCCTCTCATTTTGCTGCCTCAGCATTCAGGAAGAAACTTTTTTCTGAGGGCATAAACCTCCGACTTTGTGTTGACGGCGGCGGGGTTCGTACTCCGCTAAATTTATCGAAGTAACTCGGGGATTTCCAGTACACCAATGGCATCAGAAAGAGGCTACTCGATAGGCCCCTTGAGAGAAGACAAGTCCTTGCTTGCCTCTCTGTGGGACACATGGTTTGTCCTTCGCACTTCTACAGTCCTTGTATCTTCCTGCGGGACGAATGGTTGTTCAACATCCTCGTCTGTTTACGAATCTCTTCGCTTGCAGGTCTCATTGGGCCTGCAAGGATTCGATCGGCACGTCGCTGGTGAGGCTAAAGCTGCAAAGGCATATCCCCGGCGCTCAACGCCCGCTTCAAGCAAACGTGGCTATCCAATTCTTCTTTGCACCATGTTTCTTTTCGATATAGTTGCCTCGCCCAGAAGGGGCGCCGATGCAGTTGCTTTGGTTGATTTGTGGAGAAGTTGAAACGGGACGTTCTGTCATTGCCGCTATATCTCGCGATCTAGCCGCCATTTTTGCCCTACCCGCTCTGATATCTAACGGTCCTTCATCAGAGTTACCAATCAATCTTTTTATCACGCACTTGCACCACACTCCTTTGATCTGCTTTGATACCGCTAGTCTCCCCGAACTCAGGGACAAACTCACCAGAACTCTGGACCTGTGGTGTGCACTAACGACAAAGCAAGGTTCAAACCATATCATGGATGGTACGGCAGCGTTGCGAAGATTGCCATGTGGGCGTTAGCGGAGCGTATCGGCGCTTTCTCTCAGAAGACTAAGCTCTCATGCTCCTGGAGGACGACTGCTGCTCCCACAAGCTCGCTTGTTGTCCCTTGACTCCCCAATATTGCCCTATCAACTTCCACCCCATCCACATTTCTTGTCACCTTCCCTTGTTGGATGCGTGACCGCAACTCCTTTCTCCTGCATCTGATCAATTTCAAAGCGCCGCGCCCTAGTCTCGTCTTGCCAAACCCTCTCCCTACCACAGCAAAGTGCATGATCGCCCCTGGCGTTCGCTCAAATCATTGCACCCTCTGCTTGCAGCGCTCTCTCGGGTCCGACGACACGAGCATCATCCTCTAAATCCAGGGACAGTCGCGGAAACCCGCTGGGCATCTTGCTGCACTTTGTTGTGAATCCAATCTCCCACAGCCGTTCTCCTTGCCCCCGGATCTCGATTACGATCACGATCTACTTCCACCCACCGGCGCCAAAATTATATGCCTGTCGACAGGATTCGAGTCGACCCCTTTCCACGCATCTCAGCCTGGCCCGTTCGCTGCCTGTCTCCGGACTCGGATAACGCACCAGGGGTTTTGGTGGAGTCCCCCAGGGAAAAGAACAGAAAAGAGGTAGACCGCCGAAGGGAAAGGGGAAGGCGCTACAACTTTGTGTCCTCAGGGGGGTTCTCACGCGCGGACTCTCTCGAGAGCGAAATCAAATCTGGCTGAAGTTGATCGCTCACCAAAAATAGACACGGCATGAAAAGACATCCAACCAGCCGCTTGCTCACTTTTTAATCGGGGCGTCGAGCGGCAAAGGCAAGAGACCAGACAACCAGCATGTACTCCTCATCGAAGAACGAAACGCTCGAGGATGTAATGAACACCTCAGAGCGCCAACACAGCCAGGGATTTTCCTTCCGCGTGACACCAACGAAAACAGGCTAGCCAGTTGTCGACGGTGCACAAGAATCCCCGAGCATGCGACTTCCTGACATTTTGTCAGTATGGACAGGATCGAAGGTCAAAATGTCAGACGGTAAGATCGATTGCAACAATGATGACGAGAATATCAGCTACGAGCTCTCCTGCGACTCCTGGATGTGCAAACATTCGTAACAAGGAGCTCCTCGACGAATGACTTCATGAAATAGGAACGAGAAGCTGCAGATACAGAGAGCATAACTCGACCAGCCTTCTCTTTGACGACCATGGAACTTCAGTGCATAAGTGAGCTGTCAGAGCAAGGGCCGTATGCCTCAGTGCATTCACCAAATAGTACTTGATGCTCATTATTACATTACATCCGCAAGATCTTATCTGCGTCCAAAACCTTGTTTTGAAGTTTCCGATCCCGTCTCCTGGACCGACAGAGTTGGCCCATCAAGACGCTGCTTGCCTGCCTTTATCCCTGTCGGCAACCTCCTGATTAACGGGCCCTTGATTTGAGAATCCAACCTCCCCTGATGCGTAGATTGCGTGCTTCAAGCAATAATCCTACGGGCTGGCCAGAGCCAATCCCGACACCTCTTTTGAACCCCCCTAAACATCCCAGATCATGTCAACATGCATCATATAGTCGTATTCAAGAGGAATCACTGTCCAGAAACACCATCCTGGGCCTCAAGCGGGTCTGCGTTGGAGTGTCCAGCAACTCAAAGGAATCACAAAGAATTGGGCCCATAACATCGACCTCCATTCTCGACCTATAACGGTACTATCGCTCCCCCAAGCTCGCCACTTTACCAGCAAACCTTGCGCCAGCACTACCGCGCTTTTGCAGCTTGTTGGTACCGTCTGACGAAGACGACAATGGCGCAACCCTGTGCACGAGAGGTAGAGGGCCTAATGTGTCTGTGTGGCCGCCGTGACTCTGCATCACGCGCGAGGTCCTCTGGTCGACGTACAACTGTGCAGCTGCGGAAAGGGGAATAGCTGGAGGCTCGACAGGAATCTCGGCTCCGTTCTGCACCAACAGCTCAGCCATAGGAAAAGCTTTAACGCCTCCCGCTGGTGTATTCGAGTGAGAAGATACCGGGCGAGCTGGATCAGCGGCGGTGAGAGCGAGAAACACCGCATGCGTGTTCCTGGATCGGTCATGGGCGTTGACGTTGGCCCGTTGAGCGACGGCCTGCAGAACCCCCTGAATATCATGTTTCTTGATTGACGTCAGTAATGCGTCGTCAGCAGACCCGTATGGCGACACAGGCTCAACGTAAGCCCGCTCGACATATTTAGCTGTGATGAACTTCAGCCGCTGGTCGCGAGAGGCGCTCGGATCTGGCTTAAGAGCCCGGTCGAGCCGTGCTTCCCACACCATGTTGCTGATTCGGTTGCCGATCAGCATGAGAAGTTCGACAATATCGTTAGTGAAAGAGTGTACATCCAAGGTCAGGGATCGAATTTTGGAGACATGTGTACCCAGTGAGCGATGAATCCCCCCACATTCGATGCACAGAATGATCCCCAGATTCAGAGAGACCCATTCGACTTTGGAAGCCGAGCCACAGTCGGCACAGAACTGGTTTCCATGGTCGTTGTTTCTGATTTGATCGAGCAGCTTTGACGGATTCTCTTCGTAGCTGTTACTGCTGGTCCTCGTGTAGGTGGGTCTAGCACCGACGGTGATGCGTCGTGACACTCCGCTCGCGTCACTTCGATGGGAGTAGCCATGCGGACCAGATTGTGACGAGCTCTTGCCTGTGAACATTTGTCCAAATTCACGCCCGATGTGCTCTTTTCGACTCTGCTGAGGCACTTGTCCGCCGGACTCGACAGCGCTCTGCAGCGCATTGTTGATTGCATTGATCCAGTTATTCATCTCGTCTTCAGTTGTAGCTTGGTAGACCCGTTTATACTGAGGCGTGATGACCTCGAAACAAAAACGGCGTTCTGCATCCCGAGCAATGCGGACGGAAGCCATGCGAAGGTCAATTGGGTCACGATGCAGATCCAACTTGTCCTTCCAATTGCTGTATTCTGAGAGTTTCCCTTGGTCAAGCACGATCCAGAATCTACGAGTGGTTAGTTTTATATCAAGAGCACTTTGCGAAGAGCTTACTTGTGCCACGCTCCTTTGGGGTCGATATGGGAATTAGGCTTGCTTAATGCCCACAACAGTCCCTCTTTTCGATATTGCCCGATGGAAGCCTTGTCGGCTGTGGATATTGAGCTTTCGTCAAGATCGCGGATCCCTTTGAACTTGCTCGGCGTTGGCGCTATTGAGGTTGCGCCCGGAGATGTCGACAGGACATTGCCCACAGGCAATGTTGAGTTGGTGGTTGGGGACAATGTTTTAATTGACGCATGGCCGAACTGAGAGCTGGTGCTGTCGGCCCGGCTAAGATCAGTATCGGAGGCATATCCGCCATGACCATTTTGTGTCGCCACTTGAGTCGAGACCACTGAAGGATGGTGATGCAGATCGGAATCTGCAGAAACCGGGCCATTCTTCTCAAGGTTTCTTCTCTTCTCCTCTCTTTCCGTCCTTTGCAGGTTGTACTCTTTGTCGGCATCAGAGACCTCTTTCACAAGGGCGTCTAACTGTGGGGTTAGGCTTTCCACCTTCTTTGCAGTGGCAAGGAACGCTTTTGCCTGGCCGTCGGCATACCTTGTAAGCTGCGAGAGGAGTTCCTGTTCCTTGCGCCCGCCGTGGAGATCTTGCATGAAGGTCGAGTAATCGAATCGTTTGAGCTCAAAGTTCTTCCTCTTTGTCTGATATTTGGAATCGCTCTCTGCACGTTTCTTATCCTTCAGAGAGTCTTGCCTTTGACCAAGATACCGACCCACGTAGGCGTAATAGTCTCGACTCTCGTCGTCAAAGTCCTTCTTCTTTGCCTCGACCTGCTTGATGTCCAAATTATACAGTTTCGAAATGGGGTCGATGATCTGTCTTTGCAACAAAGTGCTGTTACCCCTCTCATATTTTAGTATTTGCTGAGCGATGTTCAAAAAGTAATGATCGAGGGCGGGCTTGAAGGCAGTCGCGTTGGACATGGAAGCCTCTTGGAGCGCCTTGAGGAATTCGGCCATGGCCTGGTTACACTCCACCTGGGCCTGCTGTGCCGCTTCGGCTTTCTTCAGCACCTTCTTGATCTGGACCTTCATAGTCCCCGTCTTCTGCTCCAGCGCCTTCATCGTAGCCCTGAAAACCGGACCGTCCTCGACTGTGCTGACGTCCTCTCCCGGCCTCGCGCACTGAACGTCGATGACAGGCAGCGAAGGTGCCGATGTTGGCGCACTAAAGCTGTAGTCCTTCGGCCTCATCTGTGGCGAGGCCGGGATTTGCGTCTCCGAAGGGCCCTCCGAGTCGCTGACTGCGGACTGGTACGATTGTGATGACGGCATCCTATGCCTCTGAAGTGGTATCGGTATCTCCAGACCCGGAGATGCAAGTGGCACAGCGGTTGTGGGGACGGTGTTCTGGACCCAGAACGAAAAAGACGCGAGGGTATTAAGTCTGTGCGCTCTGGAATCATACTCAAGAAAACTGCAGCAGTTGCGCCAACCTCCACCTTTGTCCTCTTGAGCCTTTGGGGGTTTCCAGTGCCAAGTCCATTCGTAAGTAACTGCAGGACTTCCATGCGTCCCAAAGTCACCAATGAATTGGACGTTGGAATTCTTATGCAGGTTTGGGTCGGCATGGAACTCGCGTGTCACAAGGGTGTCCAGCTCTTTAGCATTCTGTGCATAGGCAAAGGTCAACCCAGTAATTGATGTATCTACAGCAGCGGTGGACGTAGAGGGAGTCGCGGGGAGGGGTCCGGAGTTCTGTCGCGTTATAAATGTGAAGTGTATTTCAAGTTCATCTTCAAGATCGAGCCTAGGAAGGAAAGAAAGGGCCGAGGAATCCGGATCCTTGTTGAGATGTCAGAGGATGATCGGACAGTTGGAGGGGCTTCGTTACGCACTTGAATATACGAAATGGGTCTGTAGTCCGTGGCATCTGGCTTTCCAAGGAGACGCAATGCCGGATAGGCATTCGGCGTCAGACTCAAAAGACCTCTCCGTCGGCCATTGCTGACGACGATGGAACTGATGGAGACTGGCGGCTATCAGCCATAGTTTGCGGAGGGGGAAAGGCAAGGATGCACATACAGCGCGCTTGATCCTTTAAGTATAGCAGGGCCCCATCATCAAGTCTGCTGCTGATGTTGCCCATCGCTGACTGCCTGCAATTCAGGCTCGACGGTTAGAATGCGCCAGGATGGGCGGTGCACGGTTTGGAGGGGCGTCTTTAGAAGAGCCGCGGACGAGACACAGGCTGTCGATACAGAAAAGGAAGACGGAAAGATTGATGCTAAGACTGCAATACTTTGAAGTGTGTTGAAGTATGTACAGATCAAAGTGAGAGAGTGACTTGGGTAAATGTCTGAGTCGAGGGCGTGATTTGTCTAGAGGGAAAGGCCGTACTCGTAGACGACATAGCCTGCGGCTTGCTGCGCCTTCGATGTGAGACGGTGCAATCAAGCGAAGGAAGGCATATGCGGCGCCACCGGCGAGCGCAGGACATCCAGAAGACCCCCTCGCCAAGAGAAGCGTTCGGAGCTTAATCTCAGGGCGGCTCCCCTTAATACTTACCAGTTTGGGACGGAACTGACGCCGCCTTTTGTCCGCAGCCGGGACTTGGCTCGTTGGGTGAGTGGCACGTGAGCTCGGAGCGGGTTTTATTCTTCTTTCGGTGCCAAGCCAAAATTTCCGTGAGGGTTCCCCAGATCTGTGAAGACGATTGAGCAGGTCCTGCACAGCGCGGCAAAGCTTGAACTTCAAGGCAGAATGAAGGAAGATAGGCGCTCCCGATACTGAGTTTCTTCCATTGACCTCCGTGGCGGGCACGCCGTGCAACAATCATGACGGCCAAACCATCGAAAGAGTCCCAGAACGCGGGCAATCCCAATCAGACGTGGGTACCCCCTCCCTCCGTCCCTCCTGCGTGAAACGCGCCCTGACAACTGTCTCATAGACTATTTCTCAAGAACCTACAAGAGAAGGTCAACAAGAACGAGCTGAAACGCGCCCTGTACATGCTCTTCTCCACCTATGGTCCTGTCCTTGACATCGTCACGAATCGTATTGGATCGAAAGGGCAGAGTATGCGAGGACAGGCCCATGTTGTCTTCCGTGACATACAGACGAGTACACAAGCCATGCGAGCTCTACAAGGTTTTGATCTCTTCGGCAGGGAAATGGTATGCATGCGTCAAGTGCTAAGGTCAAATCCACGAGTTAACCGCTCGAGACAGGTTATTGTCTATGCAAAGGGCCAATCGCACATAATCCCGAAGCTTCGTGGCACTTTTGAACCTCCAACCGCCGCTGCAACCGCTGCTTCTGACGCCACAGCTCTACAGAATTCCATATTCAATGCTCCACCGAGTGGAATTTCTAGCAAGCCCACCGAGACTGGAGTTAAACCAGCTGGAACAAGTCCCGACGGTGTCCCGCACGGCACGAAGAGACCAAGAGAGGAGGAGGAGGAGGAGAGCGAAGTGGAAATGGAAGAAGACGAGGATGACGCGCCGATGGAGGAAGATGAGGATGACTAAAGGCAGCATAGAAGGACTCGCATTCTCGCTCAATCGAACATGGACGCCCCTACTACCGTCACGGTGTTCCAAGGGCTATCGACCACCCTCGCGTGAGGAACCGGATCGAAGACCTGCGTGCGACCCAGGCGATGCTCTATCAAGCGGGCACTCAAATCGAAGACAGGCGAAATGTTCGGGGGAGCGTGCTCCCGCCCTAGCTGCTCAGAAGCTTACTAGGAATATGCAGGCCCACGGCAGACCCAATCAACCCCAACCAAAGAATCAGATATTCCTCCGGGGTGAGAGACTTGGGTTTAAAAGCTGACAGGGCGCCTTGGGTGTTGCATGGATGTAAGAAGAATGCTGGCAGATCCGAGACAGGGTGGTGCTGCCCAAAGAGTCAGTGGCTGAAGGGTATTATAGCGGTCTTCACTTACCGCCATACTGATACCTCCCATTACGCCCACTCCATGCAGCGAAGCGAGTGATGATTCCGGCACCAACCAGTCATACACCTGCTCCAGACTCAACGCCTTCTTGTCCTGGCCGTTTCGGCATGCAAACCAAAGAACAGGTACCGTGTAGACTGGAGACAAGGTAACGGAAAAATCAACAGTGAGAGACTCCAAGTTGTCAATTCTCTCCACAGACTGCGACATGTCAGTACAGAAGTGGTGGATATAATTGGGGATGCTGTTGGGAAGTCCTACACTATCTCTAACAATGCAATCTTCGATATCAGTCTCCATTATCTCATCACTTTGCCCGTCATTGTGATCATTGGGAGCGTCTCTGCTGCCCTCGTTGCCGGTTCTCTTCCGTTTCTCGCTGATCAACAACTCTTCTCCCGTCCACCTGACGCCCAACCAATCCGTGTCGCTGACCTTGTCCGCACTCCTCTGTTCCAGGGCGGCGCACGCGTGGGCAAACTCCTGTTCCGTGATGGCGGGGAATGCGCGCAGTGACTCTACTACCATGGTTGAAGTCCCGGGGCAGCACGATCGAGGGGCCGTCACATGGTTAGCTGGCTAGCGACTCGGGCTGAATTAATGAATGAATGAAATCGTGACCGACCAGAGTTTCACAGGGTTTTGAAAAACTTGTTGCTGCGGCTAGGTCGATCCCTTCCCCCTTTTGAGACAACAGTAATTAGAAACTCGAAAGCCTCTAGGTAATAACAGAGTTAGTTAAGAGGGCAGGTTGGACGGACGCCAAGGCCCGAGCAACGAGTTAAAGTGCGGGGAAACGCACTATGTAGATGTATGTATGTACAGTATGTATGTACATACTCAATCCGTTTCCCCCCTCTGCTCGCTGTCTGGTCTCATACACATAGTTACTGCATACACAGTTTTTTTTTTTGGTTTTCTTTTTTGGTTTTTTGACAGAGCCTCAAATCCCTCCCCCAAAACAAAACTCATATATCATTATTTGTTACACTACGGCCCACCGTCGCATTGGGCAGTGTGTCGTTCGACATGGCCAGTCACTCTTTGCCTGAGGCACCGCGAGACGTACGCTCCTCCTCCTCCTCCCTCCTTTGCACTCTCATCACTCTTCATGGGCATCGTCCTCCTGCCTAGCCCTGGGCAACAATGGGGAGCAGGCACTCCTCCCGCCTCCAGTCTCTACTATATCTCCCACTTTCCATTGCCACGCCCGCAATCACTCATTCTCTCACTTACTTTTGCCCGCTCTTTTTTCTTTGCCTAGCTCTAGCTCTCCGAAATCGCCAAACAAGAAGAATCTCTCATCCTGCCGCACTTCACTGCGGACGACGCCCTCGAGATCGGCCTGTCGATCCGCAATCGGCTGCGGGCGCTCTCGTCCCTGGCGGCCGTGGTGTCCATCGCGCTCGCGAGCTCCTCCAACCTCCTGTTCCACGCCGTGTCCCGCCCGGGCATCCAGCCGGACAACGACATCTGGGTGGCGCGCAAGAGGAAGACAGTCCTGCGGTGGGGCGTGAGCTCGTGGTTCATGCATAACAAGTTTAAAGGCGACGAGGAGGCCTTTGCCCGCAAGTACATGCTGGGTGCGGAAGCGGGAAGCTATGCCATCCACGGCGGCGGTGTGCCGGTGCGCGTGGCGGGCGTGGAGGGGATTGTCGCCGTCGTGGTCGTGAGCGGCCTCAAGCAGGATCAGGACCACATGGTTGTCATCGAGGCCTTGGGGGAGTTTCTGGCCCAGTGCAGCAAGGAGGCCAAACCGGCAACAGAGGAAGCGAGATGACCGCAGTCCTGGCGTTATTTAGCCAGGTCGTCGGATCATGCGCCTTGTAAGAGAAGTTGAGAGTTGCGATAGGACTTGTGTACATTCTTCGGATTCTTGATGGCATATAAGGATGGATATATATCTCTTTATTAGAGAAACAATCTCATGTAAGTAGGTAGGCCACTGAAGTCCCACCGGATTGAGTACGACGGGCACCGAAGCCGCAGAGACGCAACGTTTGTTCTACGAGGTACATATCACGAGGGATGTCTCCGTACGACAACTCATGCTCGCAGCAGCGGCTCGGGGCGCTGTACTTGATTGAACTCGGTACAGTCTGCTGTTCTGCCTTACTTCACAATCATGTCAACTTCCTTCTCGACGTCGGCAGTCTATTCTCTTTGAAAATTTGAGTGCGGTACGGCTCCCGATTTGATAATGTCAACCCCTTACCTTCGTTGCGATTGACCTACTCTCTGAGCAATTTTTCGAGATGCTGACAGAGGCTGTCGGATGTCTTGTCGTCATCTGAGAAACGGCGGAGGAGGAGGAGGGCGCAGCACAGTCATCCGACGCCCTCCTTGCGTAACACTGTCACCATGGATACCCTGTTGAAACATTTGCCTCCTACCTCCGCCGGTTCTGCTCCATCGGCATCAATTGTTCCTCGAGATTATGTTCTCTAGAAGAAGACAATGTAGGACTCAGGGCACTTCCCGGCAGTACATTCGGAGGATGGATCGGAGGGGGCTCGTTGGCGACACATTTTGACCAGATGACCAGTGGCCAAGTTTCTGGATGGGCCTGCGAAGTCGAGGGGGTTGCCGTCTACCCGTGACGCGACGCAATGCGGGAAGCTAAGGTGCGTCGAGGTGTCTTCAGCTGCCTCGAGCAAACAAAGGAGGCGAGGAGACTGCGGCTGGACAGCCATGTCAGGTCAGGAAAATTGAATGACCAGCGAAAGGGGATGGGTACACAGCATTCACCACCTTTCAATCAGACAAGTGCTTTGATCACATGGCCCGCAACCCACCGAGAAAGGTCGAGGGTCAGAGGGACAGGGTCTTCAGTGCATGACCCAGACATCTCTTGGGCAGACATGCGTGCAGAAGGGTGAGCCACGGCCTGTGCAACATGAATGAGGTGGATGCTGGTCGGACTCGCATGCCCGAGAAGAGCTTCGGGAGATGCTGAGTCGCGTAGGATGGTGAATGTTGGTAAGCTGATTGTCCAGAGGGACAAGGCCGAGGCCGGCCGCTGCGGGGACATGTATTTACATTTTCCCAGAAACGCGTGTGGCTTCCTAGCTCGAGGACGGGTGAGACTCGTATGTGCCAGCTCTCTTAGCTCACACGCGCCGGGGAGCGGGGCGAGAGAGTAGGATGTGGCATTGCGAAGGATGTCGAGGTCAGAGACCGCCGGACTAAAGGGGGGGATCTGGTGTGCATAGACTGAGTTTGGGTAACACGGATGCGTCCCGAATTGATGCCCTGGAGGGTGAGAGGCAAAGTCTTATGCCGCAAGAAGCAGCAGATTTGAAAAGGCCAAGCTGATATCTTGCAGCGACGACAGAGTTTCTGGCATATTCCCGCCCGGCTACTGTGCGAACAGCTTCGGGCAGCATCGATCAGGTGCCGACCAATGGAAAAAGGCCCGGCGGCTCCGTTGCGAGTGTTATATCGCCCTTGACCCCGGACGCGAGGCCCATCCAGGGCAGGAATTGGTGGAATGAGGCCAGGATGGCTAGTTGTAGGTGTAACAATGAGTTCGCAGATTATCGCACGTCGAGACTATTAGGCTATCCTCGGCAACTGTCTCTATCCTGCGCAGAATCCCGCTCGGTTACACAGCGTCGATGGCGTCGACCTTCGTTTGTGTTTCATGAGCAAGGAGGGGACTATGCAAGTGAGGCAGTTCGGAAGACTCCTCCAAGAACCCAGAAAATTCCCTCGAAACGAACGCCTTGTTTGCTCGCTCGCCGTAAGCCCATGTGTTTGAGGCAGATGGGGATGGAGCAGACTAGGGTTTTTGCCATCCTCGCATGGACGGAGGCAAAATAGCGGAAGAGCCGTCTCTCACCGTAATGCAAGCTCCAAAATGGGCTTGGAGGCTTGCCGGTATCAGCAAGCATTGGTCTTGTCAGGTTGAGAGACAAGAGCGGGAGAGAGGGGCAGCGGAGGAGAGAACACCAAGAAACATGGGGAGGTTGAGGTGGTGAGTTGTTGTGTCACCACTCGGCACCAGGCAGCAGCAAACTGAAGCGACAGGAGCAGGTTTGGTGGTGGTGGCAAGCGAGGGGACACGGCAGTGTTTTCACACATTCGTGCGTTGACCCCGTGTACTGGAGGTAGAGTACGTAAATCAATCAATCTTGGTTCCAGCAATCTGGATAGATCGTCCATGCGCACGCATGCTGAGTGAGTGAGAAATGTCACAAAAGTTACATGCCAGCAACTCGGACATGTGCAAAACCTGAACAAAATTCGTCTTGCTCTTCCCCCTCCTTTTTAGCCCCCACAAGTCAGTCACTCCATGCATGTGGAAGTGCTTCGTGGAAAGCGGGATACTCGATTGGCATTAGGCCATCAGCATTGGCATGATGGAGGGGGAAGCCTTAATCTGAAACATTTGGGCAGTATTCGGTAGTCGCTGTACCTACGTGCTTGGGGAGCCCAAGAACTACAGGCACTTCTTTTCCTTTCTCCTGTCGATCGTATCGATCGGGGCATTAGCTACGGATCGGTTCTGGGTACCTACGTGAGATCATCATTACTAGTATTGACAGTTATTTACAGAGTACCCGGTACACCGGAAACCTGAAAAAGGCCCCGCCAAGTACAGCCGGAAGTCCACTTCCGGTCTAGAATCTGACGTGGAGGGCCCGAAGGTTGACCCGTCATCTTTACTTGTTACGGTACTGTAGAGTACAATACTGTATAGGGGAGGCGTGACCTTGCACCGCGCTGTACCCAGGTAGGTACTGAGTAATTATACATCATGGTGGCACAAAGTGCGATCGGTCGCAGTCAGTCGCAGTCAGTCGGGCACGATTGATGCAGGGTGGGCAGGCAGCTTTCTGGAAATTTCTCAGCTGTTCTTCTTCTTACACGGCCTCGTCGGGCAAGAGAGAAGTCAGCCAGCGACAACAGTGCAAACGTGAAACACAAAATGCCCGAAATGCAACTATGCAACGTGCTATGTCATGCAATGCAATGCGCAACGTGTATGCATGGATTTTTGGTTGATCAGAAAAAAAAGTCCGCAGGATACGGAATGTTTAGTAGGCTCTATTATAATTTTATTCTATTCGTCATCTTACAAGTAAGGTAGTGGTAGGGCAAGGTTCGCCATGGGAGGTCCGTCTCCAGGTCTCTTCTCAATCTCTCACTAATTCAATAACACATGTCAGGGAATCTAAAGGCTAAGGCCCAGGCTCAAAGAAGCATGGCAAGTAGCAACAAAGAAGAAGCGGGCTTTTGGTGACAGCTCTCTCTCTCGCGCGCGTTCTCTTTTCCCCAAGCTCGCCCCCCTCCAAACAAAGGGAGCCCAACAGAACGCGCAAACAATGAGTGGCCGATGGAGATCGAACCACGTCTCAACGTGCGATGCGTCAGCCACTCAGGAGAGCCGTCAGACCACCCTTGCAGCGCGCTCGCTCTTGCCCGCGTCGTACAATAAACACATAAAAATTGAGAAGTGTGTGTGAGAAAGAAAAGAGTCGAGAACAAAAGGGGAAAGGAGACAGGAAAGACGCGCCAAACCCCAATGCTCATCCATGCATGCATCCACACACCCCTTTGGCCACTGCGACACTGCGACACCATCCCCACCAGGTAGGTACCTGTCCCTGGCTTTCCCTTTCGCCCTCACAGCGCTTCTAGAGCCTTCGCGATCCGCTCCGGTCCTATTTCGTGGCCTCCCATCTTGCTCTTGGGATCCGCCAGGGGTCGTCGCCCCGCTGGCACCGGCGCATCCCAGCTTCTGCCCCCCTCGGGAGAATCGTCCTCTGACACCTCGCTGGGCGGCGTCGAGCTCTCCGAATCTGTCAAGATCTGGAACTCGGTCACGGTGCTTTCAAAGTCGGGCAGCTCTGCGTCTTTAGCCTGCTGGACCCAGAGCTGCTCGGCCCGCTGCAGCTGGTCGAACCATTCCGAGACGGTCATCTCCTTGCCCCGGCAGGTGAGTAGCAGGTCTCCGTATTGCGACAGCCCGGCTCGCGACGCCTTGTGCCTCCAGTCTGGGTGTGCATCTTCCACCAGGTAGCGCCGCTCGGCAGACAACGCGTTCATGTAATTGAAAAATGCACTTTCAGAGTCTAGAACGCATCTCTCTCGTATTAGTCTCACCCCCGCTGCTTCGCGTTCGCACATGTTGAGAGAAACCAATTGGTGGGGGGCGGGCATGGGTGTATTGTGCTGTCAGGCAGGAGGGAATGCTGAACTTACACGACCCAGGCAATCCTGGCAGAGGAATCAATCGGTCAAACCGCTCGTCCAGGAGTTCCTGTAACCTGAGGTACGAGGCGTACACAATTGACGTAGATTCTTGTAGAGTCCAGAGAGCGTCTTGGACAGCCTCAGGGAGTTGCATCAGCATCGAGGCTGGGAGTGCCGCGACATGGGAGACGTTGCTGGGGTCGTGAGAATGTGGAGGCGCCAGAAAGAGAGCATCAGCAATTGAACCGGACTTCATGGTGATTGTGAAGAGGCAGGAATGACTGTAGCAATGATCCAATTCTGACCAGCTTGGAAGACGTTGGGACTCGAGAGCCGGAGAGCAAGAGGGAGTTGGAGGTTGAGAGGGCGGGAGCACCTTCGAGGAGGATGCTCAGTCAGTATATATGCTTCAGGGCTTCGCAGTACGTTTTAGATGCCCGGTGGAGCGAATACTCGAAGGGTGTGTAGTCAGATCAGGCCACGAATATTTTTATATGCGCAATGCATCCAGCCCGTATAGAGCCATGACAGACTGGGTAGTGGTACAGGGGCGGTCGTTGTGATTGGACCGGAAGGCTGCATGGCAAGGTGGACACATCATTTCGTCAAAAACCCTCCCGACAACCCAGCGAGCCAGCTGGATGTGGTCAATAAAGTCACCCCCCGTAGCGTGCATTGGCTGGAGACAAGGAATCGACTAATGTGACGTAGGTCAGTGATACAACAACAAAGAGCCATGTTTCCTTTCTTGCTCAGAACCTGCAGGATCTTGGCCAAGACGGGCGTTGGAACGTGCATTAATCACCTCGTGACATTTTCCCTCAGACATCTCCGATCCAGTATGGAGTACGTTGACAGAGTGCCACCACATAATTCCTACCACACCTGGATAGCTGATCCGCCAGCATTCCGTGGCCATGGAGAAATCCGTCCGAAGAAAAAGCATATTGTGACGCCAATTCTATTCAACTTTTCCTGCGGATAACGAGAGCCGCGAACCATGGCAAAGGCGCGCCTAAGTGGGGGGCGATATGTGCCTCCTCTGCCACGGTCATATCTTTCCACGAAAGCCGCCAAACCGCCAGGGGAAATCTTCGGGGCCTGTCCTCAGACAATACGTCAATGGGGAGACAACGTCGCAACCTTCCGAACGTCGATTTCGCAATTTACTGAATCCTGCACCACGGATCAGCGATCACACAGCAAGGATGATGCCAAACGACCGATAACACATACCGTTGGATGAGGTGCACCCCGGAAGCAGTCTCGACGACGCCACTCAGTTCGCCTGGCTGCAGGGCAAATGCTGCATCCTCAAACTCCTTCTGCATCTGTCCTTTGCCAAAAAAACCCAGGTCGCCGCGCTTGCGAGCACTGCTGCAGTCCGACTCGGAGACGGCCAGGTCGCCCAGAGTCTTGTCGCCCGAGCGGATCTGATCTTCGTACCCCTTCAACATTTGAATCGCCTCATCTTTCGAGCGGGTGATGTTGGTCTCCCTCCAACTCGAGGGACGCCGACTATCCTTGTGCTTGACCAGCAGATGGGCTGCACGGATCTTGCCTTCACTTGCAGCTCCGTCGATGCGGGCGTTGGCAGACGAGCTGTGGTGCTGCGCCATGTAGACCTTGAGCTTGTCGGTGTCGGCATCCTCAGGGGGCTCCCATCTTGACTCGTGCGTCTTCTGGTTGAAGTAGTAGGGTAGATTCTTGGAGTTGGAGTGGCGGACCTCCCAGTCAGGGGGCAGGCCAGTAGCAGTCTCAGTCTATCGTAGAGAGCATCAGTAGAGATTCGTTTTGCGAGTAATAGGGTTCAACGGGCAAGCCGTTCGCATACCATGGCTTTCTGAAGAGGTTCCGATGATGCAGTATTGTTCCTGGGAGGTGTTCTTTGTCACGGTGTCGGTCCCGTCGATGAGGGCGCTGTAGTGTAGATGAGTTATTGTTGGGATGCCCCAGTCGGTGTTTGGTGTCTGGTTGTTGCTGGCACGGGAGGGCGCGACCGAGGTGGGGCAGTGGATTTTGTCGTTCGTCAGCAGGTCAATCTGTCAACGAAGAAATGAACCCGCGAGGGAGGGTAGCATAGGGCTGGAAAGCGGCTAAATGGACAGGAACAGGAGCCTGACTGGCTGGTCTCATGCGGTCTGGATGGTCCTAGATTCGTAGAAGAGGCAAGACAGAACAGCTGGGCAGTTGTCAAGGAAGTCAGAGGTCACTTGACTAGTTACGTAGGAGTCATTCAGGTACCTAGGTAATTAGTTGATGAATGAACAAGGAACCAGCCAGAGAGAAAAGCCACTGGGGAAAGCTGCGTCTCACAGGCTTCTGGCAAGTTTGTTTGGGCGGCATGGTCTGACTAGGTAACTGGACAAGTACGGAGCACAAGTGAACTCGAGAAAATTGCGGGGAGGTGCACTGGCTCTCACATTTCTTTGAAAACACAACCTGCACCCTCTCGCCATCTGGACGTGTCGAGTCACATTGACGCCCCTTGCAATACAGAAGCAGTTAATTTATCCCGCACATCAGCTTTTGCCCTCTCCTCTACTGTCCACACAATTACTCAGCAGCAACATCGTCTACCTTTGCCGTACCTGGTTTACCAGCATCACAGTCAACACCTCTGGCACACATTTATCCAGAGGAACATCACTTTCAGAATCGCGGCCTCACATTGCTCTTTTTTCCGAGTACCCCTTGAAACCTCACCCGTTCAACATGTCTGCGGCGGCCTCCCCATCTCCCAGCGAGGGTGAGAGCAAGCGTGGCGAGGTCTCCTATAGATTTTGTCAAGAGTGGTAAGCCTTCGAACTCTTCTCAGCCTCATTTTCTGACCTGTCTATCCCAGTTCGAATCTTTTGTACCCGAAGGAAGACCGTGCGACATCCACCCTCCTCTATATTTGCAAAGCATGCCACGCGACTTCGCAGCACGACTCGGCCTGTACCTACCGCCACCAACTCGGCGCCAATGTTCAAGAGACGGCAGGAACAACCGCTGACGTCGCACACGATCCAACGGTGGGTTCTGCTTTCTCTGAGCTGCCACCTCTCTGTACCCTTTGTGGGGAACCGTTGAGATGCAATACATGCGGCGCCATCTAGCGGGAGAAGGCCTGGAGGAGTTCAGAAGACTTTGACATCAGGTCTCTTGAGTTCTCCTCTTCTCCCCGCGCGCGGCTAGTCTGCAGTTTTGAGACGTTTGGCTGACGGCTTGCTTTACACTTTGTACAGCTTCCTCGAGCACCCAAGAAATGTCCAAGATGTCGGGAGACGGAGGCGGTTTATTTTCAGTCGCAGCAGCGTGCCGCAGATACAGGGATGGTAAGTACTTTTTTCGTGATCCTCGCCCTCAAGGTTCTGACTGGAAAATAGAAACTGTACTATGTTTGCACCTCCTGCAATCATGTCTATACTGTCGTTTGAGCAAGGTGTTGGTGGCATGAATTGGTATACCACGGCTGTGATAGCCATGCATTGGAGGCGTTTTCGGGAGGACGACCTGCAACGACTTTTACGAGAGCTGGATGGATAGGACGAGCCGCAAATAAAGGCATCAGGCTGGCCAACAGCGCAGCACGCACACAAACACTACTCAACATCGAGTATTTATGATTTTGAGAATTCTGTTTCGCCGGCTGTTTGTACAAGATTTTCTTTTAGACATGGCGAAGGTGATCCATCCTTCAACCCGGCCTCATTATGCATTCGCGGTCACTGGTTGAATCATACGTGCATGGGTGCCAGTGACAAGATCTTTGACCACTTTTTGTCACGTAGTTCGGCTCCCACTATACTCGATAACCTCGTCCCAATGGGGTCGCCGTTCTTGTTGATCAGGACACAGGCATTGTCGTCGAAGCGAATCAAACTCCCATCTTTCCTGCGCTCCTCCTTTCGCGCTCTCACAACCACCGCGTGTCGAATATCACCTCTTCGTACTTTGTTGGCGATACTCAAACTCGATCCGCCGGGTGTCTCGGCGCCGAAGGACTTCTGTTTCTGCACGACGACGATAATCCTGTCACCTAAACTCAAACAGAATGGTCAGCGAAAAGGGAATATGGGCACTTAGGGCGTTTCCCTCGTACCTATTCTCGCAGCCTGTTTCTTCTTCCTCATAACTGCGACGCACTCGACAATTGCAGCTCCGGAGTTGTCGATGCAATTAAGCATCGTCTAGCATCAGTCATCATTAGCACGAGACACGGGCATCGTAGCGAGATTCGGGAACTATCCACCTTCAGTTGTATCATCGTGGTAGCATGCTGCACGCTATTGTAAAAGAGGGCGCAGGTTCGAAAATGTAGTTGCAACTACAGAGCGAGGATGAATCTAGCTGCAGACAAATTATGAAGTGGATAGCGATTCCATTGGGTCCCCGGGTGGGTGCTAGGTGAAGATGCACATGGGCGCATGCTTGGGGTGGTCCGATCACCCCGATCAAAACGCACGCACGGCACACCAACCAAACAGAGCGGTCGCCTGCCCGTAATTCGTTAAGCCTACTAGCCCATCAACCCCCCCCTGGTTGTCCAGCCGCCGCCGCCGACGTTCCCCCCTCGCAAACCATCCATCGAAAGTCATTCTTCCGTCGCCCTTCACTTGACTTCTCTCTTTTATAAAGTGAAGCAAGCTGAAAGTCTCTCTCTCTATTTCTCAGCTTTGGAGACAACTCATGCACGACTAAGGTTCCCTAATTGCCTGGACCATAATGTCGCAACGTGTACACATTCTCTTCACCCTTGTTCCGCTCATTTTCGCCTCACTCAGGCTGGCCTGATTCCAGACCGCGTTCCAGGCGTCGAATTGACGAATTCAGCCCCTTCCACTCCTTCCAAACCCGCACTCTGCCCAACTCAATTACATACAGATTCTCAGTTTCTTACGCTTACAACCTTTCATTCCGGCGCATTTCATGAAATATTGCGAGTCTCAGTTGTCGGGTATTCGCTGTACACGCGACCATGGCTCGGGGGAAGGGCGCCGCAGAGCCAGAAAAGACTCGGCGGCTTTCCCTCGCTGAATTAGCAGCTCACGACGACGTGTGCTCAGACGTCATGATAGATAATGTCGGTGATACTATCTATCGTGTAGAGATCCGTCCCACTGACAAGTCGCAGGCTTATTACAAGTCAAGAATCCGAAAAAACCGCACCAAACACATCCCCATCCGCGGTATCAAGGAAGATGAAGTCCCTCAGATCTTATTGCACAAGGTCATTGTCGACAAAGATGTGAAGGCTGCAGAGAAAGCCCTTCTTTCGCTGCCTGGGCTGAAGAGATATAGAAAGAGTTTGCGCAGTAAAAGTGAACAGGAACACTTCTTGAACCACTTGAGAAAGTACATAGATATGTACCAAACTGATTGTGCTTGGGAAGTCTCTACCACGAATCGCTACACAATCACCACCTACGAAGCCGCTGTCACAGCCAGGAGGCGTATCAGACAGGGAGACACGATCAAATATCTCACTGGCACATTGGTCCCTCTAACCACCGAGGAATCAGCCGACTTGGACTTGACGAATCGCAATTTTAGCATCGTTGTCTCTAGTCGCAAGAAAAACTCGTCCATCTTTTTGGGCCCCGCTCGCTTCGCCAACCACGATTGCGATGCAAATGGGCGTCTTGTGACGCGTGGAGAAAATGGTATGGAAGTCGTTGCCATGAAGAATATTGAGGTCGGCGACGAGATCACTGTCTCCTATGGAGATGATTACTTTGGGCCTGGGAATATCGACTGCTTGTGTCATACGTGCGAACAACTCGAGCGGAACGGCTGGACATCCAAGGCTGGCATCCTTGATACTCCCAGTCGCACTTCTACTCCACTTGAGGAACCAGAACCAGCAGTCCACCCCCGCGGCCTGAAACGGAAAAGGGACTCCAATCCTTCACCCTCTTCTTCCGCACCTCCATTGAAGTATGCGAAGGCCGTGCAGTCCCCGTCCAAATTGCAACATTCTTGGACGCCATCGGGCAGTTCAGATGCGGAAACGCCACTGCTTCCAATTGAGCGAAAGTCCGAACCTCTCGTGGCGGCTTCAGAGGTAGGGACTACACTCTCGCCACCTCATAGTCCTTCTCGGCCAGGAAAGCACGACTCCGGAAAAATATCAGTTCATCTAGATGGAGCTGAACCACGCCAGAAGTCGCCTGGTTCATCCATGGCACACGCGGACGACGAGGGAAGCTGGAAGCCCGCCCAACTTCTAAGCAAGATAGCCTCGCATGCTCCATTGTCACCGGCATCCACATCTCCTTCTAGTCATGGTTCTACAGCTGGGGTGAGCGCATCGCGTGGGCCAGTTTCGCAGGTTCACAACATCGATACAGCTGTCACTATCAAGATGGAGACTGTTGAAACAATGAAGATAGAGGACGATGATGACGATGATTGTATCGTCGTCTTTCCGGCCAAGCACACTGATGAAATTCTTCGACAATCACAAGAACAGCCTATCCAAATTCGCCCGATTGTCGAGAGCACGACATTGGGGATTCCCCCGACTGTGCCCGGGGAAAGTGTTCGCCATTTCCAAGAACAGCATAAACAGATTCATCCGCTCACCGGGAGCACTACGTTGGCTGTCCCTCACGCTATTTCCACTCTATCCACCACAACAATTAGTAAGGAAGTCCGCGCGGTGCAGCCCCCGGGTGCTACGATCGATGAAAACAGTGTGTTACCGTCCATAGAACCGATGAATACCTCATCAACCGTGGCCAAGTTGACGGTCCACCCAGTGACTGGCACTATCCGCATTGCTGGCGACTACATTCTCACCCGAAAACTCCTTGCTCAACCACATGATCGGTGGGTACAATGCCACAACGAAAAATGTTTCGGATTCTTCATCCAACCCAACGGATACCAGACGCGGCGCGAATGTCCACGATGCGAGCGTCACAGCATGCTCTATGGATTTCCGTGGCCCAAAACAGACCCAGATCCTCGCAAACTGCTTGAGCGCAAGTCTCAGGGAAATGGCCGTGGTAAGAAGAACAACGCGGAGGCAATTGAGTACAGTGCATACAGGCGCAAAGGGAGATGTGGAAAGGGGACGTGGGTGGAAGGGGGAGGAGACCCAGAAGAACGTGTCATGGATCACCGCACCATCCACCGCTTTGTGTTGCCTGAAGAAGAGAGAGAGTTGACTAGAAAGGGTCTCTTGAAAGATGCTGAGGTTGCCCGGGCGGCGGGAGATCATGCCCTGGCAATTTTGGAAGCGAGGATGCGGGCCGGTTCCAGCTCACGGGTCTTGAATCACGGAATGGGTACGGAGAGTGCTACGAGAGACGCGAGCGAGAGTGGAAGCGCCACTCCTGACGAGTTGAGGAGGAGGAGCAATCGGTTTGTCACGAGACCTGTCGGCATCTACACAGACAAGTTCTAGGGGAAGAGGTGGGGACAGTGACAACAAGAGGTAACGTCTGCGTCTTCATTCACGTTGTTTGACCTGCAGAAGGACGGGAGGATTCAACACGTCCGAGGAGCCTAAACGCACTGAAAAGCGAAGGCTATGTTTCTCCATGGAGAGGAGGGAGGGTCAATCTTGACCCAGAAAACGAGAGGAGGACTAGTACTTGGTACATAATGCTGTATCGCTTTTGCGCAGTGTTCCGAGCGATTAAAGTGTCGTAAAGAAACCAGTGCATGTGTTACGTGGACAGCACGAACGCAGAATAGAATCCCATTGAAGACCATGGCACACAATGCTTGAAATTATGAGGTTTTGGGACACTTCCATACAGAGCTGCCGTTGACAAAGAACCAATCGCTTGAGGCTGATAACGAAGTCTTATCAAGCGCACTCAGGGGGGGACGTTCCTCCGGCTTGAATCTAGCATCTGCGCGGAGAAGCCGATTGACATCACGCAAAACATGATTGTCACCATTGTGGGTGATCGTAAACCTGCGACCATATCACTGCTGTCATGATTGGACTGATAATGAAACAACTGGCTGAAGGCTCTAGTTGTGTCGTGCAGGCTCGATGTCATGGACTGCAGTTGGATGACTCTCATTATTGCTTGTGCATTGTTTTGCGAGTCAACGACTTTTGATATCTCCCCGTCTTCCCTCGTCTAAACTACACTCCTACAAACATGCCTAACCCGATGACTCTACAGGAAGAATCAGACCACTTCTCCCCATACCGAACAGACGGGAAGCTCTATGGCTTCGTCTGCGTGGTCACCGGCGCAAACATGCCAGTTGGAGCGGCCATCGTGACAGAACTGGCCGGTATGCAATCCTCCTTCTCATCCACATCAACTCCCCACGTCTAATACGGCAGTGCGACACTAGCACACGGGGCAGCATGTATATATGCCTGCGCCGCCACCGACCAACCGTCTAATATCCAAGCGGACTTGTCTAAACTCTACCCAAACACGAAGGTCATCTCCTACCCTTACTCGATCTCCTCCGAACAAGACACGCTCGTCCTCATCGATGAAGCTCTAAACGCTTGGGGCCGCCTCGATGTCTGGGTCTGTTCCTCTGGCCTGCTGGGCCCGCCGTCGATAGACCAGACAACGCCGCAAGATCTGCAGAAGTGCTTCGAGGCCAACAGTCTGGCGCCGTTCTTCGCCTTGAAATATGCCCCCCACGCGATGCAGAAGACCACGTCCAAGGGGAACTATCCCAACGCGGCACCGAAAGACCAACGGTATGGAAGCATTATTGTGGTGACATCCACGGCGAGCACGTATGGGGGATGTTGGGGACCGTGCTTCACCATGAGTTGCCACGCTGCCATGGGCGTCGTCCGCTCCGGTGTCGCAGTCCTAAAGGGGACCGGTGTGCGCATCAATGCCATTTCCCCCGGACAGATTGATGTGGGAGTTAGCCTCAATGGACTCGACACAAAAAGTACCTTGATGGGATACAACACTCAATTACCTCCTGCAGCTCTCCAAAGTCCGGCAGCGCAGAAAAACAACATTGGACTCGAAAGGGCGGGGACCCCAGCAGAGGTTGGAAGGGTTGCCGGCTTCTTGGCCTCGGGGTTTAGCAGCTACATCACAGGGGCGAACATGATCGTGGATGGAGGAGCCAGTGTCATGTGTCCATTGATGGTGCCCATATAGTAAGTGATCATACAACACAGAATGGAAGATGGTCAAAATGTGGAAACCCAGTGTTTTCTATGGTCGGTAGTTCTTGAGAATCCAAACAGATCGCATTCCTGAAGAAGTATTCTCTCTTAAGGACACTGGGGCGGCATGCAAAAGGTTGGGATGCTTCATTGTAGGGAGTGACTATCTAACAGTACCTGCACGATTGAAAATGAATCGGTCCTGCTAGCGAAAAAAGACTCCCCTCGGAAATGACTATTCTGGGCACCATATGATGATGAAGAAGCCATAGAGACAAAGCAGTTCATGATAAGGGTTGAGTGCCATTGGTTTTACGTTTGAGTCCAGCTAAGAAAGGGTGACCACAATCCTCCATAAATTAATTGGTTTCAATAGAAAGTGAATGTTTCGTCACTGCGGGCTGAAGTGAGGCAGGCAGTATATGAAGCTTGCTTTCCTGTGTCTTCAACAAGAGAAAACATGATGCCAGCCCACATAAAAAGTGCGTATATACAGAGGGACGAGGGAAACAAACTCGTGGGTGCGAAAGAGAGGAAAAATTGTATTATGGCAGGTCGGGAAACTTGCCGTTCTTGGTTCCGGGTGGTTACTCGATCCTCATTTGCTCCCCCGAACTTTTTCGAGGCTCTGGAGGAATTGGACAATTGAGCTCCCAGCAACCAGTGCATCTCGTGAGTGGGAGAGATCTCGAAAAATGTCTCCTCGATCAAGAGGCGCAAAGCGCGTTACGGAAGCCTTCGGTATGTTCTTCACATTCGGACGTCGACTTATGGCAAAGCTGACACCTTGCTATAGCATCTCCTTCGGTACACCACGTCTGTTCTTCTTGTCTCCAGACGCTGTCCAAGCGGAACTATGCCTCTGCAGCAACTGCCAAAGCAAGCCTTGATTCTCAGTCGCCTCCGCCTATCACCCAACTGTCCCCGTCAGGACCTGAGGCGTCCCTGTCACCGCAACCACTCTACACAATCAAAGCCGGGATCGTCCTCTCCCGCCCGCCCCTGATCACACCAGACCCTCATCCGTTCGAGACAGCTTTCCATCTCTATCAACGCCGTCTCAACGAGCGCCTTGTATTACCTTTCACACAGTACTTCTACTATCGCCGCAATACACCTGCATTTGAACAATGGCGCAAACACCGCCGCGAGCGAGGTGGCGCCGCAACACGCGACATTGGAAAGTACAACGCGTACAGTCCGGAGGCGTGGAACGACGAAGTACTCGTGGGCGACGAGACTGGGAAACCGGACAAAATACTGGAACAACTGATCTCCGAAGAGGGCAGAGCTGACGAATTCACCGGACAAGGGGATCCTCGGTTTGCGGGCTTGAGGAGAGTCACGGAGGCGGATGAGAAGAATGACCAGAGGAGTCTAGAGAGGAGGCTTCAGAGGACCTTGTATCTTTTGGTAAAGCTAAAGAACAAGGCCGGACAAGCCAAAGAGAAGGACATTGCCGCTGACGGCGAGAAATATCTGTGGAGATTCCCTTCTGGGCCGGTTGTTGGGTTTGAAGGGTTGAGAGAGGTGAGTGAGCACGATTCTCCTTTCAATTGGAGATATATTCGACTTTCAATCAGCTCTCCGCATGGATCGTTGACGATCAAGAGCTAACGAAAACCCTCTGAATATGCAGGCGGCGCAGCGCATCCTCTTCAGCTCACTTGGCCCTAACATGAACACCTTTTTCGTCGGCAACCACCCTGTTGGCCACTACGTGGCTCGCTTTTCCTCACCACAACCGCGTCCATCCACGCCGCCTTTGTATATTCCTGGATCTTCCTCGCCGGCCGCTTTAGAAGCTACAGAACATCGGTCCTCGTCGGCAACGACGCAGGTTGAGAAGGCCAACGACTCGACACCTTTAAAACAAGACCTCGCTGCAACACAGACCTTGGTCGACGGAGAAAAGACATTCTTTATGAAGGCCCGGATAATGGCTGGGCAAGCCGACATTTCTTACTCTACCAATCGGGCCAATCCCAGCGGCAAGGAAGGAGAAACTTTACCGGATACTAAAGTTCCAGGCGTTGGCAAGGGTGAGGCTAGGGACAAAAAGGGGGTTGTCGTCGATATGGGGTTGGATGAGATCGAAGACTTCAAGTGGTTGAGCAAAGATGAGGTGGAGGCGCATGTGCATCCGGACTATTGGGTCAGGGTGAAGAACATGCTTGTGGCGCAGTGAGATACACCAGACCTTGCCAGGCTTCGAAGATCTACTCTAATCCAGACATATCTGGAACAAATGAGGTCAGAACGCCTCCTTGTTTCTGCGAGGGACATCGTTTGCGCGCACAGGAATAAGGAAAGTAGTGTGCACCAGAGGTGAGTCTATTTTCTGAGGTCCAGGTCATAAACCTTTTGCTACAAAGGACGCGCGGGAAAAGGCAGGTGTCCAACAGCTTCCTGTATGCCCACCAGTGTATATCGGAAAAGGAGATATATGTACAGTATAGACGGCCCAAAAGAAGAAGACGAGGCAGCACGATATCATCTCATCATCTTGTTCGATTCAAAAGACCAGACAGATTAGTTGATGTATTATTTTTGGCCACACACTACATACATAGGAGAGACAGGGAGTGAGACAGAAGTGACATTGGATGGGATGAGATGAACGAGATGATCTCTATCATCTGGCCCATCTGACATTCGTTTTCTTTGAACCTATCTTCTAATAATCAATCCAATGTGAACGCAATTCTGATCTTTTGTAAACGTTCCTCAACTCTCCAAACCAACAAACAGCCACTCTCGAGAAAATGGTCCAACTTTGCCTCCCCATCCGAGAGACGAATTCTAGTAATGTCTTCCCTGCATGTAATGCCATACTGATTCACTTTTCCTTTCCCTGCGCCCATCCTAACCGTTTGGGCCCTTCCAATTCGGCTCTCTCTCTCTCCCTATTCCGAGTTGATAGCCAATTTCACCGGGCGTCTCTCCCCAGGCGCAGCCAAAGATGGTCCGTCCGCAACTTGTTATTTCGAGCATTTTAGAATTTCACGAGCAAGTCCACGACGACGCCGCGGTGGTCGCTCAGCCACACCTTGTCATCGAACCGGTTTGGCAGGACCGCGTACGCCTGCACCATTTCCTTGGCTTGGTCGTGAGATTGTCGTTGTCGTTGTTGTTGTTCTTGTTCCCTCTGGTCCGCCTCGGCAGGAATCCCCAGATGCACAAAGTCGATGCGTTCCCGGCCCTCGGCGGCGGGATCGGCGGGGAACCCCGTGAAGGTGAGTTCGTTCCCGTACGCGTAGATCTTGCCGTCCGCGTTGTGGTCGGCGCCGACGAGGCGGCGCGTGTCCACGAAGCCGGAGCCGGGCGCGTTGAGGATCTGGTACGCGTCGCCGTCCGGGTGGCTATTCAGGTCGCCCGTCAGGAAGGTGAAGGTCGGGCTGTACTGTGATCGCAGCCGGTGGGCGACCCGGAGGATTAGTTTGGCGGATTCGCGCCGGGATATCTTGCCTTCATGGTCGAGGTGGGTGTTCATGGCCAGGGTGACCTGGTTTTGTCCTCGTCCTCCCAAGGCAGGTGGGGCATGTGTCGATGTTGTCGTGGTCGTCGAAGCTCGGTGGTGGGCTGTGGTGTTGCTGACGAGGACCGATTCCAGCACGGCGCACGTCAGAATGCGGACGCTGTCCGCATCCCAGCCCTTCTTGCCCACTTCGCCCGTCTCGTTGAGCCAGACTGTTTCAGAATGGATACATTTCCAGGCGGACTGGCGGAAGAAGATGGGACTATACTCCCCTTTCGTTTTGCCGTCGTTGCGACCGACCCCAACGTAGGTCCAGTCGTTGTCGGCGCTCGAGGATTGTGACGACGCCGCTGTCGTCGAAGTATTAAACGTCCGACTGTGCAGGTCCAACAGCGGACCGTGGAGCACCTCTTGCATACAAACCAGCGTCGACTGGGGAGCGAAATGCGGACGCGTGTGGTACTTGAAGTGGCTCGAGAGGTGGGGGAAGCGGTCTGGCCACAGCTTCTCGCTTTCGTCTGGCGTGTCGGTTGCAAAGCGGATGTTATGAGTTAAGACTCTGATCGGCAGCACAGTGGACGACGACGACAACTCCTCTCCTCCCATAGGTGCCACCCCTGCAACGAGTTCTGGTGGGCAAGACGCATCACCCATGTTGAAGTATATTTATGCAAAGCCGTAGGAGTAGCAATGTGAAGCAAAAGCCAAAAGGTTTAGAGAGGACTAGATGTAGGGAAAGATGTCCCTGCTTGCATTCGATCTTCCTCTCACAAAGCCCTAGGACTATTTGTGCTGGGTGATCTATCACGATCGAGTTGTGAAGCACGCGGTAAATATAAGGGGAATCTTGCCGGACAAATTACGCTTTCTGGTGACAGGTCCTCTCGAGACCTCGCGCGTATCACAGCATGCAAGGGAATTAGCTTTCCTCTGACACGGCCACCCGTGAGGACGTGACAGAGCGGCCAGCCAAGGCAAAAGGGGGAGGATCGTCAGCAACAAACCGAGCTGAACCTTTGGAAACACAAGAGATGCCAGCGAACAAACCATCAGAACCAAACAGGACCGTGTTTCGACCGGCGTTTCAAATGACAGTCATTCGTAGAATTAAATATTGTGTAAGTGAAATGCGTGGTCAACGAGTAGGAGCCACGTGAGGACCTCAAGAGAAGTGACTGGCAGTCGGAGAAGGTAAGAGAGCGCATGGTGATGAGTGAAATTGCTAGGTGGACTAGCTAGTCCTGCCGAAGCATGTTTGGCGTGCAACACATGGCACAGAGTATACCTCTAACAGAGTGCCAACTCATCGAACGGACCGTCGTGGCAACATCTCCATTAGCCTGCGCGTGTCTCTCGCTTGCGTATATATATAGTCTGAGGAAGACTTGAAAGGGGAAATAGGATGTCGACCAGGGTGTTGCAGTCCCTTCATCTCCTGAGACACGTAAGAACTCTCACTGGAGAGCAACCAGGCTATACTCGAGCCTCGTCTCATGGGATGTCGGGTGATACCACGAGTCTACCTCATTCTTCAATCACAAAGAAGTTGCCAAAAGGAATAGTGTATGTCTTTACTCGATTGACTGCTGGCCGTCCTTTCGGGAGACTTCATGTAGTGTCACCTGGAGAAGGAACACGCTCGTCCCTTGCCTGTCTGTCACAAACCTGACTACTTGGAAATCGGCTTCATCTCAGCACATAACGCGCATAATTTGCCACGGAGAACCGCTAGCCAAAAGCTTACTTGGTGTACCTGTGGTCTGTACACCACTTCCTTCAAGCCCGGTAATCATTGTCGTGATGAGACAGAGAGGGGAGTGCCCGGATCATTCGTGAGACAGGCCTCGGTGTACGGTTCAATGTTTCCAGAGTGTCAGACCTGCCTTCTCCTCTAATATGAAATGGAGATTGCCAGAATCGACATGCACAGCTGGCATAACAAGGAGTGAGCAAAAGGCCCAAAGGCCTCAGCAGCAGGGAAGGGAGGATTTGGCGCGATGTCGGCTGGACTTGTAAGGGCGGGTTTCGATGTGGACGCTAAACCCGACAGGGCCATTAGCGCCCTGACGCGAAACTGCGCCTTGAAAGTCCGTCAAAGTCCAGAAAGTCCACAATGATTCCATACCAACCAGGACCCCCATACATCGTCGTGATCGCATCGAGTCCAGCTCCGCCGCATCTGGTATGTATCACTTTATTCTCCCAGGCTACACCCTATGTCTCCGGCGTGGTTTTTGATGAGGGTTAATAAATCCGGTGGCTGACTTGGATCACCCGTCCCAACGTCCATCTCCCATACAACCACAGACCTCATCTCAATGTCCGTCGCGATGGCTAATTCTATCACTAGACACGCGTCCAACCCCTGTTGGCCCCTTACTCTGTGTATACGCTGATCCTTTCGTGAGATGTCGACATGAGCAATACCCCCGACGGTGGAAATGCGGTCGCCGCGCCTGCTGAACCCACCGCCTCAGCGCCCGACGAGTCGATCGCGCAAGGCAAGGAGAGGGCCAAGGAGATTCTCGCCGCATCTGGTATAGATGTTGCGAGGATAGATTCTTCGACCGAGATCAACGGCCACGATGGCGGCCCAAACGCCAATCGCAAGCGCAAACGCGAAACGCCCGTAGACCGTGTCCAAGCAGCCGTCTATGTCGACCACGAGTACCACTACAAGGCCCTCTACGCAGAGCAGCTGGCTCATCCATTGCTATCACAGGAAAAAAAACAAGAGCTTGCGATATATCAGAGCCTGCGACAACGACGAGATATTGACCCTGGCGCTATCTTCGGGTATGGCTATGCAGGCTATGGCAATCCGAGGACAGACGAGAAGAATCTCCGAGACCCCATATTGTATCCGCGCCAAAGAAGGCCTGGTAAGAAAAAGACCTTACCTCCCCGCGTGTCACGAAAAGACCTCAATGTGCAAGCGGAACAGAACGAGGAGCTAGTGCCCATCCGGCTTGACATCGACTGGGGCAAAATCAAATTGCGGGACACCTTCACGTGGAATCTGCACGACCGAACAACCTCCGTCGAGTATTTCGCCGAGAAGTTGGTGGAAGATTTCGGCCTCGAAGTCCAGAACTGCCGGCCCCTCGTTCAAATGGCCGCAACCAATATACGCGAGCAGATCATGGACTATTGTCCTCAGATCTATGCTGAAGATGAGCCATGGGAGCCGTCCTTGCCATATTTCGCCTACAAGAATGACGAAATGCGTATTTTGGTCAAGCTCAACATCACCATCGGTCAAAATACCCTCATTGATCAGTTTGAGTGGGAAATCAACAATCCCTTCAACTCTCCCGAAGAGTTTGCACGGCAAATGACGAGCGATCTATCGCTCGCGGGGGAGTTTACCACCGCGATAGCGCACTCCATACGTGAGCAATGTCAGTTGTTTTCCAAGTCCTTACACATCACGGGACACCCATTCGATGGCCGGTTGATAGAAGATCCGGATCTGAGAGAGAACCTCCTGCAATCACCGTTACCAACCACGTTTCGTCCTTATCAAGCCGCCAAAGACTATACGCCCTACCTATACGAACTCAACGAAGCGGACTTGGAGCGGACCGAGCTATCCATATCTCGTGAACAGAGAAGGCAGAAACGTTCGACGAATCGTCGTGGAGGTCCGGCTTTGCCAGATCTCAAAGACCGCCAACGCACCATTCGGTCGCTCGTTGTTTCGTCGGTCATTCCTGGGGCTGCTCTGAGCATGGAAGAGAGTCGAATTTTCAGAGTGACCAAGGCGAGCCGGAAGTCCGCACGCGGACAGCGAGACGGTTTCGAGGATTCCGACGAATCCGACAGTGAAGACTCGGCGCCTGATTCGCCAGCCATCCCGACTCACTTGTTGCAGCAAGGCACTGTTCGTACTAGAGGTATTAGGAATGCGGCGCTGTCTGCCACTGCTGGCATCCGGTCGAACTTGAGCGGCTTTGCATCGGTAAGATCTGCAACACCGGAATCGGTCGCACCTACACATCACGATGGTCGAGCATCTGCTAGGAGGAGAGACTATAAAGAAGAGAGCGAAGATGAATCTGTTTCGGGCAAACTCATTGTGGTATTGAAAGTGGGAAAAGCTAAGCTTCGTGAATGGATGCGGTCGCAACGAGCCAAGGACCGGGCGGCGCAAATCTCTACTTCGTCGACCCAGGGCAGCCCACGGCCTGGCAGCCACTCACGATCTGTTTCTGCAGCCCCGTTGAATCTCGCAGGCATGCCGCCTCCCCCATCGCCAGTTCCAGCGGCCGCAGATATCCCAGGTGCCGTTGATGCAACGCCGAGTCCGATTAATCCACCTGTAAGTACCCCTGCCTTCGCGATTCCTGGATCTATACTTACCTTTTCTGCTCCTAGCCTCCACCGCCCGAATGGCTTGTTCGAGATTTAGAACGATTGCGGAAGATATACCCCGATGACCGTTTCGAGGCTCTCATGAAGCACACAGCCATTGATCCAAAGACTCAGAAACTTGTCGCCCCCAATGAGTTGAATCACTCGTTTCCGCACAAATATGTCCCGCGTATCAGATGCTCTGACTGTCTTGTATGTTCCCCCACCCTTTAATTCTGTCTCTCGTCTACCGAGTATCCGTTTTCACTTCCATCCTAAGCCATGGATATAGACTGACAATGATCCACAGGGCAAAGTTTACCTCCCTGGTGAAGGGCTGAGCGCCACGAATTTTGAATCTCATCTCAAGAATCGCGTCCACAGATCCAATGTGGACGACCGACTGGCGAAGGAATCATGATCCGCTCCAGATCCATAATGCTGCGTCGCCCGAGTTGAAATGGTCGCGACTCCGACGCACTATATGTACATGCGTCCAACCCTCTGCGCTTGGAAACGTTATATGCTGCGAGGCTGAGGTCACGTGGGCATACTACCGCTCCCTTTTGGTACACACATTCTGTTAATTGGATGCTTCAGCACAATCACGGAGCTTAAAATTGAGGAAACGAACATGAACAAAAAAGGGATGCTTCTAAGCAGCTACAACTTGTTATGCTGCTAGGATTGAACAGAAGTCCACGAAAAACATTCTCAATCTGAGCGGAAATAGCCGGCACGTCCTTTTGGTGATGCCTACCGTTGACTAGTCGTGGAGAAGCCGTTCTTGAGACAAGGAATAAAGGGCTAACGAAGCTGCATGATGATAGAGTTCCTGGTAGAAGCAAGGTTCTGGATGCGTATTCACAGATATTCGTTAAGTGCTTCTCATTCTGCCAGAGCAGGGGTACTGTAGATCTAGAGAAGTCTTGTACATTGCTTCATTGCACGCTCCCAGTGTCAACTGATGTGCGCTGAACGTCAAAACGTCTCTTCACTGTCCGTAGCTGCAGTGGAAAGAAGGGCAATTCCTTTGGTCGTGTGATCTTAGAGGACTCCGTGCAAAACGCAATGCTGCCTTTACTAGCTTTGCATCCCCGCATCCACACAATGGAAATTCATTGCACCCCACTACTACATTAAATATCCCTCCAAAAGGGTTGCATGTTGGCGACTTCAACTGTGAAGCCACACATTTCTTTTTGGCCAACTCTACCTGCTTGCTCAAGATGTCTGAGGCGGCAGTAGCAGAAGGGATTAACAATCCAGACAATCTCACCAAGCAAGTCTGTCCGTTTCGACTGGTAAGTATTTTGTGACTGACATCAGGCTCAGGTACAAAACCGCCGCTACCATCAGCCACAAAGTCCTCGAGGAAGTCTCCAAATGGCTGGTCGACGGAGCCAAGATTGTCGACCTGTGCATCAAGGGCGATGAGCTTCTCGAGGCTGAGCTCAGCAAAGGTGAGGCTTTGCCCCCCTCGCGCCACAGTTGTCACCCTCTCTACACCCAACTGCGGACAAGAGGACTTCCTCGGATATTTTTGGGTCTAACCTACAAGCTCTGTAGTCTACAAAGGAAAGTCCATCAACAAGGGAATTGCCACACCTTGCACAGTATCCCCTAGCTCCCATGTCACTCCCTTCACCCCTCTGGTGTCGGACGCCGAGGACGCCGCCCTGACCATCAAGGGCGGTGAGCTGGTCAAGATTCAACTGGGTGCACAGATCGACGGCTATGGTGCCATTGTGGGGGACACTGTTGTAGTGCCACAAGAGAAAGGGAAGAAAGCAGAAATCACGGGCAGGGAGGCAGACTTGCTGCTCGCCACATACTACGCCAATGAACTCCTGCTCCGCCTCATGGTGCCTCCTGGACTGCTGGCAAGCGGTACTGATGAAGAGAAGAAGAAGGCTGCTGCAGAAAAGCCACCGACACAGACCAAGATAATCTCGCTGATTGATAAGGTCGCCAAAGCCTATGACGTCCGTGTCGTTCAGCATACCACGTCCTGGCTGTTTGAGAAAAATGAAATCGAGGGCAAGAAGAAGATCATCCTGTCTCCCGCCGACGGTGCCAAAGGAGAAGGCTCGGCCGAAGTCGGCGAGGTGTGGGGGGTCGAGATGGGCATGAGTCTGGGATCTGGCAAGGTCAAAGAGCTGGACAAACGATCAACCCTGCTGAGGCGGACCACTACGACCTATGGCCTGAAGCGGCCGAGCTCGAGACAGGTTCTGTCAGAAATCGTCAAGAAATTCGGCACCTTCCCTTTCAGCTTGCGACAGCTGGATGATGAGCGAGCCGGCAAAGTTGGCGTGGTCGAGTGCATCAGATCAGGGGTACTACGTGAATACAAGCCAGCCGCAGAGGCGGACGGTTCTCCGGTCTCCAGGTTGTTCACCACCATTGGTAAGTCGGACCGTCCTGTGTCTGATTTGCTGCATTATTGCTGACTGTTGGGATTTTTTCTTCTTCGTGCAGCCATCACAAAGAACGGTCTTACACGCCTAGCAGCTCCACCTCCATTGGATCTGGAAGCCGTCAAGTCCGACAAGAAGATCGAGGATGAAGAGGTTCTCTCAATCCTGGAGCGACCACTCAGCAAATCCACTGGCTCCAAGAGCAAGAACAAGAAGAAAAAGAAGAAGCCCGCCAAGAAGGCTGCCGCCGCCGCCGCTACTACCGAAGACGACGACGATGATGACGAGGATGATAGCGACGAAGAATGAACAGCTCCTCCTCCTCCTCCTTTATCCGCAGCCACCAAACCCTCTTGCCTGAATGGGCAGATGTGAGCGTAAGAGTCATCTGGCACCGAGGTCAATGGGCCACTGCGGAAAGTCACTTCTGACGGTCCACAAGATACATAGGAGCTGGTTGGGTATCAGATGCAACCTATGTTCACAACCGAGAGAAAGTGTGTTTCAGGACGGTTGGGAGGACCTCAGGGAGGTGAGCCCATGTATGGTGCTTATCACCAGCGCCCCAATGGACGCAAATGAGGCAACGAGAAGAATGGACAACGAGCGGCGAAATATGACTACCCAATGAACAATCAATGAGAGAATTGTTGCAACCATGATTTTTATTGTGTGATTCTGCCTGGGCTTCCGTAGCTGGGTTTCTTCATCCTCCTAGGCTCTAGATGAAGAGGGGCAAAAGCCTGACTAGTCAGGGATGCAGCCCTGCGTATGCCGCCACGTCATGACAAAGACCACTATTGTTGCCTGGGATCAGGTTGAGGGCTGGTGATATATGGATGGATGACACGTCTTCAGCTGAACAAATCAATCTCAGAGGTCTGTGGTGGGACGGTACAGCATAACAGCTGGGAGAGTCGGCACAACGCTATTATCCGGGAGACAGCCACAGGAAAAGAAAAGGGATTGTGATTATTAAAGAAAACAGGGAGCTCTCAGCCTTGGGGGTCTTCAGCTGTTTTATGAGAGGGCTTAAAAGGACGCCGAGCAGTTGCCGCTGCGGAGGCCGGCGGGCGACTGGCCACTGGGCAAGCAACACGGACGCAGGGTGCAGCTAAGGCTAAGTGCCCCTTGCCCGATTCTTCTGTCACCACTGGACTCTGGCATTTCCTCGTTTGCGGAACCACAACACCATGCTCCGTTGACTTTCTCCTTCTCGCACCTCGTCACAGCCTGCACCCTCTCCCCGCTGAGCCGCATCAAAGGCTACGGTAAGTCTTCGTCTTGCCCCCGGTGACACGTCCCTGAACTAATTCTCTCGCAGTCGGCGCGTGCGGCGCGGAGAAAAGAAGGCAGCATGGCCACCAGATCATTGCGGCACAGGTCCAGCCGCTACTCGAGTCCCGCCACCTTTGGGGACAAAGAGGCTGCAGCAAAGCCCATTGAGGAGGTCTCGACGAGACATGGTCAGCAGACGAGCCTGGACAAATGGATTGAGCCCGCTGTGCGACCTGCGGTGCCCAGCTTTGAAGATACAAAAGGTCTGGAGAGGGTGGGCGTGCTGGAGAACATGCAGCCCTTGGGGACGGCGCCTTCTCAACGCATGCTACAAAAGCTCAAATTGAACTATGTCCGGCCTTCACCACGACCAGCTCCGGCACCGGTGGAGGACGTTGTCACGCCCGTGGCAGAACTTGAAAAGGCGGACTCAGCATCCCCGTTGGAGGAGGACGTGCCCGTGACAACAGCGACAACTGAGGCCGAGCAGCCTGAAGGATTGCCCGATAACCCATCGAATCTTCAACGATCCTTTGATCCCATGGTCATTTCCAGTCCTCCGCGCGGTCGACCGCCTCGACGGGATGTTGCAGAGATGCCTCAAGCAGCTACGGTGTCGCCGTCTCCTGCCACGTTATCCTTTACGCCCACCACTCAAGCGTCACCCAAACCGTTATCCATTCAGCAGCAACTACGACAAGACCGAATTCGAATTCATGTCGACCGTGCTATGCTGGAAGCACATAACAAAAACACGCCCGACCTGGTCCGTGGGCTCCAGACAATCCGCGACGATGCCCAGGTGAATCCGGACCTGTGGAATCTGTTGGAGGCTTTGATCAACGGCTCCCCCACCTTTGAGCAGTTCAAAGTCTTCAAGCGCTACATCAAGTCGGGCGTCAAGCAGCATAGGAGGGAAAGTCAAATGTCGGGGAGCCCGTATCAACCTTCTCCCATGTTCAACGATTTCGCTTCCCCTGAACACCGAGAACGCTCGCCGAAACCTAACCACTCAGACGCCAACGGGCCCTTGTTCTCCGAAGAGCGGCCTCACAAAATCAGTCTCTCCTTCAACTTCCCGCGTGCGGCGGCTACCTACGGCTCCGAAGAAGCGCCAGTGTCGCCGTCGAGGATTGCGCGTTCTGTGGAGGTTGCTGAACCAGGCCGAAGATCGAGCCACCGCGCCTCCCATTCATCACCATACAAGCGGAAAAGGACGGGCAGTGTGTCGACCATCTCGTCCCTTTCGTCAGCTCCCTCTGATGAAGTCCAACCTCCCTGGGAGCCACCGGGCGGCGACCATGGAAGGGGTGGTGGCGGATCCAGATCAGCTGGACAACGCCAATCTGCAAACCGGATGGCAGCTGGCAACCGACTTCGTTCAGCTGCCGGTGCTACCGCTCTCCCTTCTCAAGCTGTTCCCAAACAATCCTATCCCGAAGTTGCGACTTCCTCCAAGACAACCTCGAACAAAAAGACCAAGAAATCGCGAGAAGACACTGAGTTCGACATTGATGAATTCTCGAGGCGGAAGCGGGCTTATCTGGAAGACAGCTTCCATGATTACAACACCATTCCTCGACCCGAGAGCCACGAACGAGATGCTGTCCATGGCCATCCAGTCAAACCTGTGTCGTCCACCGACAATCCTCCGCCTCCTGTTATCCATCCAAACCGACTCGTTGTTCCCACCGCCACGTTGACGTCGCCCACGAACGCTCAGGCGCCGCCTGATAACACCTTGGTCAACGGAACTGGCCGTAAAAGAAGATACGATGAGGTGGACGCTGATGATCTCGATGATTCGACCGCCGACTCGTCCTCTCCTGGTCCGTTGCTTGTACCACCACCGCCACCGGGCGTGGCAAACGCTCACCCACGGGGTGCGACCCCAAGATCGACCAGGCTTCACCCAGCACCGAAGACGCGCAAATCGGCGCGGGTCATGGTATCGTACGTATTCGCCCTCCGTTGTCTTGTGTTTCTCATTACAGTGCCCCGGGTAAGATAATTTGGGGCGGCGGATGGTTCGGGCTTCCCCTGTTGGGCTCCCGCCACCATGTTTGGGAAGGCTGCCATCAATTACCCTCTGATCTTGCTACCTTGGGGGGACAGACTGGCTGACATTGAACCCATAGGCCCAACAAGCCAAAGAACGGCGGAATCACGGCTGGAATTGCACGTGCGGGGCCTGGGCGTGATGCTGGGATCGGCAATTTGAATGGAGCGGATTCGGGCGCAGAGGTGAGGAAACAAGCCCAACCCCCCCCGGCACGCACCAGACTTCTCATCCTGCCACGATTGGCCCCGGCCCATCATCGCCCCCTGACCACCGTGTGTCTCCCTACTAATCCCACTCTCATCATTCTTTTGGGCCTTTCTTTTTCCTTGATTCCGACATCCCTGCCCCATTTCCCCGTTGCCTGCATCCTTTTTGGCTCCGACCTTGGTGATCGGTTTTTATCCTCCATTCCTCTGCCTGGCATCGTGATTGATGTTGCACATATCAATTACTAACTTGGTTTTTCAGGACAACGACGAGTTCTGTGCATCGTGCGGTGGCGAAGGGAAGCTTCTTTGCTGTGATGGCTGTACGAATTCCTTCCATCATGCCTGCCTGGAGCCTCCGTTGAATCCGGACGAAGAGGTCGAAGGCGAATGGTACTGTCCGCGATGTGTAGGCCGGCGAACGAAGCAGGTCCCTCATCCATCTGGGCTGTTGGGCTTGGTTATCCGCCGCGTTGACGACATCATCCCGAAAGCCTTCTCACTGCCGGCCGACATCCGCGACTACTTCGAGGGAGTGCGGACGGGTGACGAGGGCGAGTATGAAGAAGTCAGCCTCCCCCGCACCCAAAACCACACGGCCAAGATGAACCGTGCCGGCTTCATCGAGGAGCCCAATTACAAGGAGACTCGCGACAGCAAAGGCCACATCATCCGATGCTACCGCTGCAACATGACGGCCAACGGCCGCGACATCATCCCGTGTGATTTCTGCCCCGCGAGATGGCATCTGGATTGTATCGATCCGCCTCTGGCCATTCCGCCACGCCGCCGCCCGGGCGACAAACCCGGAGGCACATGGCGATGTCCTCTCCACGTCGAACATGACCTGGTTGCGGTCGGTCGGCAGAGTGAGAAAGCCCCGGGGGAGCTCGGTCGCGTACCTCGATTGCGCAAGCCAAAGAACGCTATGCCACTCGATGTCAGTGTGAGCCGAGGGTTCAGAAACAATGGCATCATCGAGGTCGACCTCATGAAAGACGAACCTGAGCTTGACAAAACCAAGGAAGTCCAAATGCATGGCAAAATCTACCGGATTCCAGAACAGGGCATTCGACTGGATTTTATTGATCGGGTCAAGAAGAGCTGGTACGAAGACCACTCCTTTCCCCGACAGATGGACGCCCCCAAACGGATTCGAAATCGCCGATATCGTCCTGACGGGGCTGTTCTTCACCATCCGCCTCAACAAACTCTCGTCAAGATCCGAGAACCCGACTTCTTCACGGGTGCGAATGCTCTGGCCATCACAGAGACGGCCAAAGCAAACGTCGCCTTGCGGAGACGAACGATCCGAGAACAGCAAGCCGTCTTGAATCTCGCTCAAATGTCCCAGAAGGGCATCGACGGCTACTCTGGGGACGCGTTGGCAGAGCTGACAAATCAGCTGATCAGCGAAGCTCCCGCTGATGTTGTGGACGCTGTCGAGAAGACCGAGTATGATCAACTCCTCGAATTACAGGAGCTTATCAACAGAAGGCTTGCGATTTTGAGCCACGCGACGCATTCTTCACGCTCACTCTCCCGCTCACGCTCGACATCCATGGATGCCGGGTCTTTCGATAACAGCTTCACGGGCGACGAAATTCCGCCTATACAAGATCCACATATTGATCCAGTCCTCCGAAGAGCCAGTTTGAATGAACCACTAACATCGTCGCCGCCACCACCTCCTCCTTCTGATGATGATCTGCCCCTGCCTGTCGATCCTGTATTACATGTGGCTTCTCCGGCTGACCTGTCTTATCCTAAAATAATGAATGGCGTCGAAATTGTTGAGTTGTCATCCGACCCGGAAGAGGAAAGTATAAAAGGAGAAGAGGAAGAGGGATATGAGGAAGACAATGAAGATGATAATCAGGATGATACTCCCCCAGCTCCTGTCCACGAAGCTGCAGCCCACCGAAGAGCTAAAGAAGAAGCTGACAGACGATGGCTTGACGCATATTTTTCGCCGAGGACCGTACCTCCTTCGAGGAATGTTCCTACGAATCCGCCCGCACAGGGTTATGGAAGTAGGAGCAGTGTCGACAGCATGGAGACTTCACCTTGAATCTGCATTTTCATTAATTGGAGACCCAAGGTCTAGAAGGCCTTGTCGACGGCCCACGTTACGCCAGCACCCCAGTCAAGCCCTTGTCCGAGTCGGAAAGCTGTATCTAGAGCGTGGTCAGATGTGAAACTGGCAATAGGAGAGACTCCCGTGGCAGATATCCGGACACATCACAAACCCGTTCAGATGAGGATTTGGGATATGAAATCCTGTTTTGGAATCAGAATTTTGAGCATTTTCCGGCTACTGAGTCCGGTCAACAGGTCCGGTCAACAGGTCCCCATGTAAGACTCGAGCGAAGCAGACGAAAATCGTGATACGTTAACACCCACTTGATCTTTTATTCAAAAGTGAGATACGTGCGGCATTAGGGGATGAGATGTGGTTGTGGGTTTTATGTCAAGGCGATGTGCTCGGTAGACGCAGATGCAGTATTCCCCGGTTCCTGTACAGAGAGGCAGGCGTCTGTGGTGAGCAGGGAGGAAGGGCGGAGGAGAAGCAGCAAAGTTAAACACACACATATATTCATACGTTCATACGTTCATACATACGTACGCACCGTACATTGTTTATTTGTTTGCTTGTGGTTCTATGACCCGCACGTTGGTGGAGGCCGGGCAGTCACAGACAGACAGGCAGACAGACTACAGACAGACAGACTTTTGTATCGTATGTATGTGTGTATATATGTACCATCCGACATTATCAACATTTACGCCATACATATGTGTTTATGTGTATACGTATATGTGACGTGTGTGTAATGTGATATATATATATATAGATAGATAGATATAGACATAGGTTAATGATCAATGATCATCACGTGATGTATGTCGAGAGGCAGGCAGACAGCAGCCATCAGGGGGAAGAGATCAAAATATGAAAGTTTCCAGGAAAGGGGGAAAATAAACGCAATGCCTGTCTGTCCTGCTCAGGCCAGGAAAAGGGGAATCAGCTATTCTAGTGATCTTCCGGGAAGGCTGGCAGGCAGGCAGGCAGGGAGGGAGGGACGGAGGACGAGGGCTTTGCGGGAAACAAAAAACAGGACAGTCTTTTGGCGGTATTCGTCGGTCGGCACGGCAGGCCCCCCAGGCCTTAATGGCTGGGTGACATCGGCCCCAGCAATGGATGGATGAGAATGGAATGGATGGAATGGAATGCACACAGCCATGTCTGAGAGATTCAATGTGCACAGTTCAGTTCTCGACTAAGAGAGAGAGAGAGAGAGAGGGAGAGAGAGAGATGCCATTCGACGCCCCCAAGCTTGCGATCCCCATCCCCCAAAACTGCACGTCATTGTTCATGTTGAAAGTTGTGCCCATCCTCTCGCATGTTACTCCCTCTGCACGATTGCCCAGTCGCCCCTGTGACCAAACGCCCCTGAATGGCTGATGAAAAACCACCCCATTTGTCCAACGTGGTCGGGAAGAGAAGCTCGGAAAACCCCATCTCCAGCACGGAGATGTGTCGGTCTGAGTCGGAATATGGCATCATCTGTCTTGCGCGCGTTTCGCCCGAAAAAAAGTTGTGCGAAGATGCCGTCGGAGTCTTTGCGTGTCCAAAACGAGTCCAATGTCTCTTGCATGTGAGAAAAAGGCGCCGGACACGGGAGCAAGACCTGAGAAAGGAAAATGGAAGAAATTGTGCTAGTATCCAAAATCTGATTAGCGTTAGGGAAACTTCGATTGTGATACAGCAAGCGTATCACGAACCTCGGAAGGAAAATAAAAAGTGAATCCCCCTTTGCTCAGTGTCCGAAGCCCTGAACCCAGCCGCCATCACAAAATCGTGCACTTCTTGGTGCTCTTTTTTGGTGGAGGTTCAAGTGCTGCCACAATCGCCTCATCAAACACGTCCTTGAGCTTATACTGCGTGAGGGCGCTGCACTCGACGTATTTGACGGCACCGAGCTCCTTGGCCATTCTCTCGCCGTCTTCCTTGCGGACAGGCTGCATTTTCTGCTTGGCAAGCTTTTCCCGGACAGATGGATCATCTCGGAGATCAGTTTGAGTGCCAACAATGAGACAGGGAACTCCAGGACAATGATGGTGGACCTCCGGAAACCATTTTTCTCTCACGTTTTCAAACGAGGCTGGTGATGTGACAGAAAAGCAAACAAGGAAGACGTCGGTCTGGGGATATGACAGCGGTCGGAGACGGTCGTAATCCTCTTGTCCAGCGGTATCAAACAGGCCCAACGTGTATGGTTCATCGCCGATCCTAAAACAACCCAGATCAGCTCACGTGCTCAGGGTCAGACGGACCAATGCCAAAGGTGACACCACCATCAGATCGACAAGATTAAGAAAGAAATCGATGTTTGGAGACAGATGTCACCCAGGGATGAGACCAAGCCATGTAACTGCGTGAAGCCGTGAAGATGGGGCCACTTTCTGAAAAGGATCGGCGGGGGGAGAACTCACATCACCGTCACGGCATAGTTGTCGAAGACTGTAGGGACATACTCGGAGGGGAATTTGTTTGTGGTGTAAGAGATCAACAAGCATGTCTTGCCAACGGCACCGTCGCCGACAACCACACACCTGTGTCGGAATATCAGTCGGGGCCGTCTCATTTAGCCGTGACCAGCAGACTCACTTAATCGTTGCAACAACCATCCCGTTCTCGTCGATCTCGAATATGTTGTCTTCAAGGCGACGGATGCGGGTCGGATTCAACGGTCTAAGGGCGCGCACTCTTAGTCTCCGTGTCGCCAGTCCGAAATTCTTGAGACGGGATAACATTTTTGGGGGAGTCAGTCTTACCGAGGAAAGGGAGAAGTGCCACAGGAGTAACGATCGTGTGAGAGGAGAGTTAAAGAGGCGGTGTTTGTGAGGCTCGAGGGTGTCACTTCACTTTTCTGCCCGGAATATGAGGGCGGTCGGGGAGTTCCAATGAGGAACGACTGTCACTAAAAGTGCGAGATATCGAGTGCTGCGGAGAGAATCTCAATTCTGTCGGTTTCCCAATCAGCTTATGTTATTCCGTCTTCTTTTTTTCCTCAGTCGGATGCTCACAAGGTCGGAAGCGAAGGACGGGGTCGAAGGTAGGCGCGGGCACAGAGAGCAGGGCGGTCAACGGCCCTAGCGATTAGGATCGAAGAGGAAATTGACCAGCAAGAGAAGGGATGGATATGTTCAAGAAACAGAAGATGGTGAAGGAAGTCTAGTCTTCAGTAAGAGAGCAGTGCATTTACCGGAAATGACAATGTGTGCGAGGAGGCGCAAGAGGGTGAAAGTGGTGTCAAGGGGCAGGGTTTTGGGAAAGAAGCGTGATGGACGAGGAGGAGGAGGTCGACGTGGAATGGGCAGATGGAGACGCAGATAGGGAAGGGGAATGCAGCTGGCCGCGATAGACGAGGGAAAGGGAAATATAGGGTATGGGGGCCGAGGCCCTGCCTTTAGGCTCATTAGGCTCACTAGGCTGCGGTCCCGGGGGTGCTTTTTGGGCGGAGCAGCCTGTCTTTGGGCACCCATTCTGTCTAGAGACCGCCCACGGTCCGCCTGGGACGGCGGCCTGCAGTGACGGCTCTAGGCTGAACAGAGTAGCAGGGTGGTCCTTCCACCAAGGCCGCTTCACTCCTGGGGCAGCTTTTCATCAAACTCAAGATTGCACCGGCAAAAGAAAGGACTCGCCTATCTTCTGTCAACCTTGACAACAAACTCAAGCCTTCGTGCGATGCTCGATCTGGCATGGCTCGAAACGCGAAACTCTTGCGCGCGAGAAATAACCCTCTCCCCCCGGACCTGGTGATGAATATAATATACGGTCGGACCACGAAATTCAGCTTGGCGCCCAATGACTCGAGCACGCAATTCACGGGCTTTTTGGGCACAAAGGAGCGAGTCAACAATCTGGGCTTATCGCTCCTCCGTATTCTGCTCAACGGGAAACAGCCACACGAGTGGTGAAAACGCGTCGATGAAAACGCAATCGGGCGCTGCGCCTACTTGAAACGGCGTCTCGTGCTCGTGTCCCTTATCCCGCCCAGATCTCATAATCATCATCAGTGCTTCAAGATCGAAAGGCTTGGTCGAGGCTTGTCCATCCCATCACATTCACTATCGAGAGAGAGTATATTACACCCTGCAGAAGCGCGTGTGATACTATCCTCAACCCCGTCACGGTTGTTGTTGTGTCATGCCCTTTCGTGCCTCGAGCCATGCCACCTTTGCGTCGCAAAGACCAGTAATATGTACATTCTCGTAACATGGCTCGAGCCGGCGGCAACGTCCAAATGTCGTCTCTTGCAGTGCCCGAATTCCGTCACAAATTCAGAGGGATGCTGTCAAAGGATGCATCAAAACACGCATTTTGGTTCACGCCGTAATCCCACACTATTAGAACTGAGATATTGCAAAAGATCACCAGTAAAACCCTCATTCAAAGCACAGGTGCAATTCCAGATATCCCCAAGACCGGTACTGCCCAAAAGATCCACGGATTAGTTGTTCATTTATTTTGCTCCTATTTCCTCCTCAGCCCAGCCGGAGAGACCTCCACGGCTGTCGCTCGTCAATCCAAGTCCATTAAACCCACTGGTCCCGAAGCCAGTGCCAAAAACTGATCCAAACCCGCCGAAGCTGCCCTGAGGCGCATGTCCACCGAAGCCGCGTGATGACGACGGGCCTGGCTGGGTAGACTGTTGGCTGCCAAAAAGCTCTTGCGAAAACGCTGGGAGCGACACTGCTCGAGAATGGGCACTCCGACTGGCTCCCAGTCCAGTATTCGTAGGGGCCAGGAGCCCTCCAACGGTGGTGGACGCACCATTGCTCAGAGAGTTCGAATTGAATCCGCCACTGATGCTACTTTGTCGAGGAATGTGCGACGGAGTGGGCATCTCCAGTCCGCTGTGTCCGTTCGGCATCTCACCGTACAGCGCCGCCTGTTGGTTCGCCAAAGCCTGATTCTGTTGCTGCTGTAGCTGGGCAAATGTCAAGGAATCGTCCCGCAAATCCTGTTCAGCTTGAGCCTGCTGCTGCGACACGTGTGACAGGTACATTGTCAGCGGGTTGTTGCTGCCTGCGTTTAGAATTGCTGACGGTGTTGGCGCAGTCAGGGCTGGCTGACGTGGAGCAACTTGAGACTGTGGCCCCATTGAAGCCTTGGGGCCTGTTGGAATAGCTGACCTCGTGGGGCTAGAGCCTGACTGCGACACAGCATGGTCAAATCCATTCATCCCAGCTGGGGAACCAGCGCTGTCAATGGAATTCTGAAGACGCGACTGGTTGCCGTTGGCGTTGTTCAGGTTCTGACGTGGAGGATTGCCGCACCGATCTTTGCCGAAGTTGATCTTGAACCGTTTGTACTCGTCCCGTTGCCGGACAGCCTCAATAGCCTTGATGGCATTGGCGATGTTGGTAAAGTTGACAAAGGCGCAGCTCTTCTCCCGCAGGGTATTGACCAACTCAATTTCACCGTACTCGGAAAAGTCTTGTCGTAGCCGTTCTTCGCTCCAGCTTTCGTCGAGATTACCGATATACACATTCCGCGAGGCTCCTCCGCTCACGGCTAGAGCAATGGCGGGCGGAAGGGCTCCCGAGTGTTTGCCCCAGCCGATCTTCAACCGCCTGTTATGGATCATCAACCCCTGAAGGTTGCTCAGAGCATAGAATGATGCAGCAGACGTGGGGTCAATAAATGTCACAAAGCAGATGTGCTTGTCGGGGATATATCGGATGTGGTGGAGGAGCCCTCCACGCACGACGTTGCAAATCTCCTCGATGGTGGTCTCTGGGTGAATATTTCCAAGATAGACAGTTCGATTTCCGAGATTGTTGACACCACCCGCAGTCGTGGCAACGGCAGCCGCCGCTACCGATTGCTGCGCCAGAGCATTGGATATCAAATCGCGGTCGGCTCCATTGAGAACGTGAGCGTACCCAGGGGCGATGCCCAGGTATTGTGCTGCATTCTGTTGCTGCGTCTTGGAAACATAGGCACACCGGTCCTTGCCGTAGTAAACCCGACGGGGAGGGCCCCATTTGGGATCCTGTGGCAGCTGAGCCACGGCTTTGACAGCATTGCTGATGGAAAGGAAATGGACGAAGCCAATCGCCTTCTCGCGAACCATTTTGACGGTGTCAATGGGTCCAAACTTACCCAGGTCCTCTCGAATCTCCTGTTCAGTGATTTCCTCGGGAAGGTTGCCCAGATAGACATTCCTCGAAGCACCTGACTGTTGTACAGCCAGGGCAACTGAAGTAGGCACCTGAGACGGCTTCCCCCAGCCAATCTTGATATCGTGACCCTTAATTGAGAGCTTCTTCAGGATGGCATCTGAATGAAAATGCGTCGCAGAGCTGCTATCCAAGAACGAAATGAACGCACAGTTCTTTTCGGGTAGAAGCCTGACGGATTCGATCTGACCGCTTCGAACGTGACTCAGGATCTCCTCTGCAGATGTATCCGCTGGAATGTTGCCCAAGTAGACCGTGCGACTTGTTCCAGTCATCCACGAGTTGCCCATTCCCACCATGGGTTGGTAATGTCCGAACGCTGCCCCAGCTAGGCCACTGAAGCTGGTGGGGGACTGTGCTGTATAGCTTTCAGGCGACATGACCGTTTGGTACGCCTGCGGCGAGAGGGGATTGGCACTGGGCTGAGTGGGACTTGCGAGCTGTGCCTGAGCATGCTGGTTTTGCTGATACTGCTGCGTTTGGGTGTGAAGAGCGTTTGTTCCCGGAGCAAAGCGATTGAAGGTGGGAAACTGGGGAGAAGCGAAGGCACCAGGAGAACCAGGCTGGAAAGGGCTGCCCAGCAAGAGCTGAGAAGGCAACAAAGGTGTGAAATTCATATCAAAAGCGGTAGCTGGTGTCTGCTCGGTGACATTATAACTATGTTGTTGCTCTTTCGTGGCAGTAGCAATCGAAGGAATGGTAGGCTTTCTCATGTTGCGATCAGGAAATGGATAGCCTGTGTGGTTCGAATTGTACGCGCCATGACTGAAGCCTGTATTATCAGTCCCAAATTTTGTAGAAGCAAAGCGGTTGCCAAATCCCCCAAACACGTCCTGACTCTGCATTGCAGCAAGCATATGGGATTGTTGATGGATCGTGTCCTCAGGACCAGGTCCAAGGACAAGTAGCGATCGTCTTTGTTGGTGGTAGTAGGGAAAATGGGTGGACAGAAGCACGAACTTGGCCGTCAAAGCACTGATTCGAGCTTCGCAAACAGGAAGGATTGGCTGCAGGTATGCCTGAAGATGCGGAGAGGACTCGGGATGGAGAGTCTGTACAAAAACGAAGGGGTTGGTTGAATGTGGACTGGTACGAATGGAGTCTATAAGGAAAAGATCGAAAATAAGATCGACTCAGGAATGGAACGAGCGAATGAAGGGAACAAAATGATGGGACTAGAAGAGAAGATGGGTCAGAGGCGAGGAGGTAGAGAGAGAATGAAGAAGAGAGAGAGTAGGGCCAAAATTCAAGGAGGAGAGCAACGGTGAACCAGCAGAAGAATGAGGGAACCAGCTTAGAAACGGAAGCAATCAATTGACCGGGGGTCTAGAGTCTAGGAAAGTGCCAAATTGAAATGGGTGGCTAGGGAAGGGGATCAGAAATAAGGGGGAAAGTACCCGGAGAAAGGGACCAGGCACGCGGGAGTGGACTCCAAACCGGACAATTGCAAGACAAACCGTGGCCAAGTGCCCAGCCTATTGCTTTTGGGGGGACGGTCAACAGCATTCCATTACAAGCCTAAGCCCCGTCGCCACGGTCCTGATACAGGCTTGCAAGGTTGAAGAGCCTCAGCGACCCAGCAGGAGGCTCTGACCGCGCTCTCTTCGGGCTGTAGGTGGGCATGTTTTCGAAGAATCTGATACAGGAGAAAACCGATTTAAGGTTCACAACGTGTGGCTGCACGGGGATGATCAATCTGCAGGCTGATGCAGGTAAGGCGGCACTATCAACAGTTTGGTTAGACGATAGATTGCTTTTATGGAGAAGCTGGGTAGGGGCCGGGGGGGAGGTGGAAAATGGCCCAATTGAAGCCAGGTCTTGGGCTGAACAACCCAGGGAGGCCATTTCCGCAACAAATCCCATACGAAGATAGGGAGAGGAGCTTCCTCGAGACAAGACAAGGGGAAGCTCTCCTGCCAACGTTTGTCAGTCTCCCGGCGATCAATGCGGAGTGCCGTCAACCACGTCGGGGGAGTCATTCTGTGAGAGAAACATGGCTCTTGACAGGCGGAAGCTGGGACTAGCCCACTGTGTACAAGTAAGGGTGGTGTGGCGCTGGGTTTTTGATTGCCCTTTAAACGACTGAGGCTGATTGGCCATCGACTCTGCCCGCGCTTACCAGACAGACGGAGGCCGGTCCCGCGGAGTCTGGCGCCAGCCAATGATGCCAAGAGGAACAATGGAGTTAGTCGTCACAGAGGTGTTGCACCAGCCAAACAGGTTGTTGAGAGTCTGAGGTAGAGACGACGTGGCTCTGAGCTCCTTCCACAGCGGCAAAGTATGTTTGTGTGGCACGAGAGATTTGTAGAGCCACAGTGGTGACAGAAATGAGCAGACAGAGAGACAGGAATCGCGATGTGAAACTGCAGTGTCCGGATCCATTTTAGCCTCTTACGTTGGTTGCCAAGCGCGCTAGCCGCCACTTCCCGAAACCTTAAATTCTACTCTATCCGACTCGCCGATAAGCCACAGTTGACTCATGCTGCCTCGAATATTTTCAGGTTTTTCGATCTCAACTCGTCATTGTCCTCCTACAACCACACACACAAACATGGACACTTTCTACGTCGACGAGGACGTCGGCCGCGACGATGGCTCCGCCACTGGCTCTGAAACCGCCCCCTATAAAACTCTTCTCTTCGCCATGATGCAGCACCCCAAAGCAACATATAAAACCAGAAAGTCAGAGACGGCCCCTGCAGACGCCAATGCTGATCCGGCCTCGCGGCTAGAATGGAAACCTGCATCAAAGTCTGCTCTGAAGAAAGCCACCAACCTTTACGAACAGCATCTGCGGAAACAGGCCAAGGCAGCTGATTTGGCCATCCGTGAACAGCAGGAGGCTGAGAAGCGAAAGCAAGTTCTCGAGGACGCCAAGAAAGTGGTCATCAAAGAAGACGAAAGCTTGCCGGCGCCTGTCAAGATCAAGCTCAACACCGTTGATCCCGCCAAGATCAAGCTAGGCACTGCAGACTCCAAGGGGACCCGAGTGCGAGTTGTGGGCCGAGTTCACCATTTACGGTCGCAGAAGGATATCATCTTTGTCACCCTAAAAGATGGCAAAGGACTGATGCAATGCCTCTTCTCGGGTAACCTGATCAAGACGTATGCGGCCATGACTTTGACTCTTGAGACGTCACTCGAAATTCGGGGTGAGCTCAAATCTCTTCCACCGGGTGCCCACGCCCCTCTTGATCGCGAGCTCCATGCCGACTATTTCACCGTAATTGGCGCGGCGGTCGGTGACAAGGAAGCCATCACCAATAAAGTGCAGGAAGATGGTGATGCCCAGAAGCTGCTCGATAACCGCCATCTCACACTGCGCGGGGACGTCTCGTCAAGCGTCATGAAAGTTCGAGCAGCCGTCGAGATGGCTTTTATCAAGACCTACGACGAGCTGCAGATTACGAAAGTGTCGCCTCCGGCAATGGTTCAGACGCAGGTTGAGGGCGGCGCAACTCTCTTCGAGTTCAACTACTACGGTGAAAAAGCCTACCTTACCCAGTCCTCGCAGCTGTACCTGGAGACTTGTCTTCCCGGACTGGGTGACGTTTACTGCATTGAGAAGTCCTTCCGAGCAGAAAAATCCCTCACCCGCCGCCATCTGAGTGAGTACACACACGTGGAGGGTGAACTCGACTTCATTACCTTTGACGACCTGCTCAACCACATTGAGCACTTGGTGTGCAGGGTCATTGAAGTCACCCTCTCGGACCCTGTCATTGCCAAATACATCTACGAGCTCAACCCGGACTTCAAGCCACCGTCCCGCCCCTTTAAACGCATGAAGTACTCCGAGGCCATTGCGTGGTTGGTCGAACACGAGATTCCCAACGAAGAAGGCAAACCGCACGACTTTGGGGACGACATCGCCGAAGCCGCCGAACGACGCATGACCGACATCCTCAACGTGCCCATCTTCCTCACCCACTTCCCCACCGCGATCAAGGCCTTCTACATGCAAAAAGACCCCTCGGACCCGCGCGTGACCGAGAGCGTCGACGTCCTCATGCCCGGCGTCGGCGAAATCGTGGGCGGGAGCATGAGAATCTGGGACTACGAGGAGCTGATCGCCGCGTACAAGCGTGAGGGAATCGACCCCGAGCCCTACTACTGGTACACGGACCAGAGACGCTACGGCACTAGCCCCCACGGCGGCTACGGTCTGGGCCTGGAGCGATTTTTGGCCTGGATCTGCGGCCGCTGGACCGTCAGGGAGTGCTGTCTCTACCCGAGATTTGCCTATCGTTGCAAACCGTAGTTGTTCACACGGCCCACAGAAATGCTAGGGTGGAATCCCAGGACGATAACGAGGTATGATTCAGACGGTCACAGGTGATGTGGAAGATGTTGGTCGCGGCGGGTCCGGAATACGTAGATTATGATGGATGATAGAACTGCCCCCGGGACAATTTTGCAAGGGATAGAGGAAAGCACACGAGCATTTCCATGCTTTGATTCATTCATTCAACACTTTCCTGACTCCAGAAAATGCTCCATTTCGAGCTAGCTAATGACCATGAATGAACCCGTCATTGGCCCGTTCGTCCTACAGGTATTTCTTCGGCATCGTGCTCTTTCGCCACTTATACCATACAAACACGCCAATGCAACACGTCTGGAACGCCATGAAACTATACAGGATGAAGCCGATCCTGGGGGTGTGCGCAATGACATATTCTCTGAGCCTTTGTGGCACCTCTTCCGTCACGCCCACGTGGGTCTGCGCGATCTGCTCGCTCAATTTCGCAAATTGTGAGCGGTGGTCGCCGCTCTTCAACTCCTTCTCCAGCGAAGAGACGACTCGGTCGAGGGTGGCCATGCGGTTATCTAGACTGATGATGGATTGGGAACTCGGCATGCGGGCCAGGATTTCGGCGTGCCGCGACTCCAAGCTGGACGAGACGCGTTGTACTTCGGCGAAGAGGTTCTGGATGGACTTGGAGATCAGGTTGAGGCGGTTGTGGAGGTCGGCGAACTGGGTTTCTGTCGTGGTGTAGTAGGAGGCCGGGTGGTCGTCCATCTGCATCGTCCCTTGGCCTTGGTTTTGATTTTGGGAAAACGCTTGCTGGTTCATTTCTTGCTGCTGGGGCGGTGGCGTAGTAACGATGGACGATAGAGTGAATCCAAACACTTCGAAGGAGTCGGGAGGATCTGCGGATGCGGCGGTCATGCCAAAGCCATAGTCGGATGGTAGTGCGATCTTCGCCGTCGTGAAGCACGTTTTATCGTCCACGCGGACTTCAAGGCCTCCGGCGCGAGTGTGCCGCACATTGATGTGAGATGGTCGTCCGAGATTGCGGTAGACGTAGTCGCAATGCCCAAAGGCCAGGCTGTCCACGTTCGCGTGATTTCTGTAGTCGAGACTCCCATCATTGAGAAACCCTCGGATCTTCTGTACTCCTCCTACTGTGTCGACGACTATCGCGAGCCCTTCCCAATTCCCCACGGTGTATATGCTCGACGTGCTCACTGTCTTGTCTCCATTGGCCACATACCACAGCTGCAAATTCCCACTGCCTCGATCCGCAGCGCTTGCTCTGAATTTGAAGTCTACAGTCCAATCTTGTAATGAGTTCTTCTGTTCCGTCCATAATGCGCCCCGCTTGTGCCCGCCGTATGGAGGCGTAAGGATGACTTTGTCCGACAGCAGTTGAGGCACATGTCCCTCCCCTAGCATGGTCCAGCCAGGAATGGCGAAGGAATTTGGCGAGATGGTCTGTTTATGTCCGAACGACATTTCGTCGATGACATTTTGAGCAAGCGAGGATGTTACCCAAAGAAAGGAGAATAACGAGGAGGAAAGAGCGATCTTCATGTTGAATGTTTTACAATGCTACCAGAGGTCAGTCTTGCGGACACAATCGACAACGACGGGAGGTTTTGCGCACAGAATCTTTTTGTGGAAGGCGTAGTGCCCACCTCAAGAGGAAGGTCTTCTAGTGTTTGACATCCAAGATTTAAATACTGATACAGTAGCGAGGGTGACGCAGATGGTAATAACACAATAGCGGATTTCGCGGGCAAGGTCGAGAGTGACTGGAGATGGCTCAATAAGATGTCGCACGTTTAAATTCTGAAACACAACATGATGCTTGAATCCCTCAAATGCGTCCATGAAAGGAAGATAGCAGAAGGAAAATGAAAGACGGTGTCATTGTCATGGCACACCTGGCAGCAGCGTCGAGGCACCGTGGCACCCTTGGGACGATTTGCGACGACTCGTCTCGTGGCCTTTGGTGCTCCGTAGAAAGGGCCACGCTTGGTGCGGCGGAGCATAGGTCACATTCATGAAGCCCTACGAGCTTCCTAACACCTCTGTCCATATCCTCCCTTTCTCCAGTCCCAGCCCAAGCCAGCCAGTTCTCTCAATGGCGTCTGCGGTGTCGACAACCTTGAGCCAGTTGCGCGACAATACCCCTATTATCCCCGTAGGTGGCCAATCCGATGGCAATGCATCAATATCATGCAATTAATACTTCTTCCAGGAGCAGAGGGCACCAGCCAAAAAGCCTGGGCATGATCAATGGCCGTCCTTATTTCAGACAGCCGTCGTGGCTACTGCTTTAAAGATTCTCCTGTTTCCAGCCTATCGATCAACAGACTTTGAAGTGCATCGTAATTGGCTGGCTATCACTCATTCATTGCCTGTCAAAAGATGGTACTACGAGGTGAGCAGAGGTCAGCATCCGATACCGAGGGTTCCCCTTTCTCTAACTCTTCGACTCTCCGCATCAGACTACCTCAGAGTGGACATTGGACTATCCCCCGGCATTTGCACTGTTCGAATGGCTTCTGTCCCAGCCTGCTGCCCTAGTCGACGCTGGAATGGTGCAGGTTCAAAACCTGAACTATACTTCCTGGGCCACCATATGTTTCCAGCGAAGTTCTGTCATCATCACAGAGCTGCTGCTCGTCTACGCTTTGCACAAGTATGGCTGAAAACTCAACATGAGGAAGCACTGCTGATGTGAAAAGGTATATGGAGTCCTCACCTGCCTCGACACGTCGCCAAAGTCATGCTGTGGCCCTTTCGATCCTGCTATCCCCGGGGTTCTTGATCATTGACCACATCCATTTCCAATACAATGGTTTTCTCTACGGTATCTTGATTCTGTCCATCGTCTTTGCACGAAAAGAGTCGACGTTGCTTTTCAGTGGGGTCTTGTTCGCCCTGCTTTTATGCTTTAAGCACATCTACCTTTACCTGGCACCCGCGTATTTTGTCTACCTCCTCCGGAGCTACTGTCTGAACCCGAAGAACATGTTTCAGCCCCAATTCGCCAACACCTTCAAACTCGGAGCAAGCATTATAGGCATTTTTGGAATGGCGTTCGGACCGTTTGCGGCATGGGGTCAGCTCGACCAACTCAAAAGTCGCCTGTTTCCATTTGCACGAGGACTTTGCCACGCATATTGGGCACCCAATGCCTGGGCGATTTACTCGTTCGTGGACCGGGTCCTGATACTGGGTGCGCCCTACCTGGGCTTGAGGGTTGATCAAAATGCTGTGAACAGTGTTACTCGGGGCTTAGTTGGAGACACTTCGTTCGCGGTCTTGCCAGATATCACAGCTCGACACTGTTTCGGACTGACGTTGGCCTTCCAGACCATTGCGTTGACCAAATTGTGGGTCACACCCAGCTGGGAGACGTTCGTTGGAGCTCTCACCCTCTGTGGGTACGCGTCCTTCTTGTTTGGCTGGCATGTCCACGAGAAGGCCATTCTGCTGGTCATCATTCCTTTCAGTCTGTTGGCTGTCAAAGACCGATCATACCTGGCGAGCTTCCGGCCTTTGGCAGTAGCTGGGCACGTGTCTCTATTTCCGCTTCTGTTCACCGCTGCCGAGTTCCCGGTTAAAGTGGCCTATACGATAACCTGGCTGATGATCTTCCTGTATGCCTTTGGCCAATTGGCACCAGCTCCCACTCGGAGGCGAGTTTTCTTGTTGGATCGGTTTGCTCTCCTTTATATTGCAATATCGGTCCCCCTGATGGCGTACTGTTCATTGCTGCATCAGATGGTATTTGGGGAGAGGTACGAATTTATGCCCCTGATGTTCATTAGCACATATTCGGCAATCGGAGTGCTAGGCTCATGGCTTGGGTTCATGGTCTGCTACTTGTCTTGAAGGGGCGGGTTACCACCGAGAAAGAAGCCCCGGCAGTGAGGCTGGCATGTATGTACGCACAACAACCACCACAACTTCTACCCCACCACCGCCTTGAACAATAAGATAATACTCATCGTGAGACGTGTATGGAGGAGGTCTCGGAGACTCTCCAAATGGCTGATATTCCAGGTTTCTGTGGTTGTTCACTGTCGGGCTGTTTCGTTGGCTCCCTTGACATCATGGAGGGAGTGTTCCGGGCATCGTAACCGCCGTCCGAGGCTGAAGCCGCGGGCATGGGTCGGGGCTAGGAGGCCCAAAAGGCTGATACTGGGCCCTCAAGAGTCAAACATGGACCGGAGAAGATCGTGAGTGGGCTCATCACACTCACATCGACAGCCGGAGTCGAACGAGTACAATTATGGCCGTGACAGGGCCAGCGTGAGATGGTTGATGAGTGGCCATGGCCAGACGAGGAGTCAAGTGGACCGTGATTGGCTGCGACGAGGAGGGCGCTCGGCGCTCTCTCCGCCGATCCCTGGTCGCCAATCCGCGCAACAGACTAAAAGGGTGGTGGCATGCCGCTGTTTGTGCTGCCTACTTAGGCACTCCGGGCACACCTATTCCCTCCTAGGCACATTATACGGGTATTAACCACCTATAGCTGCTATTCAAGGGCTCGGCTTGGAGGCTCCACCATCCGCATAGCAAGCCACGCATCCCGCCCGCCATCCACGGCATCCACAGTAGAACTGCCACTTACCCCAATCCACCACTCAGCACTCACGATGGCCTCTGCACACACTAGTCGGTCCGCCTTCCTGGGCATTTCGCATTGTCTTTTCCCTCCTCCACTTCTCCTCGTCATGTTGGACTCTTTGTTCTGGACTCTTTCTTTTCCTGCACTCACCACCAAACAACTCTCCCTGCATACACTCACCACCACACCATCCAGTCCCCCTCGCATCTGGCTATTCTCTCTCCATGAACGCGTTTGTCCCCGCGAATGTATGTATATTCCCCCTTCGCATGAAGTCCTCCGAGTCCGGACCGCGCTCGACACGACATGAGCCTCAACACGTCCAAGAAGCTCACCAAATCTACTACTCTAGGCCGCGATCGCACTGAAATAATCCCCCCAAGTGGCCCTCCCCCCCTCTACCTCCCCGCCGGCCACATCGCTCTCGGTTGTTCCATCCCCCGCCTGCCAGGATGGTCCTTTTCAAGAGGAAACCCGTCCGCTACCTACCGCATCCCTCCATCGACGACCAGGAAACGGATGTTTGGGTCATCTCCGAGGCCAACGAAGTATTCACGTCCTACGATGCATATCTCGACCGCATGGACTTTTTCAAGTCCAAGAAATTCACCTGCGAAGTATCAGGACGTTCCGGATTGACATACTTTGACGCGCTGAGAAGCGAGCAGGCCGGGTCACGGGAGATCGATGAGGCGTTTCCGCAAGCACTGCGAGAACCTGTCCTGCGCCGAGTCCAATTCTCTACCACGTCTCGCATCGACAACTTGGTCGAAGAGGTCTACAATGATTTCAAGAATGACTTTTATCCGGGCGAACTGGTAACCGTGATACTGGACGACGCATCCCGGTTGAACGGGCGAGTGCGAGACAAGGCCAAATTTGCAGAGGTGAAGGCCGCGGACGGTTCCGTGGCAAGAGAGGCTTTCTCCCGATACTTTGTGCGGCTCATTGATCGCCCGGACGAGGAGGCCCTGGTTGACGACAACCACATCGTTCGAGATCGGAGGGTTTTCACGAAACTGATGCTCCGCTCCTTCATCAAGAACACCGTGACCAGAGAAGGTTGGAATGGTGCCCCATGGATCGTCAAGCCCGAAATTGCGGAGCACTTTCGCATTGACACCAACGTCCCTCCCCATCTTCGACATGGCCATAAGATCGCCGCAAAGAAAGCGGAGAAGAAGCAGCAGAACCTAGAGCAAGGAGAGGGTATGTTTGGAATCTGGCAACCTCATAAGCTACCCGAGCTGAAGCCTGCCCCTAAAGGACGCAAGAACCACCAGACGTCTCAACAGCCCGTACAGCGGACGATCGAAGTGCAGATTCCTCCGCCCTATCACGAGAACTATCCACCCCAACCCATGCCGGGCCCAGGGTTGCTCCCACGATCCTGGGACCATATGCACCCGCCCCCTCCTCCGCCTCCGCCTTTCGACCACTATCATCGCGGGTATCATCCATACATGACCCCCAACGGTCACTATTACCCTCCGCCTCCTCCACCAGAGGAGCAGTTGCCCCCAAAGAGATCATTGAACCTCCCCCACCCCCTCCACCCATTAAATACCCGATCGATGACCTTGACGTTGAACCCGTCCGCGACGGGACGCATCGACCGACGCTGAAGTTTGTCACGAAGGAGCAATGCATCGACCGGAAGTCAATGACTCACGTCATCCCCGGCCTCAAGTCTGAAAATGTGGTTCTCTTGCTTGAGACCTGGAATACACTCAACGTGTATTGCCAAGTTCTCAAACTAGACTCGTTTACTTTCGATGACTTTGTAGAAGCCATGATGTTCACCTCGCATGAGGTGGAATGCGAGTTGTTCGTCGAGATACATTGCGCGGTTCTCAAACAGCTAGTTCTATCCGAGAATGACGATGATGGCGCCATTCAAATATCACTCCCGGACCTCCCCGACCCAGACGAGGATGAAGAGGAGGAGGAAGAGGAAAGTAAACCGCCAACACCGACCCCTGAGCCTGAATATCCTGCGAAACGAACACGCAGCAGTCTCCACAAAGTTCAATTTGCAGAACCAGAGCCTGAGCCAGCAGAACCCGAACCTGTGGTTCCCCATCGGGCTGCCGAGATGTTCAAAGAATATGGCTGGATTGAGAGACTTCGAAAGCGTGACCTCACACATGGTGGCTGGGAATTGGTCATGGTCGGGCTGCTGCATCAGCTTTCCGGCCGGCCCCGACTCACGGAGACGTGCAACAGGATTCTGTCCCATCTTGCTCCCCTCGATGCAGAACCGACGATTGAAACGGCCAGGATTCAATATGCGACAATGGACATCAACTTGCGCGCGGAGGCTCTGCAAATCATCTGCCAGCTGTTCCTCGAAACCAAGACGGTCAAGAACTTCCTAGAGGAGATGAGCAACACTATGACCCATTACCGCAAAGTCAAGATTGAGCACCAACGAGCTCGGAAAGATGCCCTGGCCAAGCTTAAGGAGCTTCAAATCGAGCGAAGACTGTTGGCACCAGAACCCGAGAAATCCCCCACTCCGATGCCTGAGCTCGAAGAAGCCACCGAGGCGGAAAAAGGCGACGAGATTGACATTATCTCGATTCCTGACTCAGAAGACGAAGAACCGGTTCTGACGCGATCTTTGCGACGCGGCAGTGACCGAGCCGCGGAGCGTAAACGGAAACGGGAAGAAGAGCAGGAGCGCAAGGAGAAGGCAGCAGAGGCGAAACAGAACAAAGGAAGCAAAGAGTACCAGAAAGTCCTGAAGCAGATCGAAAAGGAGCGCGATCGCATTGAGCAAGCGGAAGAGCAGATCCTCATCGTCGACGGAGACCTGCGTGAGGCAGACTGTCCTCGCACACGGGTTCTCGGGAAAGATCGCTTCTGCAATCGATACTGGTGGTTCGAGAGGAACGCAATGCCACACGGGGGCTTGCCCGACAGTTCGACGGCGGATGCAGAATATGCCAATGGTCGAGTCTGGGTGCAAGGACCCGATGAGATGGAGCGTGCGGGTTTCATTGATGTCAGCGACGCTGACAAGCAGGCCTACTATCGACGATTCCAACTGACACCCGCTGAACGGAAGAAGATGGAAGAAGGCTCTACAAACCTAGATTCGGCCAAGCAATGGGGTTTCTACGACACTCCGGAAGAACTCGACATGCTGATCGGGTGGCTTGACTCCAGAGGATTCCGGGAACAAAAGCTCAAAAAGGAACTGAACCTGCAACGTGATGCCATCATCAGACATATGGAGAAGCGAGCCGCGTATCTCGCCCCACGAGAGAAATCCGAAGAGCCATCAACGAGGATGTCCACAAGGATCAAGACGCACGTCAGCGACAAATCACACCGATGTCTGAAATGGAAGAACTCGACCGCTTTGGCGGAATTGGGACGTCGCCATATCGACCCTGTGCCCAAACCGAGGGGTCGAGGCCGAAAGAACCACGTTGTTGAGGAGGCGCAAAGAACGGGGATGTTACCGGCTCACCCGGCTCCTTTGAACCGCCAGGGCAAGCCGGTAACACGGCAGGGGACGCGTTACAACTTCTGAAGGCTTTGGCTCTATTTTTACGATAATATGCATAACAGGATAGAACATCATGGCGTTGTGATTGGACATGACTGGGGAACGGGATCGCATCGACTCTGATTCTTTTTCTTACTGAGGGCCATCTTGACAGCATTTATGTTGAGAGGGGGGAGCGGTTCTGTCTCGTCAAATTTTGCGAAGCGCAGATGAGTATGAGCTCGCTGAAGCTGAATTCGACCGAATTAGGCGGGTTGGGCTTCTGAGCATGGCCCGCCCCTTGTGCGAGACTCGATGAGAACAATGAGTGTACGAAACCAGGCGCTGGGGGCCGATCTGTCTCTCCGACTTAAAATTTTATTTATCAACCAAACCGACCAACCAACTAACACTTGGCAGAAGAGAAAAAGGGGCCGGCATTGTTTCGGAAAAAGCTATGAAGAATAGCAGATGGAGGAGTTTGGCCGGCATGTATTCGATCGATGGATGTTGCATTCATAGACATGTGGATGGAATTGTGCTGTGTGGTGACAGGAATCTCGTCTTAGCGGAGTTGAAGCTTTGGGTGCTCCTTGCGCTGGGGAGAACGAGATGAGGAATAGCAATGAAAAAGGAGACGAAGAAAAGACTTTTGAGACTTATGTGCACTCGTTCCTCTCTGTTCATGTCATGAGAGTAGAGCATACACTAACACTCGCACAAAGAGAGATAAAGACGGGGACAGTCTTATTCGACGAGGGAATACACCCTGGCACCCGCTTGGTCGTCATACTACTGTAGAGCGCCAATTTACTGTACTGTAGGTGTAGCCAGACGGAGTCTATAGCCACATCCATCCCTGACGATCTGTCTCCGTCTCTAGAACTTCTGCTGACTACAACTCATCTCTCAAAACCTCCTGGGCCTTGTCGGCAGGAGGCACGACGGCTCCCTTCTTGGGCCCGATCTTCCGGCCGGGCTTCTCGATGACGACCTCCTCGCCCCGGTCCTTCAGGCCGCGCTTCACCATGCTGGTCAGGATCTCGTACGCGACCTGCGCCCCGGCCAGGGCCGTGGCCTCGCCGTGGCCCGCCTCGTACGCGGGGCTCACCTCGACCACGTCGGCGCCTACCAGGTTCAGGCCCTCAACGCCGCGCAGGATCTGGATGAGCTCGCGGGTCGTCCAGCCGCCGGGCTCCGGGGTGCCGGTCCCGGGGGCGAGGCCCGGGTCGATCACGTCGATGTCCACGGACAGGTAGACGGGCATGGAAGTGCCCATGCGCTCCATGATCAGGTCGATGATGCCCTTGACGCCGACGCTGTCGATGTCGTCCGATTCGATGCGCAGGAACCCCTGGCGCTCGTCGTCGGCGTAATCGTGGAAGTCATCGCCCAGCAGCCGCGTGCGCAACCCCGCGTGCACCGACGACCCGTTGTTGATCAGGCCCTCTTGCGACGCGATCCAGAACATGGTCCCGTGCGTGAAGTCGGCCTGAGTGGGCGTCTCGGCCCACGCGCTCGGGTAGGCGCCCGGGTGCCAGGTGTCGAGGTGTGCGTCGAAGTGCAGCACCGCGATGGGCTGCTTGTAGATCTTCTCCAGCGCTCGCAGCGCGGGGAGGGCGACCGAGTGATCTCCGCCCAGTGTGATCAGCTTGGGGTGCTCATGGCTCTCCGGGTTCTTGTAGCTCAACGGCCGGCGGGAAAGGAGCTCGAGATAGGCGGATGACATCTGATGCAGCGCCAACGCGTTGTCGAAGGGCGTGATGGGGATGTCTCCACAGTCGAGCACCAACGGCCAGGACGTGTAGGGATTGATGTGTGCGCGGTGGTTGAAGCCCCGGAACGAGGTCTGGCGCGCAGAGGCGGCACGGATGGCACGAGGGCCGAAACGAGCTCCTGGGGAAGAATGAGAAAAAGAACTGGACATCCTGTACGAAGGGGGAGTATGTTCTTCTGGTTTGGTGGAAGAAGACAACGTCCTCGTTGGAAAGACGAAACTGGCTTACCGGGTCGATAACTGACCGCCGTGTCATAGGGGGCACCAATGATGCCGATATCAAACGGCTCGTACGGGGTGGTCAGACATTTGACGTGTCTGAGGTGGGCGAATGTTGATATTCCTGAGAATCCCCACTGCAAGAGTCAATCCACATGGCATAGGTTTCAATATTTTGCTTCCGTCCCTGCCGATACAGACGACATGGCTCGGGATGGGTGGGAGACAGGGTCTGGAAGCACCTTACATCGAAGTCCCATTTAGCTTTCAATTCATCCAGCGGACTGCCAGACTCGGGCGGAATCTCGAGCTCCGGATTGTCGTAGAAAGAGGAATGTGCGACGGGCAGAAGAGGGAGTAATATAGTCCAGGACCACGACGGCAGCAGCATCGTGGAGGATGAGGAACAGAGTGGGCAGACTGTAGATTTTCTACCACACACACGGTGATGTATATATATTGATATCGAGGAGCAAGGAAAAACTTACCGATGGAGAAGAAACATTTCTCTCTCTATATCTATTATCTAACAGGATGCCGTGCATGACCCGCCATGTGGTCTTGATGGAGTTGATTAGGGCGTCGAATGAGACTCGGCGCCGGGAAAAGCCAGAAACTTCTCCAAAGGGAAAACTTGCCGCCGCTTTGAGCGGGAATCTCCGGCGTCTTGTTCCGCGAGCGGTGATTGGCCCGGGCGCTGACTCACTGACCTCAACTGTTCGTGCGGAAGAGATACAGCAGAGCCACGGCATAGGATGAGACGAAGAGGCTCATGACCAGGAGATGCGGAGAGTTGTCGTGACAGGGCTGGGAGCTGTGACGCCCCTGGGTGTAGGTGTGTCGATGACTTGTTTCTCTGGACACCTTCCGCCGAGCCTTCAAGGGGTCGATGATTGACACTCTGTTGTTTCCCAGGAGTCAAAAGAACATGGACCCGGCTGCTACAGGGCCACTGCGGCATCGTCTCGACACGCCCTCTCGGAGACGAATTCAAAGCACTCCCAAGCCAGGTGGCTGGTCTGATCCCGGTTCCCACCTCTGACTCAGAGGTGGAAGAGGGAGTTTGGATGGCCAAGGACCATGTCTCGCCCACGGTAAGTTGATGTTGCCTCCCCCCAAAACACAGACACGGGTAAAAAGTGAGCCATGGGTCAGGAAGATACTGATCCGAGTCGTGCCCTGGGTTAGGAGCTTCGCCAAACCGCCAAATTCGCACAGTACGCTCTTGCGGCGTCGGCCGAAGCATTGCAGGACGCTGGCTTCAAGGACGGGAAGGGTCTCGATCCGGAGATGACGGTATGTGTTCAAGAAATTCACCATTCTCCCATAGCACGGCCTAGGTCGTACAAGCAAGATACCTTCTTTCCCATTCTTATACCGTCCGGAAATCCCGTGACTGAAAAGATCTATAGGGCGTCTGTCTCGGCTCCGGGATCGGCAACCTGGAAGACCTCTACAACACTTCGCTGGCGTATCACCAGGAGAAGAACTACCGCAAGATCCACCCGCTGTTCGTGCCCCGACTGCTGATCAACCTCGGCGCTGGACACATCTCGATGCGCTACGGCCTCAAGGGGCCCAACCATGCCGTCACCACCGCCTGCACCACGGGCGCCCACAGCCTCGGGGACGCCTCCCGCTTCATCAAAACCGGCGAAGCAGACGTGATGATCGCTGGCGGCGCGGAATCGTGCATCCACCCACTCTCGATCGGCGGGTTTGCGCGATCGAGGAGCTTGGTGACCACGTTCAACGACGAGCCCGGGAAGAGTTCGCGGCCGTTTGACGCGGACAGGGCCGGCTTCGTGATCGGCGAGGGCGCCGCGTGCGTCGTGCTCGAGGTAAGCGAATTCTTTGTCGATCTCTATCTTGCCTCGACATGATTGGGCACCGGACACGATTTCTGACCGTGTGAGTAAAAGGAAATGGAGCACGCCAGATCCCGAGGCGCCACCATCTACGCCGAGCTCGTCGGCTACGGCAACTCAGCAGACGCTCATCACCTCACCGCGCCCCTGGAGGATGGAGCCGGAGCTCTTCTGGCGATGCAAAAGGCTCTTCGACAGGCCCAGATCCCGCCGTCTAAAGTGGACTATATCAATGCTCACGCGACTTCCACGCCCCTAGGAGACCAGGCTGAGAATCAGGCGATCAAGACACTTATGCTCGGGGAACAGGGCAGGAAATCTGCCCAGGAGATCAATGTGAGCAGCACCAAGGGCGCAATTGGGCACCTCCTAGGCGCTGCAGGAGCAATTGAGGCTCTGTTCACGGTCCTGGCCGTCCACGAGGTACGTATTTTCAATCTCACACCTTCAAATACGGTGCAGATATAAGGTCATGGTACTGACACTATGAATGGCCAGAATACCTTACCACCGACCATCAACCTTGTCTCTAAAGCCGCAGCGTTCGACTGCAACTATGTTACCAATGCAGCGCAACAGGCAGAAGTCGATGTAGCCCTGACTAACAGCTTTGGATTTGGCGGGACCAATGCAAGCCTCTGCTTTCAAAAATGCAAGTGATACTTGCTGGGTGTGGGAGGACGTCTTAACTACTCGCCGCCACTACAATATTCGTCCCGTAGCGTTCGTTCCTGAGAAAGATATCCTATCCATCCCTATGCCACATCAATCGAGGTCTTTCGGAGAGGGGCCTTCAATCCAGCTTGTCCCAGACCCATACTTGTCGTCACAGGTGAAGCCGATATTGCCGCGGGAAACGTTTCATGGATGGCGGACTGAGGGAGAGCACTTCTGGCACTCTCGGGAGGGACGCTGAACAAGCCGCCGGACCTGTTGCCGCTCATGGCGTTGGATAGCATTTCCTTCATCCGGACCAGCTGGTATTTCCGCCGCGTTGGGAATAGTGGTTTAGTGACGAGCGGTTGGGGTCGAGTCAGGCTTCGGGCGATGGCTGTCATCACCGAGTCTCGCTCTTCATCGGAATCGACGGGACCGGTCAGACTGGGGTCGAGATCCTCTTCCAGGAGAGCAGGCGCATTTGCATCCAGCGCGGCTTTCTGCTGGCGTGCCTGGTTCTTCTTCTGGTATGCAGCGAGCAACATGTCGTAGGGTAGACTTCGTCCGGGGACAGCCCGTTTTGCTCCCATAGAATGGCTCTTGCATGTTAGACTCCTCGCGCACTGCCCACCGTTTGGCAGGAGAACACCGCATTGTTTCTCGACATCGACCGGCCCCTTGGATTTGGCCACTTTCGGTTTCTGTTCTTCCTTTCTCTTCTTCTTGCGAGGCTCCTTATCGTCGTCGGCGTCGGCCTTTCGTTTCTTGGTCTTCTTGGAGCCATCATCATCGCCGTTAGCCAAGTCTTTTCTGGCGGGCACTTTAACATCGTCGTCGTCGTCATCGTCATCGTCGGCTTTCTCTGCCCGTTCCTTCGCCCGCGCCGCAGCCTCACGTGCCTCCTTTTTCTTGCGGGCCTTGTCCTGTTTTGATTTTAAACACAAGGAGATGTGCCACTTGGCCGTTCGTTTCAGAACCATCTTTTTGCAGTGCTTGCAGATCACGGTGTCGAGGCTTTCGAGGCGGCCGTTGGGGAAATTGGCCATGGTCTCGTCATCGAATCTGGGCACTTCGGGGGAGGGTGCTTCTGCGGCATTCTTGACGCCTACGATAGTCAGCATGTGCAGGGCGACGGTGCCGAATGGATCCAACTAACCATTTACTTGCGTGTCTTTCTTGCCCTGGAGCGGCAGTTTCTTTAACTTGACCTTGGGCGCCTTCTTGCTGCCTTTGCCGAACTTGTAGCCAGACGCGCTAATGAGGCTCTCTGTGTTGGATGCGGTAGATGAGGCTGTGAACAGGTTTCAGTCCTATCGCCACGTGCGCAAGAGGTTTTGATGAGTACAAACCTCGGGCCTCATTTGCCGTCATTTTTTGAGGGGTTATTCGTCGGATATTGCAGGGCAGGCTATCAGTGAGGGGGTCAATTCACACTGTTCGAGTACAAACGGTGGCAGTGCCTGAGTCCGATACTTCTCGAGTCCCGTATGTCGTTATCTGCAGTCACCTCTTTGCGGAGGATCATGATGGGGGTGACTGCGGGTGGTGCATCGAGGCTAGACTACTCTAGGCTAGGCTGCATATGGACATTTAAGGTTAATATGTAAGAGGGCAGCTTAATAATTGCGCCTCCCGTCAGATACTCTGCTGCAGTATTACGGTCAACTATGTAGCCCCTTGACGATGGACCAAAGAATGTCACTTAATGTCACCTTCGACTGCCGCAGTCAATAGGCAGTGATAGGTGGTGAATAGAATAGAGTAGACGAAGTGACAGACCCTCGTTTGTTTTGATCTTCTCACCCTTCTTTTCCCTCCTTCTCACTCTCCCTTTCCTCCTTTCTCACTCTTCTTTTCCTCACTTCTCGGCTTCTGTACCGTCCCACCATGGATGCCAACGGCCCCCAACCCACTCACCCTCACCCTCGCTCTCACCCTCATCCTGAGGTCAACGCTCTCATGCGGCGTATCGGCGGACAATGGGCGGGTCCTGATCTCCAGGGAGCCTTTCAGACCGAAGTCGCCAAACTCCTTGGGCGAAGAAACCTGTCATTCCCCGGGGCCCAGCCCGTCTCCTTCTCTGCAGAACACATCCAAGAACTCAAGAGGCAGGACTACTACGTCTGCGAAAAGACCGACGGACTGCGCTACCTCCTGTATCTCACTCAAGACGGCAACAAGGATATACACTACTTCATCGACCGCAAGAACGACTACTGGTATGTGCCCAATCTGCACTTCCCGCATCATGAAGACAAAACCTTCCGGCGCTTTCACGCGGACACAATATTGGATGGGGAACTGGTGGAAGACAAATACCCAGATCAAGAGCCGGTCGTTAAATTCCTCGTGTTCGACTGCCTGGTTCTCGACCATGTCGTCTTGATGCAACGTCCCCTCGACAAACGCCTCGCCTACTTCTACATGCACGTCCTCCAGCCCTACAATGCCATGTTCAAGCAGCATCCCGAGTACACCAGGCCATTCGTGCTCGAGGACAAACACAACGAGTTCAGCTACGCCCTGGAGAAGATGTTCAAAGAAATCATCCCCAAGGTGAAGAAGACGCATGGGAATGACGGTTTGATCTTCACTTGCCGTGATGCACCGTACAGGATGGGCACAGATCCACACATCCTCAAGTGGAAGCCCCCTTCTGAAAACACGGTCGATTTCCTCCTCCACATCGAGTGGGCGAAAATGGAGCCGGACCCGGAGGATCCTGATCAGTCCCCGCAGCCCGACTTCTACTCGTTCCCCGAAAAGTTCTCTCTGTTTATCCACGTGGGTAGTAACGAATACTCATACGTCGAGGACATGTACGTCGAGCCGCAGGAGTGGGAAGAGTGGAAAACCCTGAACCACCCGCTGCAGGACATCATCATCGAGTGCCACCAGGACGAGCAGCAACGCTGGCGGTTCCATCGATTCCGACACGACAAGGAGAACGCCAATCACATCAAGGTGTTCAAAAGCGTTATCCGATCGATCCAGAGCCATATCACCGAGCAGGATCTGCTGAACCACGCCCCAGAGATCAGGACCGCTTGGAAAGCTCGCGCCGAGGAGGCGAAGCGTCGGCAGGAGGAAGAGAAGCGCAAGAGACCCGCCGCCGCCGCGAGGCCAGAGGGGTGATTGGGGTGTTGATCTGTTACCAAAAGCCAACCTCGGAATGCTGGTGGCGTGGCGTGGCGTGGCGTGGCGTGGTGTTGGTTAGGCAAGGGAGGAGTCCAGGCTGTTAAGCCATCCTTTTTCTCGGAATGCACGATACCCCCGTTTAGTTGATCGGTTTCAGGGAGACTTTTTTGGGATGAACGGCTGGAATGTTGGCTGTTGCAGGAAGGGCCAAGGACCACAGCATTGGAAAACGGAGTTATGCTTGTCTCTCTCTCTCTTTGCGTTGGCATGGGTGTTATCCAGGTGTCGTCTCGAAATCACGGTATCTTGTCTTAGGGCAGGGGTCATTCCCTGACCAAGCTAGATCAGGCGAGTCGGCAATCAAGAAATTCCAAGGAACAGGAAAGGAAATGAGGGTTGATAGTCTTAAAAGACTGTCCTATCCATCCTATCCATCCACCAAAAAAACCTACTTAGTTAGATAGAAATGCAAACACATCTAACAAACGTGCGAGAGTTCCTCCATGCAGCCTTTCCCGACACACATCCGTTCCGTCGCCGCGCAGTGTTCTTCCCAGAAAAGCGCCATCGCCCCCAAGCCATTTCATTTCGCTGTCCTTTGCAAGACAAGACATTGTGGTGCAATACGACGGCCCACGGTGCCTACAGTAACCAACCCTCTCCCTAACTAACTGATTAACTTCCTCTCAAATCCCAATACCACTCAATCACATACAGTATGTAGGCGGGATGTACTTCGCTTGTTGATTACAGATTAGGTGCCCGCCCGGTAGTGTGTGATACAGACGGACAGAGGGGGGCGCTTTCGTCGCCCTGCCCTCTCTCCCTCCCTCCCTCCCCTCCAGCTCGCAAATCAATCAATGTATGTATCTCTCTGCCCCCGTCTCTCTTCCCCTCTGTCTATCTCGCTTACTCAGTACATTATTCACTTCGTAGCCCAGTAGCTCAGTAGCTCAGTACTCGACGATCCCCATGTGCAGCCCCGTGTTGTTGTTGTTGTTGTTGTTGTTGTTGTTGTTGTTGTTGTTGTTGTTGTTGTTGTTGTTATTGTTGATTGTAGCGGTGGTGGTGGCTTGTCGTCCAGAAGAGGAGCTTGTTGTGGCGCCCCCGGCACCTACACGGCCTTCGTTGGCGTCCACCATCAATGTATCCGCGGTGCCGCCGGTCGTGGTATTGTCGTTGAGCTGCTCGTGGTGTTGTCGTTGTCGCTGCTCGCCGCCGAGGAAGGCGTACGGCGTGCTGGTCCAGTCCGTCGCTGCAGCGTCGAGCCCGCCGCCCATGCCCGCTCCTCCGGGACCGCGCGCACAGTTTTGGATTTCTTGCTGATGGCTGCGGCTGCTGCTGCTGCTGCCCTCGTCGGCGGCGCGCTGCGCGGGGTTCGGTCCGGGTCGCCACGCCAGATGGTTCGACCCGGTTGCGTGCGACGGAGCCGGGGGTGGTGACAGTGGTGGTGGGAGTGCGGTCTCGCCCAGCGACAGGATGTCCGGGGTCGGCAGCGCCATCCACTGGTCGAGAAAGGCCCAGTCGACGTCCAGATTCAGGGGCATCGACCCGAGGCCGCCCATCTCCTCGGCAGCAGCCGCGTCGGAGGACAACACCCCTGTCCCTGTCGTCGTTGTCGTCGTCGTCGCGGTGGCGGTGGCGGCCGACAGGCCTGGAGTCGGTGTCTGCGGGAGAAATGCCGCGCTGAAGGGCAGGAAGCTCATGAACGGGTTGGCGCCGAGGCCTGGGTTCTGCAGGCCCGGCATGAGACGCAGATTCGGGTTGAATGTGGTGGCACCGCCGCCGCCGTTGTCGTTGATGCTGGAATTGTTAAAGGCGGGCGTGAAGAAGCCGTCACCTCGAGCGCCTTGAATCTGAGTCTGCTGCATCTGAGACGAGGCTGACGATGACGGATAATCCGCATACTCCTCCCGGTCGTGTTGTTGGTCTGATAGCGGCAGCGGAGCCATGGTGTAGTCGTATTGCATTGGGAACATTGCGGAACCCGTGAAGCGCGCCGGTGGCATGAATGGATGAGGTTTGGAGGGTAAGGCAGCGGGTCCTTGTGCTTGACCATGTTGTTGGTGGGTATTTGACGTCGCTGCCATAGGATCCCTTGCTTTGGGACCGATGGAGCCTGACCATGTCGATGGGGCGGCGCCGGACTCTGGACTGGTGACCTCTCCCAGCACCACTTCGAGGACGTCTGCGACCCTCTTCGCTTCATTACTCGTCAGACTCAGCTCCTCGCAGATGCCAAACGCCGCTTTCAGGAGCTGGAACTGCTCAACCATTCTGTCGTCCCCGGATGTCTCGAGTCGTTTCCCGGGGTTTGCCTTCCTCCACATACTCACGCCCAGGGTCAGGACCATGGCCGCCAGATAGAAGTCGTTCATCGTGAACGAACTCAACATCCACCGGTCCTGGAACAACTGGCCCCCAGGCTTCAACTCCTTGTGCAGATCCAGCATATGCCGCGTGATGGCGATGGCGGCGTCCGTGCACACTTTTGTCGATGTTGGGTGAGTACCTTGTGTCATGTATTTCCGGTGGAGCACGAGGAGAGATTTCTGGTAGAGGAATTCACAGTTCGTGCGCACCATGATGAGATAGCTCGGGTCGGCAAAGGACTGTGACATGGGACGGATGTGGAGAATCTCGGGCACGGTGGCATATACGGCGCGGACTTCGCGATCGAGATCCATAACTTCTTGTTGGGAGTGGTCGCGAAACGATAACGCGTGCGAGCAGACTTTCCCGAAGGTGGTCATCAGACGAGTTTTGACGATGAAATACAAGATCTGTGTCGGTTCCTCTTCCGGCCGGGACGGGGGCAGCGCCGTGCTATCCTCATCGAAGTCACTGTCGAGGAGGTTTGAGGGAGGCAACGTGTCCCAGCTATTCGGCGGGATCTGGTTTGGCAGGCCGAGTTGGAAGGAGATCATCAGGTCGAATTGCAGAAACATTGCCCACATGCGACGCCTCATTTCGCCCTCGAACACGGAGAAATGAGGGAATTGTGAAGGGTCGCGGTGGTAGCCACTTCGGTACGCAAGTCGTACGAGGATGGGAAAGAGGATGCTGACTTCCCGTGATGGGTCGAGCGTGGCCATGTATTCACACTGGGCGTACAGACCCAGGGCTTCCACCACGTAGCGCTTAGGCCGAACAAATCCGCCCAGGCGGAGGCATTGGCAGGAAGCATTGAGAAAGCTCATACGGGGGCTCAATTGATCTTCCGGTGTAGAAGGCTCGGAGCCCAGAGCTTCAGACAAGGTGGCAGACATGCAGCAGATGGAGAAGAGTACGGAAATCCAGAGGGGCGACATCTCCAGCGGGGTGCGCCAGAACTGTTCGTATTGTCTTCGAAATTGGGACGTGTGGATGAAGGGAATGACCAGATATCGACTATTGAAGTAGGTGGACAGTCGACGGTCGACCTGTAGCCGTGGAGGAAGGGCCTGGGACAGGACCTGCGAGATCGAGATGTGGCTCGTCGAACCGAACAGGCCTTCGATCTCCGGTGGCTCGACATCCTCGCTTTCATCGAGCTCGGTGGTTGATGGGCGGCCGCCTTGGCCGTTGCTGCTGCTCGACAGCGCCGACTTGAGTTCTTGGATGCTTTCCATGATTGCGGACCAGTGCGTCGAACCGACGTAGCGCGATTCCGAGGAGCCGTACTGAAGGTGTCCTTCCTTAGCGAGGCTCGGGGTCGACGTGTCGTTACCGTGGACAGACCCGGGGCTCGCTGCGGGTTCCGAGTCTTGCGAAGGCTGTGAACCCGTCGTGGTGCCCACCATTTGCATGACGAGCTGCTCCAGGTGCCGGAGCCTGTCCTGGGCTTGTCCTCGTTTGCTGGCCACATGACCCAGGTTGGTGCCATTGGTGGTGCTGCCCGTTTCGGACGCTTTGGGCAGAGGAATATTGCCATAGACGCAGCTAGCTTCGTCACCGCGTTTGACGCAGGTCTCGCACGGATGACTTTTGTCGCATTTCAATTTCTTGATCCTGCAGTTGAGGCAGGAGACGGGTTGTCGGTTTCGTTTGATGATTTTGTGCCCTCCTTGTTGCTGGCTGTCCAGATTGGCGCGGAACTTGGTGGTCAGGGCAGAGAACTCTGCCATTGAATTTAGCCTGCTGGGTTGCTCGAGAATCCAATACCAATATGAGGGAGATCGGCATCCAGCGGAGCAGTTGATGGTTTCAAACGATACGAGATTTTAGGGTGCGAGGTCGCGAACTCGAGTGGCGCAACGCCACAAAATTCAAAATGCGGACTCTGTTGACAGTTCGACACTGCAGTTTCAACGTCGACAACGACGGGAAGTTAGCAATGAGACACAGGCACAGGCCACGAGGACAGTAAAGAACTGGAGAGAGTCGTGTTCTGAGAGGAGGAGAAGATGAAGAACAAGACAAAGATGATGATATTAATCGACCCCCGCAGCTCACATCCTCCAACTTGATAAAGAGAGTTGACTTGATCTACCAATTACAATGCCACCACCACATGCCATCTACTGGCAACATGATCGTTCCAAAGAGTGTCATGGATGTGAAATCACACAGACAACCAAACCAACGATCGCGTTGTCTGTGCTCCTTCCTCACCTATCCGCAATATGTCAATTTCTCTCCTCGAACCTGTCAAAGCTCCCTAGTACACCCAGGTTTCACCTCCTCGTACACGGCGCACAGTTCTTGCCAGATCCTCTTTGCTGTTTGGTCTCCCTCGGCGCTCTTGACAAAGGCACTGTAAGGTTTGACCCGACATTCGCTCAAATACTGTCCATGGGACTCCGTTCCAGCCGTTGCGCCATGCACCAATGTCCGCGCTCCGTGCTCGCTCGATCGCCCAACAACTCTGAGCAGCACTTTGGTTGGCGGAGACGCGAAGCTCTGGAATAGATTGGTCTTGCAGAGCCCTGGCGCAACGTTGTTGATGACCACCAAGGGCTTGTTGGTCGGGTCTTTTTCGGCGGCCTTTTGCAGCATTGAAGCCAGGTATTTTACCAAGAGCATGACAATGAGTTTGCTGAGAAAATAGCGAGCCTTCATGTCTGCCTTTTTGGGGTTCGACAGTGTTTGGAGAATTTGACCCTCAGCCGGGGCGGTCAATTCCTTGGCCCCGACAAAGAAATGGACTGCTGATCCGACAACGGCGAGTGTTGGAGTGATGTTGTAGGTTTTTGCAGACTTTCGCATGATGGGAACGAGCAGTATAGCGAGGAGGAACGTTGAGATAACATTCACAGTGATGGTCGTCTCATAGCCTTCTGCAAGCGTAAACTCCACAAGGTCAATGCCCGCATTGAGGATTGCGGCATCGAGCCTTGGGAGATCTTTGCATCGCTCGGAAAAGGCGACCACGCTCGAAAACGAATCAAGGTCGACTTCCAAGATGACCAATATTGGCTGCGATCCTCCGTGCTGTCCGCTGGAGAGTGACTGCAAGATGATCTCCTTCGCCTTTTCCCCTTTTGCGAGGGTCCGGCATGCGAGGACGACCGTGCTGCAATTCAACTGTACCAACAGTTTGGCAGCCTCGAGACCCAGTCCAGAATTTGCTCCTGTCACCAGAATGGTGCGTCCGCTCAAATCAACTCGAGGAAGTGGTGGAGTCGAAAGCTGGCCACGAATGAATTGGCCTGCCATGGTGTGGTGGTGGGTGGGAGCCTGTCCTGTACTTGTCGAAAACTGTGGTAGTAGAGCGTAAAATCAACACGGACCGACCTTGGACGAACAGTCGACCCTCATATATCCTGCCTCTCCAAGAAAGTCCACGTCTCCTGGGTAGCCTGCTGCTAGAGACGCAGACCTTATCCGGACTCCGGCACTTATGCTGGCAATTTAACCCTGCTCAGAGTCTCCGACTCTTTGTTCAACAGGACGTTGAACACGTCAATCCCCAGCTAGACTCTTCGAAACTGAAAAAGAGGAGATGTCTCTGCCACTGATTGGGAGGGCGTTGAGATGCCTTGACCAATTTGGAAACATCTTAAATCCGATTGTGGAGCATGTCCACGGGCCATGTTGATTCCGCTGCAACAACCAAAACCAAAGACACTGGAGGTGATATGGTTCGCAGGCAGAAGCCATTCAGGTCTTAGCTCCAAGGGTTTAGGAGCGAGGAGCCTGTCAGCAATCTCATAGCCTGGTCTCAGGAAACGGGGAGTCTCAGCTGATTCGGACCCGAAGTCTGATAGTCTTCGATGAGCCATACAGCATCCTCATTATAACTCCGTAAAGCCTGCCGTACTCGCTCCGAGTGCATAAGTGGGGTAAGAAGCATGAAGACTCTATCCACGCTGTCTTCAGAGATTCGAACATGCTGAAGAATTGTGATCAACAACGTGACAAGTGCATCCAGAAGTTGTCCATCTGACGATCTGGCAGTGCCGCCGTACGAAGCCAGAGAAGACTGATCGGGGGACGAACTAGACTTGTTTTTCAACTGCATTGAGCTGCTAGGAGAGATAACCAATTCTGATTGTTTCATGTTCGACATCGCGCCCGATTTCTGCGACTTTGCTGACCTGAAGACGGTCGAATATGTTTTCTCGAATAGGATCTCAAGCTCATCGAAGAGCGCCTCGATACGGCTGGATACGAAATCGCCTGCGGCACGGCAGATTTCTGCTACCGTGAGGGCGGCGGCCCTAACAACGTACGGCGCATTCGTCCCAGGTGGATCATTCCCGGACAGAAGCCTAGCCACCACTGCCGGCCAGACGGAATTCACCAGGGGTAAAAAGGTATTCTCATGTCCCACAAGCAGTGGACATATCTCTTGCAGCAGCTCCAACAAGGTAGTGCGCACTTTCGGTGAAGGGGAGGACAGGTGTGGGGCCGTGGACTGTGCAATGTTGAGCAGAAGCTGATGGGACTTGGATATTTTGGGCTCCTGCCGATCCGCCACTTGGTCAAGAGGCTGATTATCCTCCCCGTCTCCGTCCACGTCAGAAATGCTTCTTTGATCCTCATTCTGTTCGCTGTCTTCGGCAGCTGTCCACGGCCGGTGGGGAGCACCAGCAATCTCTTCATGCTCCTCGTCAGTCTGGCGCTGTCTTCGTTTCCTGCTTTTCAAGTCGTCGAGGATATCTTGCAGTCGAGATACATGGTTCGGCACGTTTCGGTGGCTTCCAGCTGCTTTCCCGGACTGAATAGCAAGAATGGCAGGTTTCTTGGAACTTTCCGTCACTACCATTTTGAGAACGTCGAATAGTTGTTCGACCAGATTTGGATATCCATGGAAGGTGTCCAGGGCGCTAAAGACGCTCCCGATAAGGTCATCAAGGTGCAGGAGGAGCCTGCCACCACAAAGACGAATCATCATCCCGATGACCTGCAGGCTTGTTGGCGACACATCAAAGGCGTCGAGCCGCAACGCAACAGCATTGATTAGATAGTCCACATTCTCAATCAGCATATGAGAGGCGGAATCATATTTACATGCTGCAGCCAATAGATTCAGGGCCGTCATTGCGTGCTGCTGGAGCAAGGCATCACTGGAACCAAGAAGCGTCAGCAGTGGAAACAATGTCTCCACTAGTTCAGGACGGTATGATTGACTGAGCTGAGAAGCCTGAAGTACTAAACTTTCAAGGGACAGTGCAATCAGCCGCTGGTCTGAAAACCCTTCGCCTTCGAGGTCAGGATATTCTGTCAGGAACGGAAGAATATTTGAATAAAGATCGCTTATGAGAAAGGGACGGGAAAGTGAGATATCCGATGTGGAAGCATTGTCGTCCACCAGCTCCATCACGTCAAATGACATGCTACTGTCAGATTTCAAGAACTGGAGAGCGAGCCATGCAGCCGATATTTTCCTGCTGATATCAGGATCATGCAGACGATCAACAAGATTGCGTGTAATATTTTGACTGAAAGGGTGTGTCTTGAGTGTGGCAATCAGACTTTGGAGCTCTTTCGTGGACGATTGCTGGCTCTGATGGCTCAGTATAACCGGCATAAACTCATGCTCCGAGCGTCTGGACTGCTGAACCAGCTCTCCGGGGGAAATCTGGGGTGCTTCGCTGACCAGCTTGGACTTTTTCGAGCCCGATTCAATGGCTGCTGCGACAGTATCAATTAAAATCGAGGCAAATTTCGACACCTCCTCATTGGAAGCATTTGAACTGTCTGTCAATGCGATAAATGATGTCGTTACCTGCTTGAGCAACTGCTGCTTCGGTCTATCGTCATTACCTTGCATCACTCGGGGAAGTGCTTGGGACCAGTCATAGAATTTGGCTTCTACGATCTCGGTTATCTCCGGCCTCGAGGTCATCAAGTATTTGAGAGCGGAGTTTGCTTTCGACCCATGGGACGATTGGCACAAGACTGCAAGGGTCTCTACCATCAGAGGTACAGACTGAGCGAGAGTCTGCGAACAGTCATCGATAACCGTGAGGCAGAGGTTGAGGAGAGCCTCAGCAACATCAGGGCTGTTGTGAGTCCTCAGCTTGACGACCTGGATTAGAGCCAGGTCGATCTGAGATGCCGTTGCATCGAACCAGGATTTGTCCAATATAACTTCATCATCGGCGCCGCGTGATTTGGAAGACATGGTCTGAACCTTCGTCCCAGATTTGTCCGGTGCGACGGTGTCAGCAAGTACGTTTCTTAAAGCCTCAGTAAGCAGGTCCAAGTAGGCGACAAGGACCTTTCTCGTTCGACGGGCCTGAGTACTGGGTCGAAGGACCTTGACCAATGTAGAGACAGTACGGGGAAGCAGACTGGCTAGTAGTGTTCGACTCTTGACAGCACGCTGAAGTTCAAGAAGAGCATGGGTTGCACTGATCTGGACGTCTTCCGATGACGCGTCTGCTACCGCTTCAAGTAGCTGATAGACAAGTTGGTCTACAATGCTCTTGCTGCCAACGTCCTCCAGGACCGGTGATGCCAGCGAAGCACTTTGGCGGATGAGGACGGCCATGCATTCGTAGGACGCAACTTTCAGCTCGTCCGTGGGAGGTTGATTCTGTTGGTTGGGCCCTCGAGAAACCAGCAGCCCCATGAGGATGAGCAGCTGCTTGGCCATCTCGGGCAGAAGTTTTTCTCGCCATCCTTTTGATACAAGGATTTGCACGCATCCGACAGCTAGCTCAAGGCCTCTGGATGATATTCGGGCGGATTGATTGAAAATGTGAGTCAGTGGAAAGAAGGCGTATTCAGCCAATTTCTCATCGAGAAGATCCTCGTCTGCCAGCGAGGTCAGAACACTGTGTACCTGTTCCAGAGCGAGAAGCACAGCCTTGGCAGATGTCTGATTAGCCTTGAGTTTTAGAGCAACGGAGCTCAGTTCGACGCAAGGTGGACGCAGCTAAGTGTCTTGTTAGTAGGGAAATTTCCTGTAGGGCTTGTGGCACAACAAACCCGCTGAAAAGCCTGTTGCCGCGAAGACTCCATCGTGGAACGCTCGTAGCAAACACTAAAAGCATGCTCACTGTCGCAGATTCCTTGTTCTTGACGGCATGTTTGCCAAGGCGAAGAGAGTGTACAGATGGTGGAACAACTTGAACTTGCTCTGGGAATGGGGATCTGCACAGCCACTGTGGCTCGACATATCGAGTGCCACGCCTTGGCGGCTTGGCATCTTTCCTGACTCCTTGCGCGCACAGCCTCGTGTGACGGCGAGTTCGTGGCAGGATGCAGAAATTTAATCCGTAAAAGGTCCAGGCGACATGAACCAGGAATTCGAAGGCTGGGCAAGAATGGCAGTATGCATTCTGTTCGAGAATAACTCTGAGCTAGGGATACTTGCACTGCACCACCTCGGGAGAAACAATGGTGACCTTTCAAATATTGGGATTAACAAATCATTGCTTAGGAGATTATGGTAGAATACAATTTTCAAGTCACCAAAGTCAGTACCGTCGTGGCGCGATGCCGTTCGGAGAATTTGACATGGCACAAGCATCTATCCTATCCTCGCAGTTGCTATCAGCAAGTTGTCGGTGCCAGTATGTGACTAAGCTCTCCACGCCAAACACAGAGTGCTTCTGTTCAAGAAGAGTCACAAGCTCGATTCACTCAACATACCACACATTGTCAGTGCACCCTCCATCATCGTGATCCTGGTGATCTCGCAGCTCTGTGACAGGCGTTACTTCAGTTCCATCATTTCCGGTTTCGCATGGGTTGACCAGGATACATACTCACACTTCTCCAATAGCCGCCTTCCTGTCAGTGTGCTCGTACAGCGCGTCACGACGAAAACCCCCAGGTGGTCTCCGAAAAGACTCGAGCCCAAAGTGCATGTCCGTATAACCGAGAATACCATACGTCTTCCTGTTCTTGCGAACCCTGCTGGCCAGCGTCGCTCACTCTCCTGTAGCAGCATTCAACCTGGAATAACAATTGGTTGAAAAGGCGGATCGGTTTCGAGGAAACCCCCACATGAGTTCCACTGTAGCTGTTCAAACGCGGCGTCAACGGTACAAGCACGGAGATCTCGGGAGGAAAGGAAAAACGACTTGTCAAGTAGAGACCCAGGCACCAATGATCCAGGGGCGAAATTCACGACCGGGGACTCCAATGGCCACCCCGGCAAAAATCCGCCTTCGGCCGTTCGGAGCTCTGTAGTCCCAAGGTCAGTAGACGTGGATGGAGAAGGGTCTTCGAAAATCTACCAGTTCGCTCACCTCCACCTTTACAAAAGACATTAGCAGTGGACTACCTGGGTTTGCAGCTATTCCCGGTCCCCAAATCTTCAGAATTGCCCTCTTTGAACCCCAGTTTTTGTCGTTCAATGCCACGACTTGACGAGTATCCCACCTGCTCCAGTGAGTAGCACTTCGCAGGGTCTTCCAGACCCCCACTTTGTGCTGAGGGCGCAACTTCGAAGACGACGCCAGCGTAGCGTGCCGCTTTATGCCTAATTTGGGCATCTGTGTCACGCAGGCAGCCATTTCGGACCTGATTATAAGTGACAGGGCCGCGGTTTCCGATCGAATCGACAAATGTTTCGGCAGAAGGATTCCCCACGCACAACCGTCTCAACCGTGCCATGACTGAATGCAAGAGTTCGCGGAGAAGAGTATAGAGAGCCACGGTGCGGCCTATACGTAGGAGAAAATTTTTGAGCTTCGGGATAATAGGCGCACCTATAGTCTGATGTCAACAGTGTTGGCTTTGGCGGGAAGGGCCTGGTGTACTGTAGTTCATTATCCCCAGGCGGCATCGCCGTTGAAATACCGCATGGGATGAATAAATCCACCCAGATTCAATTGGGCCTGGAACCAAGCTTTGGGACCTGCTGATTGCCAGGCCGTGCGACGCTCAACTTCTTGAATGACGGACGGCACCAACGGTGCTGCGGAAGCCGGAGGGGCTAGAGGGAGCTGCCCTGAATCCAACGCGGTGCAGGAGCCTATCGGGCCAGACATATTTCGACTGAGCGATTAGTCCTCAGTAAAAAGACCCCAGCGTTATTAGATTCTCGTGCGTACGTTTGTGTCGTTGAACTGAGATGCGGATTGGCATGCACAGTTCTGGATATCAATAAAACATAACGCGTAACGCGTGCATCATGCGTCATGCGGGGTGTAGTGCCGCTGGTGCGGGAACATCGACATTGTGCACTTATCGCGGAATCTCAACGATGCCAAGCTCTTATCGCCCTTCACTCGGTGTTGTGTTGCTAGGACCATAGACGCAGAAGACGAGGAACTATGTTTCCGATGCATGCCTTTGACGACACTCGAAAAGAATCCTTTGAGAAACTTAATGCCAGATAGAATCTCGCAAGGGCCGATGCGTCTCGAAGCTGCATGTTCGCTGCCCCACTACCTTTTGCTTCCATTCCGTGCTTTGCGTCTCAGAAGGGCCGTGCATTTCTGTAGGGATCAAGAGCCCAGCTGTCTCGGTACCACGATGTTGGGGTCCTATTGTGCTCACGACGAAAAAACAAATTGAATAGCTAGATCAGGTACCTGGCACTGATGTGGCGGGCACTCGGCTATCTTGGAGAACATCCCTGCAACCTGAGAAACAGGCTTGGGCATTAGCTTATGACAGCAGCTCCACCAGCTACTGTATGTGCGGACCGTCTAGGCCCAGCCAAGGTGCTTGGGGGAGCACCTTTCTTTTCCTCTGGCAATGTGCAGCTTCACGGAAAAAGAAGAGGTCGGAAGGAAGTTCTCCAGACTTATGTGCCAATCAGACTGCCCATTCAAACACCAGCGTACAAGTTTACAGGCGTTGAACGGTGATGCAGCAGGGAGCCAATTTCCACTCTGAAACGATGAGATGCTGCTGGCAAAAGCTCTGGAATTGAGGCAAGCGGCAAGGAACACGAAATGGTGATTCAATCGCAATATTTTCGTGGCGCCAGAACTAGGAACCCCCCATCCGCTATCAAGTAGCTACGGACAAAGACTCCTCGAATGGCTGAGAGACACTTGCACGGGAGCAAGCTAGGTGCCTCCGAGCAAATTGTGACGGGAGCCATGATTTGGCAGCGTGGAGTCGACTGGCCAGATGTTTTGTCTCACTGGTGGTGCCGGCCTGCAGCTGGCCGGGCTTTTCTGTTTTCTTTGTCCTGCATATGCGGGAGTTAGTGGCGGTCACTGTCGACGCGTCCTCTTTACTATGTCTGAGTTGGCTGGGACGTCAGCTGAGGATTGCATGGGAACCTCGAGGCATTACCTCTGAATCAGGGCACTGGATGCAGCTCTACCACTATGATGTATGTGATGGTGGAGGGCCACTTACCGAGGGCAGGGAGGGGGCACCCGTTTAGGCGAGCTGGGCGCTGCTAACACCCCAGTGCCGTGTCGTCACTGTGGACCTCCGACGCTTAGGCCAATTTCCATTCCTCTGGGTGCCTGCAGTCGCCGGTTATGGTGTCACCCCAGCTTCTCGCAACTCACCAGGAACAGGTTCAACGAAAGGTCTGGTACGTCGTGCAGGCAGGGACGAGGCTGGATTGGCACACCATCCTGTTGACGCCCCGTACCCCGGGGAAGCTAGGAGTCGACAGTCGAGTGGTACACACCCTGACGAAGGCCCATGATACCTGGCCTAAAAGCCCCGAAGCAGGATTTTTGGTCACGTCTGCGGATGGGAATCACCGAGGGGATCATCGATTGGGTGCTGACTTCAAGATCTCGAGAGCCCGATGTTCAGCTCTAATCGTACGGTGCTAGAGTGCGTTGGGAATAGAGTTAGAGATCGCCAGGCGTTAAAATGCCCGCTTCAGGGTTCCGGAGCCCAGAGAGGTATCGGAAGTAACCCCAGAGACCCGCTGTGGCTGAACGGGTGGCGGTCAAGATAGTCGATTGGGCCGAAGTCGAGTTTCCGGGTGTCACAGGTGGCTGCGGTTACCTAGGGAGAGTTCAGTCTGCGCAACCCTCAGGGACGTAGCTGGCAAGGAACTAAACTTGCATAGGCACTGTCTGTAACCACTGCCAGCTTCACAGCAGGAACAAGAGCAAACCCAATCAAACGCCAATCTCTCCTGTCATGCCGAATCCCCTGTTTTGCCTGGAAAGTATAATTGTGGGAAAACTTGCAATCATGCCCCCTCAGCCCTTGGAGCTCCTCAAGCCAACTAACACCTACGAGCACCTGCCTACTCGCCAGACACCTGCATCCTGCTGCACAGCTAGGAGCTGCCTACCGCATCGCACCTCCAGTACTCCGTACCTTGTACTGTGCTCCGCTCGTTCGTTTGCTCGTCACTGGCAACACGGTCCCCACTTCCGTCACTACTCCAGCTTGACTCTTCACTTGACCCTTCACTTTCCAACTCAAAAGCTTCCCACTCCCGCCTTCCAGCATTGTCCCCCTGAACATCCCATAAAACCTTGTCCGTCAATTCACTTTGCGCGTCAAGGCTGCTTTCTCTCTCTCTCTCTCCCACCACTTCTCTGGACCTGGCACTCTCCTCCTCCCTGCCTTAGCCACGACTTACTCTCGACGTCCTCGTCACGTACAGTGCATCATTTTACTGATCACACCCATTACGTCGTGTACCTCTCAACTTCATTGACGGGCCTTGTTCCCCTCGTCCTCAATCATGAAAAGCCTCATCATCGCAGCTACCCTCGTCGGTGCAAGCCTCGCGCAGACGCTGTCCAGCCTTCCACAATGCGGTGTAAGTATCTTTTGCTCCAGCGAAGCTGCTGAGAACATTGACTGACCTCTGATTCAGCAAATGTGTTTCAACAACATGCTCGCTCAAGCTCCCACGCTCGGCTGCCCCGATGTCAATGGTTCGCCTGATGTCGTCTGTCTGTGCAAGAACGCCGACTTCAGCTATGGACTCCACGACTGCTCCTCTGAGGCTTGCCCGGTTGGCACCGACATCTCACCGATTCTGACATATGGGGAAAATTACTGCAAGTCTGGTGAGTGAATATGGACATCCTTTGATGGGAGTTCGGACAACGTACTGATCGTTGGCAGCCGCTGCTTCCGCATCCAGCGCCGGTAGCTCTGTTGGTGCTCTCTCTGGAACCTCTGCTTTGACTGTTGGTGGTGCCACAGCCACTGGCCCTAGCGGCGCCACTGCTACTGGCACCAGTGCTGCTGGTGGAAGTGCTTCTGGGTCTGGTGCTTCGGGCTCTGGCTCTGGTACCGGCTCTGGTGGCTCTGGTGGCTCTGGTGGCTCCTCCACGCCAGTTTCTACCGAGACGCTCTTTTCCACTATTACTTCCGACGGCAGTACCATCACTACCGCAGTTGGCACATCCACCATCTTTGGGGCAGCTGGTTCGGGCTCAGGTGGCAGTGGCGGCGCCTCGTCGACGCCTGTCTCGACCGAGACCCTGTTTTCGACTGGCACCGACAGTGCAGGCAGCACATTCACGACGGTCGTGGGCACATCTACCATCTTTAGCGCAGTTTCAGGGGGTGGAGTCAGTAACATCGTCCCGTATTGGAAGACATTGTCCCAAACTGACTAACAAGTTTTAGGCCTCTGCTTCAAGCCATGCGTCGTCGGTCGCCTCTGGCGCAAGCGCATCGGCCTCGTCCATCTCAGCCTCCCTTTCCTCCGAAATCTCATCGGCCTCCTCGGCTGCCTCGAGCGCTGCGTCGTCCGCTCAAGCTTCTGCATCCTCACTTGCAAGCTCTGCGTCTTCACACCTGGCCAGCGCCACAAACTCTGCCGCTTCGGCTGCCTCGTCTGCTGCGTCCGGAGCATCATCGGCCGCTTCGTCGGGAGCATCTAGTGCAACCGGTGCAGCCATGCCCGTGGCAACAGTGGGCGTCAATGGTCTGGCCGGTCTCGCAGGTCTTGCCGCTATCATGATGCTGTGAATAAATGACACTTGAGCCACATCTGGGTCGGGGAGGAGGGACATGAAAATTTCCAATTTGTTTCCACATCACTGTTGATACCCACATTCGAAAGGCGCGACTTGCATCTCTGCTCCACAGCGCAGGGAAAGGGGACAATCGGCGGACAGAATCTCAGCGCGATCGAGCTTGTCCATGGTCACTGCAGCGTGCCTATTGATGCGTTACGGATTTTACGGACAATCAAGCGGCACCTTTTAGCATGAGCATGAAGCTTTTGCTGTAATAGGCCCATCTGAACGGGCTGATAGCTAATACCTGACGCATTGAACTCGAAACAGAGATAGCTTTGTAGAAAGTGGGAGCGTTGTGGTTTTTGAATTAATTTTTGCCCTTGACTGTCCCGTGGTTTGACTCAGCTTCGCCTGTTCAGCCGACGCATCCGAGCCGCTCCTGCGATCCCTCGCTTGTCTTGGGTCAGGGGCGCAAGGGATAGCAAAAGACGGTTGCCATTGGCACGATTCGCATCGACTTGATAGTGGGAGATACGGGCACCTCGAGTTTTAACCGAAACACAAAAGGATCTCTACGGGTCGATAACGTAAACACTGATCCATCTATTATCTGGGGCACATCCGGGCAGATCTGGCACCCTAAAACGCCCGGGGTGCATCTAGTATGGAGCAGTTATTCTCATCCACCTATGTACCTACAATTACTCGCGAACGAAAAACCTACTGGACAAATACGATTCGATCCTAGAGGGTTGAGCGAAGGCCGCTTTATCCTGGCCTTTGACTGAACTTTTATCTGAGGCTCTTTCACTATGCATTCCCTACACCCCCCCGTGATCAATACACTAAGAACGCCTCAGGTACAGAAAGCGAACCCGATAAAGTAATTATTCTAAGTCGAATTGATAGTAGACATCCAATCCGCTACTTCTTACCTCCCGTGTCATGAGAGGTAGGGAGCCCATCTGGCTCCTTGCACCCAACTACCTGGGCTCTCCGAGTAGTACTCGTGTCATCCAACGGGCTTTCGCCAGCATTCGACTTCCCTTCTTTCTCTCCCCCTTTCGCTTTGTAACCCTCATACTTTATCATATGACGGGCGGCTGCTGGCTCGTTGCTCAATCCGGCGATGGATACCTACAACTACCTAATGTACAGGGGTTCGGAGAAATGCCGTACGCAGGAGGAGAATGGACGTCCGCCTCCGGATCGATGGTGATGGGCCGGCCGCGTTTTGAAAGACCTCGTCGTCCCTTCTGGGGAGAGATTTTTGAGTAGTCTTGTGTATTGTTTTTGTATTGCATGCATGCATTCAAGGTTGTATTGGTGGCAGGGTATCATTATTACATGGCATAGAACTCAACACCAATTGAGAGCAGTAATAGCACCAACAGCAGCAGTAGCAACAGCAGACAACGACAAGACAGCTTACTCCCAGTCCTCTTCGTCGCTCTCCTCATCCACCTTCGTGGGTGACCGACCGAGGTCATCTTTGGGGCTGCCTGGGGCCCGGCTGTTGGCCCCGCTGACGAGATCGTAGCTGGCGTCGCTGTCGGCGACGGACTTCTCGTCGTGAGATCGACGGCCTTCGGGCTTGAGAGACGTGTGGTCGGCGGCGGCGGCGGATGAGGGAGTCTGGTGTATCGTGGTCGAGGAGTCGTTGGTGTTCTGAGCAACGAGGACTTTGGGCACCGCTTCGTTCCGGAGCTGGGGAGTCGACGAAGTCGCCGGCTCCTCGTCGCTGTCCTCGTCCCAGCCGACCTCCTCTGTTTCGTGCGTAGATGCTGTATTATTGATCAGGTTAGCAGACATTTCTGGATACAGGTTCACGCTCTACCGTTTCGCCATACCTTTGAGAAGTTCTTTCCTCTTCTCTTCTTGCGTCTCTACGACGTGTCTCAGGAAATAGTATCTCGTCCAGAAGTCCTTGTACTCCACTTTCTCCGGCACGAGCTTCTCCATCGAGCTTCTCAGCTCCCGGTATTTGTCAAGGTCTTGTGCAATGCGTGCGGTCATCTTGTCGATATCGAACCCCTTCTTGAATTCATCCCACTGGTCGCCGGCCCCGCTAGGGTCCTGAGTGAAGCTCGTCAGACTAGTGTGGATGACGTGTAGCTGCGCATCAAATCTGCTTGTGTGGATGACTCTTTTGCCTGAGGTCGGGTCTCTACTCTCGAAAAGCACCTCGCCCGGCTGGCGGTCGACATTCTCTTCACCGTCGGGGGCAGTCACCGACACGGCGTCTCGCAAAAAGTTTCTGATATTTGTGCCGAACCTCAAAAGCGCCTCATCAGCAGCATCTTCTGCTCGCTGCACATCTTTCAGTCGCTTTGCGGCCTCGGCTTTGAACCGCTCCAGAAATGTCTCCGTCTCTTGGATTGTCTTGTTCTGCTCGCTGTCTTTGCTGGAACTCGGTAGTTCTAAGTTCCCGTCTGCCCCTGGAGCATTCTCTCCCTCCTTCTGTTCTACCCCGAAGCCCAGTCCCTTGACACCCTTCAGCCGCAAGGCTTCCATGTCGCTGGCCATTTCAGCAGCCTCCTTCTTCGCCTCCTCATATAGACTTTCTCCTTGCTTTCTGACATTGCCCCAAAGGCCACCCAGCTTGACGCCCCATTGCGAATTGGAGAACGCTTTGAATGTCTCCTGAAACTCTGCTTGAAGACTCTGTCGAGGGGAGCTTGGTGTTGGGGTGGAGGTATCGTTGGTGTTTGAAGCCGTCGCAGGTGTAGGAGTCGTGGCGCGATCGCCGGGAGTGTAGGCTTGTTCAGCGATATGATCGTATGCGAGATCCATGGCGATGGGGGAGAAGAGTGGTCAATGGGAGGTCGTGGAGAGGGGCAACTAGACGGGCGGGCCAACAAGGATGCCCTGTTGTAGTGGAACGATTGTAATTAGCGACCGTACAGGTAGGGATGAGGGCTGACTTGAGCTACAGTGCCAGGAACAGTGAGTGACGAGACACCAGGATTCGACATGCCTGATGAGGTTGGAGAGATGATCAAGGGGGCATTCGTCGGTGACAATCCAGGAAACCACGTGCTGCGGTCTGGATTCGCCGTAGTAATAATCATTGTGTCTGACAAGTGGACGGCTGCGCTAGTCTTGGTGTCTTGGCAGGTGTGAAGCTTGTCAGACATGCTTAAGGACAATATCCTCATCGGTGTCCTCTTCCTTTCATGTTATAAAACGCTCGTGTTCAGCCATACCCCAGTAAACTCGATCATTGTATAAGCTCCGCCCTAAAAGAATTTTGCTGCCTGCTCGATTCAACTGTGCCCCGTTTTGGTACTGCAATTCGGATACGATGTACGGTAAGGGCGCAGGTGTCGCATAAGCCGGCGAATCCCTCCTGATTCCTTTACCCCTGACTCCCCAAACAGTGATCTTCGAAACCTTCTGGCGGCAGAACTTTACGCTGGTGCCTGACCTGACAGGCTTAAGGCACGAGCTAAACTCGCCTGGATCTACGAGTTGGGAGGTGGGAGACTGATTGTGGCAGTCTGCATTGCCTCACTACCGAGCTAACCCAACGTGGTAACCACTTCGAGGTCGCTTACCATGTTCAGATACCTTCGCGTTGTAGACTGATGTCAACGCGTGGTGACAGACAGGGCCGGTCCAATATACATCCTCGTCATGGATTTCATGTCCTGCGTCCCCTTGTTGTCCATTCTCACTGGTTTTCTATATATTCAGATAGGGATTCTGCGTGCAACTCAGAAGATGGCACTCACATCTCAACTCCATCCTTTTCGCAGATGCTTGCATCCCAACCTTTCAAACAAGCACCAGATCTTTACCTCAATTCATAGGACAATATATATCCAGAAGCATGAGTCCGCGCGAACGAGATGGGGCCATCGCTCGGGCGACCAAAGGGATTGGCAGTCTCATCGGCCTTGCGGTTGAGGCGCATGTTCAGCGCAAGAACAAAACCCAAAGCACAGTTACGAGGCGATATGAGATCCCCGAGAACAGCAGCCGCGCAACGAGGAGCAGTCCATTCAGTGCTCAATATGACTGTCGGGAAATCGACGACAAAGAACCACTTTCCGACGACGAAGACGAGGACGATGAGGACGCTTTTGCCGACGCGATGCTTCCCCCCTCGTACGACGAAGTCATTTCTCCTGGTTCTTCTGGCACAGCTCCATTCACCACCATCAAACCCCTCCCATACCCCATCATTCTACCTCAACGTCGCCCTAAACGTTCTTCTCGGGGCTTCATTCGAGCGTACGCTCCCGTCCTCCAGACCCACAAAAACATCTCTCAAGACGCTTTTCTCGCATTCCTCAAAGACTTCCAGCGGTCCTCCCGTGCCTCTCCCGTGTTCCACGCCATCAACATTGGCGCCATGGCTGCCGGGTTTGCTCCGAGCGCAATTGCCATGGGTGTGAGCATGGGTGTGCAAGCTGGCACCAAGTACGCCATGGCCTATCAGGAGAAGACGAGAACAAATAATTACTTGGACAAGGCGAACAGGGAGATGTTCTGGCCCGTGGGGCTGCACGCAATGATCACGACCTTTGCACCGGGTCAATCCGACCAAAGTGTTCTGGACGTCGACACTGGACGTCCACTTCCCTCTTATTCCGGCTCAAGAGACCCACCGGAACTGGCGATCCCTCAGTCCGCACCACTGATCTTCCCACAGGTTGACGACGAAGTCGATGATGACGGCCAGCCGAGATCGTCCTGGAAACGGGGATCCAAGTTCGTCTCGTCGTACTTCGACCGACGCGCCCAAGCCGAGCATCTCCCCACATACGGCGATCCGAACAGCCCGCCGACCTTTGCCAGCCGCTACAGCGATCCCAACCATCCCGCCAACTCGGGAAGCCCCATCGCGCTCCTTACCGGCGGCCTCATCAACCCTCGCGGCGACCGCAGTCGTGGCGACCAGGGGAGACTACTCTCGACCGTCCAAGACTTGAAGAGATCAAACTCCCACGGCGACGAAGGACTACTCATGCGCCTCGCCCGCACCGTCTCGGACGCGAGATCAAGTCCAAGTCAAAGTGACCGGTACGGACAGCAATCATCGTATGGTTCCGCCCCCCACTCGCGGTCTCACTCACAGTCCAAGTCCCGTTCGCATTCCCACTCCCACTCCCACTCCCGCGAATCCGATGACCACGACTATATGCCCTACGAAGGCTCTCGCCGGCCCGATGATCGTCGTCGTCGCAGTCACCGCCGCAGCGAGAGCTTGGGGACCCTGAACGATGAAAGCCGCGGACGAGGGGTACACGGCCAAGGCGGCCGTGGCGGGCTCAAACAAGTGCTCCGGAAAGCAACGTCCATGCAGCAGGATGTGCTGTACCTCGTCATCGCCGAGATTCCAGACTCGGTGAAGGAGGAAATGGCGCGCTCGCGACGACGAGGTTAGGTCTGGGTACACGCATGCCAAGTGGTAGACAGGGGAGGCGAGAAGAGAGAAAACAAGGGAATGGCACTGCTTGGAACAGAGCACGGAGTACGAGGGTTTCTTGTCTTATATCGTGTATTTCCGGGTTCTCTCAAAAGTCCCAAGGCGTTTCAGATCCGTCCTTTGAATATGTACTTTCCTTCCCATGGCAGGTTCACTGCATGATACAAGGAGCGATTTCATAGAGAGGTAGCGCAATGCAAACATCACATCATATCATAACCCATGGGACCTCCTAGTGCACCTTTGTCCTCGATATGACCACCAATTAGATGCCCAATCGAACCAGCCGACACCCGTCACGTAGCTGAGTCATCTCGTTCTTCCATGGCATTCGTAGTGTCCCTTCGCTGTCTAATACTCGAAGTCGTCGTCCACGCCAGTCTTGCTCGACTGTTCCTTCTGCATCACCTCCTGCTTCCTATACATCTCGGCTACTTGGGCACTGGTGCTCGCGTCTTCCGGCTTCTTGTCGTCTCTCCGTTGAATGAACCGAGGAAACCTGAGGCTGATCCCGTTCTTGCCGCCCATTTCCTCGATTGCGGCCCTGTACCTGGGGCTCAGCGTAAGGTCTGCGGTCTTTACTTCCCAAACGTGGCGCGGCTCGAACCAGACGTCTGGTTGGTCATTCTTCACCGTCGAGTGAGAGTAAAAGGGTTTTGGACGCTCGATCACGATTTCGGAGAGCTCCTTCGCGAGCTCCTCGAGCAGGGATTCGGAGAAACCGGTACCTATGTTGCAGACGGTCTCGAAGCTTTGGGTGTCTGGATTGTATGCGGCAAGAAGAAAAGCGCCATACCAGGAAGTGCGTTTGCCTTTGCCGTGATAAGCTCCCAGAACCACAAGATCCAATGAGTCGCCGATGCCTGAGAGGTAGTCCTTCTTCACTTTGAGCCAGTTTCTCGATCGTTTGGATGGCTCGTAGGCTGATTCTTCGGTGTCGAGCATCTTCACCATTAGACCTTCGCAGGATGCTTTGACAGAATCATCGAGCAGGTGCTGAATCTCTTCGACGTCCTTCGCGTCGCCGTACTGGGCAAATTGGAATTCGCCCTCTGTTGGCACGAAGGCATCATGCAACACTTCCCGTCTTTCACGGAATGATTTATGTACCAGTGCTTCACCATTATAAAAGAGTAGATCGAAAGCAAAGACACAGACTTGGACAGTGACCTCAGATGTCTTGACATCTTTGCGCTTGCGGGTCATCAATTGTTGGAATGGCAGGACTTTCTTGTTTTGAGGATCCCAGGCGACGGTTTCGCAGTCGAGCACAAAACTCTTTGTTGAGGGTTTAACCCACGTGTTGAGTTTCTCCAGGATATCGGGGTATTTCTTGGATAGATCCTCAGAGTTCCTTGAAAAAACCGCCGCCAGACCCTTAAATGCCTTTGGGTCCTTGGTGAGGGTATTTTGTGCCGCCGGGTACTCGGACATGGCTTCAGGCGCAATATAGTGGATCTGCGAACGTTCTCCATCGTATTTATATTCGCATGTGAAGTTCTTGCCCTCGAAGCGATCAAGCACCTCAGTGATTGACTTGGTTGGTTTGGCAAGCATGGGTTTCAGGGGCACTCCCGGCTGCAACTTGCACGTCTCGTATAAGTTGAAGATGCCATTTTCCAGCATTGCCGGAATGATTACTTCGTATGAAGGGAGCTGGCTGTAAACCATCTTCAGAACCGCCTCTCCCTGCGCCAATTGATCTGTGGTGGGTACCTTGCCCTCTTTCGCAGCCTCGTGAGTTACCACCGCCTGTGCCAGGGCAATGATGACTGTCTTCTCTGCGAGGCCGAGTCTCAGTTTTCCTTCAAGGAAACGAACCAAGAACTTAGCCTCGGATGGTCCCCCTTTGTCCTTGGTAATGTCGACGGTTTTACTTGCGGATGAGACGTCTGCAGACGCCATAAGTTTATTGATAGCTCGAACTTTCTGATCTTGTGAGCCATGTCCTTCCATCTTAGCGATATCGAGTAATCCCTGATGGACGCCTCTCACAGTGAGCGGCTTGGGTTTGAACATTTGGCTCTGCTTCGATTTGCTTTGGGCAGCAACCAGACCTAGGTCACCAATTTTTTGATGATCGGCCTTGATGACAGATAAGGAGCGGCCCGAGCTCTCTCCGATGGCTTTCATGATGAGGGATTCCCCTATCCCTAGCTCGATCCCGGCGTAGTCCGCGGCGAGCTTGTTCAGCATGAGTTGGATCGTAGGCAGGAGGTCTTGAGGAGTCAATCGAAGAACTTGCTGCAGAAAAGACGAACAATAAGCTGTGATTTGGAGACGCTTTGTCGTGAGTTCAATCAAGGAGAATGTTGTGCACAGTGCCGCATAAGGGACGGGTTCGCCAGCGTTCCAATCTGGGTAAGGATCATTTTCCGTTGACTTGATGGTGGCTTGAATTTTGGCGACTTGTTTTTTATCGACCTTGGGATTCTCATCGTCACTTCCAGAGACATCTTGTTCAACTTCTGAGACGCTACTGTCCCGATCTGATGGGTCTGGTACCGCCTGATCCAGCTTGACTGTTTTCGAGGATGTCTTTTCAGTGTTGACGCCAGCTTTCGATCTGGATGCCGCACCGTTTGTCTTTGGGGACACTTTGGGATTGTCTTTGGATGCAGATGTCCTCCTCCTTCTTTTGACCACAGGCTGATCATCAGAATCTTCCTCCTCCACCTCCTCTTCGCCCTCTAGCTTATGCTTTCTGCTTGGGGAATTGTTTGCTTCAGCCTTGCCGTTCTCGACGGCATCCAAATGCCTTGTCCCCTGCTCCAGGGTCCCATTCTTCTCTTCTTCGAGTGGGTCATCCGCTTTCTTGCCGTTGGATGTTGACTTCTGGTGGAAGGAGAGGGTAGATTGAGTTCTGGATTTGTTGCCGCCTTGTTTGTTCCCGAGGAACTTGCTGTGAAAGTTAGCACGGTGTCAGAATCCGTAGAAGCTACAGTAGTCGTACCCGAGAGTTGATTGCCTTGCTTGTGGCATGTTGAACGACAGCTGCAGGTAAAGCGATTTGGAGGCGGATGTAAGAGATTTCGAAGACGGATAGGTGAGGGCAGGTGCATGGAAAGACCGCGACAAATATATGAGGTAGAGTCGCAAATGAGAGGGCAGAAAGGTTCTGAGAGTGGTCTGAGGTGCGAGCACACAACCTAATGGCGCCCGTTTCATTCAGGTGAGGGTGTGGCTGCAACAATCACCTGCGCGCTTGATATTTCTATATGAGAAGTATGTAGAGGCGCGTCGACGCGTGGGGTATTAATCAGTGTAATGGATTATGTAAGTCGCGTCAGCCACGGCACGTGCACGGCGGGACGGGTCACATAAATGACAATATGGCGTGTCACATGACGGCTAAGGGGGGCTGATGCCTGTTGTGCCTGCCAAGCAAAGGCCCTTTTGATCCTTCGCATACGGAACACAACGACACTCTCCATTTACACACTCTTGACCGGGCTAGTGTCAATGTCCGAAAGGGCTTTGCTCCCCGTCAGACCACTTTAAAGATGAGTTTATGCTTTTCCCCCGGCTGTTCTTCTTCAGACAACCCTCGATACGAATCCGAATCTGTGCTGTCATAGTCGTACTCTTCGCCTCTATCGGTGAACAGGTGTCTGGGATGGATAATCTCTCTCGACCGGTAGCACTTGAAGCACAAGAAAAACCCTCCACACTGGTCACACCGGTAGTATACCCCAACTACAGTCTACCGTGTCCGTTCCTAGTCAGCAATCCGTTATGTACATGGAAGAGTTTGGGTGCGGAGGAGGGTTTCGTCATCACTTACAATGAAACAGGCGTCGCAGTAATAACCCTCGGCGCATAGTTTGGCCTTTTGCGCGCGCCGGGACAAACTGTCCCAAGCTCGATTCAATTTGGCGGCACGAGCCTCCAAGAAATTGATGATGCTGTGAGGCAGGCCGTAGTGGTTGGCGAGCTTCAGAGCAGTCCACTTCTGGTCCAGGCCCAGCCCCTCGGCAAAGAGATCTGCTCCGCGAGATAGCAGTTCTTCAAGGATTGCTTGCCTTTGATGGGACTGGGCTTCCCAGAGTGGGCACAGCCGCATGGCCCAGAGTAGCGGTGTCCAGTGGTCCCGATCTCTGTCGTTGACGACGTCGAGACCTCTCTCTTCAGCCTTCTGCAGAACATACTGAACCAAATCGAGTCGCCCGCTGACTACGGCAAGATGGAGAGCTCCCCTACCCATTTTGTCGGGCTCGAAAAGTTGCGCGCCATGTTCAAGCTGACAGAGGAGCTCCACCCGGTCAATCGAGCGGTACAGAGCATAGTGGATGGCCATGCGGCCAACCTTGTCCACGCCGTCGACTCTGGCGCCCTTTTTCAACAACAGCCTGACGACCTCCATGGTCCCGCTGAGGACCGCCACGTTCAGTGGCCCTCCCCACCAGTTACTGGTCAGGTTGGCATCGGCTGTGTACTCGGCTTCATCAAGCAGGTAGCTGATGATGCTGTTCTTTTCCGGGCTCGGATCGCGCAGGAGAGCCGCTTGGAGTGGTGTGGCGTTGACCCCGGGATGAACGATATTGGTATCTGCTCCATACTTGCACAGCAGCTTGACCATGTCCAAGGACGCCATACGACATGCACGTATGAGAGGCCCGCCATGTGGACCGCCGGTGATGTTGATTCTCGCGCCTTTGAGAATCAGGTAACGAGCGATTTCCAGGTTGTCTTGCCATGCGGCGCTGCAGAGTGCCGTGTAGCCGTCATTGCTCGCACTTTCTAGGTCGGCCCCTCTGTTGACAAAGGCTTTGACAATCGAATCATCATCTTCACGGCGAGTAAGGAGAACGGCTCGATTTAAAACCGAGTACCCGTACACGTCCTTAGCCTTTTCCAGATCCAGGTTGAACTCCAGAAGCATTTTCACTATGTCTTTGGCACTCCCGTTGACGGCACTCATAAGTTCTTCGCACCCTTGTGACGGAAGGTCTCGGGGATCTGCTCCAGCGTCCAAGAGGCGTCCGACGCATCGAGTATTTAGTCTGGAGACGGCCGCGCTCAATGCATCCTGAATGGCGTCTGGATTGATCTTCTGTCTCTGCTCGAGTAATGCTTCGAGGACTTCCTCTTTGTCCCACTTTGCCGCATAGTAGAGACAAGTCCATCCACTGTGCGTCTTCGCATTGATGTCGGCTCCCTTCTGGATCAATAAACGAGTGATCATTACATTGTCGTAAGCGGCATGAATCGGCCGCCAATCATCATCGTCCGGCTCCTCTAAGCCTGCCCCAGCTTCGATGAGAATGCGAGCGATACCAGATCTTTGGTTGTAAACTGCAAGGAATAACGGAGTTCTGCCCCTCGAATCGGTCTTGTCAAGTGGTGCTCCAGCACGGATAAGCAGGCCCACGACGTCTTCTCGGTTTTCTCTCACCGCAAGATGGACGCCATCCTCAAGAGCCCAGCTATATTCTTCCGCAGGGCAGTTTTCACCTCCTGCCGCGACAAGCGCTTCGATGGCTAGCAAATCGCAATCTTGCTCCAACCCGAACTCGAGGAATGTGGCAAAGCCACCGCCTGCTAGTGTCCCTTCAGCCTTGAACAGGTCGCTATATGCCGGTGAGAACGCAAGTCTCATCGCCGTCCTCAGGACTTCGAAGTGCCAGTTGTCGTTGGGATCAACCAAGTCTTTGACGTGCTTCCAGAGAACGTTCCAGCATTTCCTATGTTTCGCGTTGATTATTGCAATCATCCAACTTTCCAGCACGCCTACTTCGAGTTCAACCGACTTGAAAGCTGTCAGGAGGTGGTCCAGGACACGATGCTGACCAAATTTGATCGCAAGCTTCACGCACGCGTCGAACAAACTCGCTAGCTCGGGAGGGAACGTTGCAGCCGCGGTCAACAAATCGATGATTTCAGCATGCCCGAATCTACAGGCGAGTTCAAGCGCTTTCCCTTTGTGTTCAAATTTGAACGTCATGTCATCGTAGGCGACAAGGACTTTTGCTGTCTCAAGATTGCCTCTCGAGCAGGCGTGCTGCAGAGCGGTCATTCCCAGAACCGTGGCATTCTTCAGCCCTCTCTCAATGGCCAAAGGCAAGAGTGCTTGTACGATTGCTGTCTGTCCCAGCGAAGATGCTCGGCATAGGATCAGGGCTGGATCGCGAACTTCGTTGCAGTCTCGAAGCGCAACAGTAACTAGCTCCATGGCAACTTTCTGATTGTCGGATCGAATGGCGGCAAGAATTATGTCGTCCAGGCATTCAGATGGACCAATCGGCACGTTGATGAGTCCGACAACCTCCTCCAGCTCGCTGTTGCCGACAGTAGCTTCGATACACTCGTGGTAGACCCGACTATCAAGTGTCATTGACGGTCTCGGGTCATTGATAATTTGACGCATCGCTTCCGAGAGGCCGTAACTCCCGATTATCGCCCAAGGATTTTCTTTCGTAATGCTGCCCCGTGTAAAAGGGTTTTGGAGCTCCCAGTGCATCTTGGCCCAGTCTACTACAGGGCCATCGCCCAAAAAATCCAGCAGCTGCGTAGTGCAGTACGGTTCTCCAGCTTGGGAGAGGCGGGCGTGGCTAGGCCACCATTTCACCGCATAGTCCAAGAAGGTGTGACGCCATTCGACCGCAATAGTCGACCAGCGTCGTGGCCACTTGTCTGTGACGGCATCCCTGCCTCGAGCGCTGATGTACTCAAGGCAGAAATCTGCTATCTCCTGATGAGATTTCCATGCCGGTGCCGTCAGAGGTGATTCGTCAGACAAAAGGTACCGACGAAGGTCTGCATGGGCAAACTGAACTTCATTGTGGTGGACCTTTATGAGTCCACCCAAAGTCGTCTGAATCCTCGGATGAAAGCCGAAGGTAGGGGTCTCAAATAGGACGGGGCTCTCAGTCTGTTTCTCATCGCATTGGACTAGATCATTCAATTCCAGAACGCTCAACGGGCGAAGCGAATAGAGCAACAAGTTCAGAACGTCGTGTAAGAATCGATCCGTTGCCAGAGGTAAAGATGACAAAAGGAGCTTGAATACAACCGGAGGCGATATGCTAGTCGATTGCGCAACTTGCAACGCGGGGGTTACCAAATGAGAAACCGAATCCCCGGTTCGGTGCCAGTTGATAACCATTGATCGCAGTTCTTTGTCGCCTTTGCATGCCTGCAGGAGATAGAAAAGCTGGTCACAGTCCCTTTCTGTCATGGGTGTGCTCTGGACAAGCCTCAGAAAGTCCAGGTCGAGGTTGTCAGTCGAGGTGAATTTGCACGTCCCTTCAATGGACTTCCCCGGAGCGATGCCGCTCTCAGTCCTCCCCATGCCTTTTCGAGAATCTTGATGCTCAGGTTGCAGGCTTGCTTCACCATCAAGACTAGCTCGGGCCCAGAGTGCTGCCTGTTCCGGTTGTGCCCCCTTCTGAGAGGTAATAAGCACCTTGAACATGACTTCACATTCTTCAGCCAACTTGTTAACCTTGGTCAAGAACCAGTCGCAAGACGTGATATTGTCTTGCAGGTTATCCAGCACCAAAACGACTCCTTCCTCTTTTGCACCCAAGTCTAACAAAATTTCCACGAACATTGCGAGCAGATCTTCTCGATTCAGCCATATGAATTTCTCGAGAGCCCGAAACATCCTTTTGTAGCCAGCTCCCTCGACTTCAATGTCGTCAAACCGAGAAATCGTCTGAGCCAAGCACGCATACAGCATGGACTCGATCGAATTCCGTCGACTATCAGACGATATGAATTCGAAATAGAGGCAGGTCGCTCTTGTGCCATTCGACGCCTTGTTGTCATCCATATAGTGGAACAGACATTCAGCAGCGTGAATGGCAACATCGGTAGAGTCGAGCTGAAGCAGGAGAAGCTGTATTCCACCAAGGTCCTTCCAGTCCTGGAAATTCTTTTGAGTGGTGATTTGCTCATACCGTCCTAGATTTCGACACGATCCTTCCAGTGGATACTGTGGAGGAGCTTGCGACGCGAGGGCCAGAATGTAATTTCGATCTTCACCTGTTGACGATATATCTATCAGCATGTCTCACACGCCAGCAGGACATGATTTTGTACAAACCGCAGGTCCGCAAAGCCCTTGCCAAAGGCACCAGAATTTCGTAAGTTTCACATGCACTTGCTAGATCTTGGTGGGACAGGTCGGCGGCCAAGCGAACCTCGAATGGCAGCGCCGTCGTCGCAGTATATTCGTCGAAGACCTTTTTGCACCAAGTTAGGTAGTGGACGTCGCTTTGGGATATGTTTGCAACAAATTATTGACACTCACCTGGAGCGCTGGTTCTGAATGGCTTGAATATACACTGAACATAGTGGCCCAAATCGATAGCCTGGACTCGGCGAAGGTGGAGTTGACCTCTTCGACCCAATCCGCCAGCCCATGGGTCACTGACCACGCATCTGACTCGCATATGGTTCCAATATCTCCAAGCTTCAGGATCTTGATCAGATCTCTTCGAAGCTCATAAGAGCCGTCGCTTCGATGCGGACAGCCTAGGAACACCTATATTTTACAGTCAGGTATACCCCCAACGACAATTGTCTTGTGTCTCAAATTTCTCACTATAGCCGTGGTATGCAGAAAGATCGTTGCATACTTCTCGGGATTCTGGCTGGCCAGGACCAGCGCCTGTAAAAGCATTCAAAAAGGTTAGACTCTGAGATCCGCTGGAATGGGAAAGCGGTATCGTCTCACTTCTTTGACCAGAGTACCTCCGACGTCATGCGTGATGAAAACAAGTTTACAATTCTGCAGTTGTAGCGTCAGAGCATGCTGATATATGACACGGCCCGTCGATTGATATGTCTGAAAGCCGAACCCACCTCTCCGCCAGGGGTTCGGAGCTCTACCAGGGCGTCGAGGAGTCGTAACGCTTGACTTCTGGCGCCATTCCTGGTAAAGACGCCCCCAAAATGGTCTGAAATTGGGTGATTGAACGATGAAACTCGACTCCCGTCGAAGGATGAGAAGGTCTTTGAGAGCCAGCTCGAGCCGGTATCTCTCGTGCAAGAGCTCCATTTCAGCCGAGTGCTCCCAAGCCCAGAGACGGCGACGAAACTTTGCAATGAATTAGCGGAGGCTTGATTCATTTGTGCATACTCACTCGACGGAGACTTCAGCCTCGCCCTTCGCCAGGACACTCAAGGCTGGACAGCAACTTTCCATGGCTGTTCTTGCGCGGCAATGGCAGATCAACCAGGAAACGGTCACCTTGAGCAGCAATTTTGCATAGCTGGGAAATCAGAAAAGATGTTTCAGTGTCTCTCGGTCAGCCTCAGCCCAGCAACCTCCTCCAAAAGTCCGAGACGGAGACGGACAGGTCCCCTCTCTGTTGAAGCCCGCCCGGCGAGTAGTCAGGCATGACTTAGCTTGCATAGATACGCCAGAAAGAGCGGAGCACGTGGATGGACATGGATAGCTTTGTAACTCAACAACCCTGTCAGTCACAGCTTTGGGGCGGGTGAGTGGCCCTGACCTGGCCTGGCCATCCTACCCAATTTGACGAGCTGCATTTGGGGGCCGAATGTCGGGCCTGCACTACCACCGTACGAGTTCAAGCGACGTGCGATGGCTGCTGGGCTTTATTGAACACGGCGGTTAAACGGTCTTTAGCGCAAGTCGCTTGGGACAGGTCGGTTCGTGATGTGATAATTACAGTAATCTTATGATTCTTTACGGGCTAGTTGGGTCGGGAAAACGACCTGGTCAGTCTCCGCTCCGTTTCTCGCCCCCACGACTACTGATCTTGGCCCTATCTAACATCATTTGTTCTCCGGCTTCTTTTCTTTGACGGCATCATTCACCACGGTGGTCACCGTTACGTCCGACAGTTTTTCTAGGTTCACTTTCACCGAGTTCCCTAAGTCATTCGTGTCATACACCTGTAGCTTGTTGGTCGGTTTTCTCCGGGGATCGAACGTGACGGGATCGTCCCGGGGACTGGACTTCATGAAGGACAAGGCTGAGGCCAACCAGTTCGGGTAGATCTTCACAGTGAAGTGGGCCTCAAACTTGGACAGGTCGGTGCGTCCGAGCAAGATGGCGGCCTGCATGCTCGTCGGCACTCCGGCCTTGGTGGTCTGGTTCTCGCGCAAAATCCACGACACGCTGTTGGGCTTGCCGTAGGTGCGACCCTCGGTCAGGATGAAACCCTGTACCGTGGTGGCATCGGATGTGTCTCTTTCCACTTTCTTCTCGCGCCTCAGCTCGCCTCCGGCTTCGACCCCGGTCACATTTGCACCGACTTTGCTCCCCACGGAGGTGTTCACCGTCTCGTGTTGCGTGGTCGGCTGGACGCTGAAAAAGCCCACGGGATGCATCCGGTCGATCCACGGCTTCGGGTCCTCACCATTCTTGGGCGTGAACGTGACCTTGATGTCGACTTTCTTGATGCGGTGGCCCTGCTCGAGCGGTTCAAACCGAAACTTGAGGACGATCACACTGGCGAGGATCTCGCTATCCGGGTCGGCCGAATAGTACCCATGCACAATATCCATGCAGAAGCAGTCGACGTAGAAGATTCCGCGTCTCTGGATCACGTTGGGTCGTTGGTCGGGGTCTTCTGGGTCGTCCTCAGTCCGGAAATTCGCCTCGGAGTCTCCGCTCTGGCTCAGCCTGATCGAGAATGAAGGCAAATCGGGCTCAAAGCTAGAGTCGTTAGCTGCGTCGTCTGTACTGGCAGGTGAGTCCATATCTCTTGTCGAGAATGACAGCGTGGTTCCACAGGAAAAGGAAAAGGTTGTCTCAGTTTGTGGATGTAGGGGTGGGAGAGGCGGCTGAAATACCTCATGTCCCTCTGTTCGTCGTGCCAAGTGCGGCAAAATGGCTGTGCATGCATGTCGCACACATAGCGCCAAATGGCATTCTGCTATTGAGCCCTATCAGAACTCATCACACCTGCATCACACCCATCAGCCCATCAACCCGACCGAACCCCATCAGTAAGCGTGCATCTGGGTGGGGACTATGCAGGATAGCCCCTTCCCAAAGCGGCTAGCATCGCCGCAAGTAGTTATGGCTCGAACTTTCCCCACACCCAAGTGCCTTTACCGGACTATTCACATGGAGACACACCGGAGAACGCTGTGTACAGGTAAGCTCGGTCCTTGTACTGTTCACCACGGTACGGAACGAGACAAAGAAACGCTGGTTTATCAAGAGCCTCAAAAGTCACGCGACCTGTGCGCTGTTTCTCGCAGAAGCGTGCAGTTCCCATCCTGGTCGATTGGTTCATTTATGACCTGTAGGGTCAACCCAGCCATTTCTGCCTTCCAACAATTTCATCGTATTTTTCATTTCAAGTAATAATTCCATTTTGGTCTTCATTGACAAGGTTGTCCTTTGAGAAAGCTATCTATGATGCAGGAACCCGTCCGAGTAAATCGCGGTGGTCACGTTTCTGAGGACGATGAGCGACATCTTCCCGGACTCACGATCGGCAACGCGACGCGAGGAGGAGTCCAAGGTTTGAAAGACGAAGCGAGGTTCGAAAATGTAGAAAGCCCGAGACACACGATGAAGATCAAGAGTCTCCAGAGAGTCCAATCGCTCCCTCGGTCGGAGGATGACGACTTTCTCATAGAACTGAAAGAGATGTGGGACGAGCCAGCGGACGATGTCAATATCAAAACAGAACTCCAGAAAGTCAAAGATAAAATCTTGAGCGGGCAGCTTCAAGTCGATAACGAAGAACAGCTGCGGACATTTCTGGCCAGTGACGACGCGGAATTCATTGGAGTTCTCTGGGACATAGACCATGACAATTTCCTCCACATGATGGCGGAGGACACCCACAACAGATATCTGATCAAGTTTCTGGTCGAGGAGCGGAGTCAACTCATGTTCGGGACTGATAAAATTGGGTGGTATCCCCTCCACGTCGCCATCTCGAACACCAACGTCGACTTCATCACGGCGGTGCTTGATAGCAAATTTGCCAAAACAGATGACTTGAAAAAGGTCCTTGCGCACAAGGGGGTCGCGTCCGGGAACTGTATCCACCTCGGGCTACAAAAGGGCCTCGATCCAAAGCTGATGATCAGATTAATCGCGAAGGCGGATGAGGCGACGCTGCTAGCGCTGGACGGGTCCCAGCAAACACCCCTCCATTGCGCCGTCGACTACAAAAGTTGCCGGAAAGGTCAATTTGAGGTCGTTCAAGCCCTGCTCAAGTACGGCGATGCGGCTCTCGACATGGAAGGGGGCATCCACGGTCAGCTCTCTCCGTATCGCTATCACCAAGAAACAAGAAAGATCGCAATGAAAAAAAAGGAGGAGGAAGAATGGAAAAGACAGAATGAGGGGAGAGGGAGCCAGCAGCCACGAGTTGGGGCCGAGAACCGCGGCGTTCGTGATCCTTCTCATTACCGGGATGCCTGCCAGGCCGATCTCCGCAAGGACCTAGAGGATGACAAGGAGGAAGCCAAAGAGCGCAAGGATGTGATTGACCTTGACCCGCGAGCGTACGGCATGCGCAGACCATCGAATGTAGGTCGAACGGATTCGATGGGGTCTCGAAGAAGATCTCCCGCACGTAGTGTCCAAACAGGAGGAAACCCACCAGCTCCCCTTCCGATCATTGAAGACGTGCTGTCCTCGCCAAGTCCCGTCCCGGCGAATCTAGGGAAACCCAGGAAACTAAAACGGCCCTTCGGCACCCCGAGGCGGTCAGTGGGATCGTTGAAGGTCCAGAGGCCTGAAGTACCGCCGGACGACGAGACGGCGGACCAGATTGCGCAGGAATTGAAGCTGCACTATCTCCGAAGCATTTTCAAAGGCTCTGCTTATTCGGGGCCCCTGGATTCTGGGGGCCGAGATAGACGAGAACCTCGAAATCATGACAGAGCCGTCAGATTTTTGTACGGGGACAACAGAGAAAGTGAGCATCTCCTTGCCGACACTGATTTACATTGCAGATTTGCGCTAATTAAAACCGGGTGCTCAGACCGTCACATATGCTTTAACTTTCTCGACGGCCCGTCGAAGATGAGCGAGGATAAATTCAGGACGACCTACGGGGGGTTTAAGTTCGACCATGTTCTGCAGTACGTCGGGTTCCGCCGTCTGGAGTTTACCACACGCGAGCTGCCACCTAGAGGAGGAGATTCCATGTCCAAATCGTCTGGTTCCACGGGCAAGGGACGAAGAGATATGGAGGTTCCATTCAAGTGGCTTCACGACAAAGGAGTGACAAATATAGTGAAGGTCATCGTCGACGACTTGGAACCACCCTGTCACAAAGACGAGTCAATCCAAAACGCATTGAGGAAGTTTGATATTGAGATCCTCGACTGGAGAAAGATTGACCTCTGTCCAGATACAATCTGCAAGTCCTGCCCAAACCTGCGTGAGGTCCACCTCTGGTGGAGCGGAAACAATGGAATCCTGAGAGCGTGGAGTGAGCCGGACGGGTTGGCAAGGCTGGAACGACTGGAGACCATCCAGCTTCACCAAACACAGGTATGCTTTCCCCAGGATCCACCGCGTGAAGCAAACACTTAGCTGGGCCTATTGTAGGAATTAGAGTCCGAGTCGTGGACGGACATGAATATCGCGACGTTTCGAAAAAGGCTTAGAGAGTTGAGAGACGCGCAAAACGCGAATCGATTGCCCGGCGACAAGCTGCCAAAAATTCGTGTGGGGGAGCCGATCAAGGCCATGGATGGACCGGCCCAACGACCAAGCGGCTTACACCGCAAAACCGACCCCAAGGTCCAGCGGGAAACCCACAAGTGGCTCACCATCATGGACACGTTCGCCGACGAGATATACAAGATCAAACCGGACCGCGATGTCGAGTTCTTCGAGTCCCTCCCTGCAGAACTCAGACAGGACGTGAGAGTCGCGTTGATTGATGACGGTGTGCAATTCGGCCATGAGAGTCTGCAGGACAAGATTCAAGATGGCTGGAGCTTCGATGACGGCTATGACGGCGTCGATCTTCCCGGAGCGAGGCGCCCATTCCACGAGTCCAGCACTGGCCATGGAACACTGATGGCCAACATGATCTGTCGCATCTGTCCAAATGCTAAGATATTTGTTTGTCGGTTGAACGTGTATCCTGGGGACGGCACAAAGGCCCAATTTTCAGCCAAGAGTGCAGCCGACGTTAGTTTCCAATACCATATTTCCACCAGGACTAGCTGACACTGAGCATAGGCAGCCGAATATTGCGCAACTCGAGGATTTGACATTATCTCCATGTCATGGACAATCCGCAAGTCGATATATACCACGGACTCGATCAACGACGTAAAGGACCTCGAGCGCCTAGAGAAAGCTCTGGACGTGGCATGCAAGAACGGGGCTCTTCTTTTCTGCTCGGCCCCGGACGAAGGCGGCATCTCAGACGAGAAGTTCCGCACCTATTATCCTGTCGGGTGCGACTTGTTGTCCAGCCGCATCTTCAAAATCGGAGCCGCGACCTCGACCAACAAAGAAGCAGACCGTACCGGCAAGTCCTCTCAACTCGATTTCATCCTTCCTGGACACGACGTCAGAGAAAGAGGGGCCGACGGGATCAAAGTCGACGAGAGCCTCAAGAGTGGATCATCGGTGGCCACGGCGTTGGCCGCCGGACTGGCGGCGCTCGTCATCCACATCGTGCGGCTGGGTGCCATCGAGACCATCCGCGCACGCCTCACCAAACTGAAGAGCGACGCGAGAAAGAGTGATGGGGACAGCATGAGCGAAGACGGCGCCAGCACCGTGGACAACACGAACGAGGATATGAGGGCAGCGTTGGATGCGGTCGCGATCAAGCTGGAGGATTATGCCGATATTAAGAAGTTTGAGCACATGATGCGCATCCTGACCGCCATCCCACGGCAGCGAAAGGCAGGCGAGACTTGGAAATACCTGGAGGTGGACAATACCTTCGAAGGCCCCGGAAAGGCACTGGCCAACAAAGAGGCGACCGAGAGCCAGAAGAGCATGGTTGTGACCAAGCTTGCCATGAATTTCGTGGGCTCGGGTCAGTCCAAGCTATGAGGCACAAGTTGTCCATGTATGTACTCTCCTTACTGAGCACCTGAGGAAGCGCTTGATACTGATATGGGGAAGTATAACGCCAAGCCTGCCGCGTCACTTGCCCCGCACATGTTGTTCTCCGACCCCGCCACGCGTTTAGTGCTTTTAGCGTGTTTAGCCCCCCAAGGCGGAATGGCTCTAGACCTTTAAATCGACTTCTTCTTCCCCAGCTTTCCCCTCAACTGCTCTCACCACCTTCAGTTCTCCCAACCTCCAGCTGCTCCTCTCCAGGTTATAAACCCGTCTGTTCTCCTTCCACCGTTTCTCTATTCCTTCAGACCCCCTACCCATCTCTCTCCCCCCTTCCCCCCTTGTCTCTGTCTCCCCGTTCTATTTTCCTTGTCTTCCTCCCGTCTCCCCTCCCTCTGCCTTTTTCGCGTCGGCGTCCAGTTGTTGGAGCGAGCATCCCGGGCCATCGATGAGTTCGTGTTATGGATCCCCCATGTACCAGGTACCTGACACCCAAGGTCTTCGAGAGACTGCAACCGTCCGACGCATCGAACCCTACGGCTTGGACGCCCACCGAAGCTGGGCAGTGGCTGGGGCTGGCTAACTGGTTGCGTCCGGTCTTGATCTCACTTTATGGTTGTTTGGAGTCGATGTCCTACTGCGGGAACCCCACACCACATCGGGCAAGAGGAAGAATACAACCGTCGAGGAAGCAGCAAAGACCCCCCAACCCCGTGGAGCCGCTGGCGTACAGACTTTCTACCTTCTTTCCTGCCTCATGTGTGGGGTGAAGGAGATCTTCTGGGGCCGGCGTGGAGTCATGACTTGCGGAGTGTCCGAGAGAGGCTCGGGCAGTTTGGCAGTGACAAGAGCGTACCTGCGGTCTCGTCGCGAAGAACCGTTGTCAATTTGACAACGCCCGCCTCCATGTGGAACTTGCTTGCTTCTCCGTAAGTACTCCCGGGAACTGCACATGGTCGTTGGCCAGGCTGGCAGATGTGGTTGTGCCGGCCTTCGCTCTCGGGCGTAAGGTCGGGAATTACATTCACAGGTGCGCCCTTCGTACACTGTGGGCCTTTGAGTGGGCGAGGGCGCGCTGGTTTGTTATCAGCGGACCGGCCGACGAGGCAGACGAAGGACTGACTGACCTGGCTCCTTGCTGTGCTTGTCGGCTGGTCAGCTGATGACGGCTTGACGGCGGTCGATGTGGCCCTTTTCTGGGTCGCAAGTGATTGCCCAGCGAGCGCGTCGGTCCTCACTGGTCTTGCCACACCCTTCCTCGACCTCTTCTTATAATGCGGTCTTACGAACCCAAGGATCCTGGATCATTTGCAGGCCTGGCCACACCTGATCGGTCATCAAGGGATCCTCCAGAAACAGCGGGATACCAAGGAAATCTCTTGTTAGGCGCCGGTCCGCCGAGAAAAGGAACCTTTGGAACCACGAGGACGTGAAAACACGACTCGCTCGCTCTTTGGCTAGAGAAACAGCAAGAACAGATGGCTCAACCTTTGTGCAGCACCTGCTCCGGACAATTCCTCAGTCACACATCCCTGGGAATCTGACGAGGCATCTCTGTTCTCTCAAAGAACTCTGAAAGAGGCAACGAGCTTTTCGTCACTCACAGCCTCAAAGATTCTTCTGAAAACCTCTCCCACTTGCCTTGACGAAGACCTGTGGAAGATGGCTTCTGCAGTCGAATTGCGGTGCAGAAAGCAGTCCAGAGTGAAGACTCACCTGGAAACCTTGGCCTCTGACACAGAAGGTGCAGAGATGATTGACAAGTCCCATGTGCCATGAGTCTGATCAACCATGGCTTTGGGCACCCCCAAAAAGATGCGAGAGCTATCCTCTATTCCTGCACCCTGGAGCCACCCTACGATGAGAATACGTAGAGGCTAGAAAATGCCCAGAGATCGGCGAGAATACAAGGAGGGATACAGCCTCGCCACGTCGGGAAAAAGCATGGCGAAATTCAGTCTTCAATGGAAAGTGGAATGCAGCCATGATGAAATCCATACAATTTGGCCATGCACAGGCCGCTTATCAGGGGTGTGTTGAACACGTCCCGCCTAGTTCAAGAGCTCCCTCAAACACGTCCTGGTCCGTCGCAGAATACGCGCATGGTCCAAATCTGGTTCCATCTGGGGGACTTATTAAAGAGGGCCCGAGAGGGAGACAGACTTCAGGGTCTGCTCCCGACCACGGAGCCGCCAATTTTTCGAGAGGTATAACCCTCTAGCAGGTGCCCTTCCGAGGGCTCTTCTCCGGAGGAGATCTCAACATCTCCTCGCGGAAGAAAAAGGAACATGACAGATACCACTGGCACCCGCATAATTTGATCATCCTCATCAGATGGCCATCAACCGAAATACGGCAAGGGGTCTATCCAACATAGCTTTCGTACAGAGATCTCAACGTCTCATATCCCGACCGGTATTATATTTTCAACGCATGATCCAACTTCATCCGTCTTTGCAATCGCACTTGCGAGACAGCAAAGCCAACACCAAACGTCGACACGCCACAACTCAGCACTTAGCACTCCAACACTAGACATACATGCCTCATGACAGGCACCCACGTACCTCCTCGACCTCCTCCATCCCCATCTTCCACGCCACCATGAACGCTCCCCCCTCTCTCTTCGAGCCCCATGCGTAAGAAAAAGCATCGCCCTTCCTGTACTTTACACCGGCCCTCTTCTTCCATCAGGAGGAGGGAGAGAGGTTGTGTGAAAAGTCAACGGGGTTTCCCCATGCCTTGCTGCGATGCTCGTCGGTCGGGACGGGTTGGCAGTTGTCCAGTCCAGTTCGTTGCGGACGGGACAGAAAAGGAGGGCAGAAGACCCGAAAAAACAAATTCATCAAATCCGATCTCGCGATGAAAAGGAGGCACAAATGTTGTTTTCTTGGTTGACTGGATTGCGGCGCCTCGTTGCCTCGGTGTCGTTTGCCGATTTTTGTGTGCTGTGTGTTCCAACTGTGTCCGGGCTCTGGGTTCTGGAGCAGTAAAGAAAAACAAAAAACAAAACAGAAACAGAAACAGAAACAGCCAGAACCGGATCAGGCCGATTCCTGACCCTGGGCTGGCTTGTTCGTTATTATCATTATTGACCTTTTTCATCATGGAACACACAAGTTTTGCTTCTGGCACACTTGGCTTGCTTGAGGCAAGTTCATGGGGAAGAAGACCACCGTATGTTTGTAGTATACAGGTACATGTTGTGCATACCACATGTTGATACGCGAGGACGCCATGCTCGTTTCTTTCGAGAAGGACGCATCCGAAATAAAGACGGCAATTTTGGTGGCACCAAGGTAGTGACTGGACGCTGCTCAGAGATATGGCCAGACCTTTGATATTGCTGCTCCAAACTACTCTACGGTCAGGACGTCCGTCACAAATTGACCATCTCACAAAAATTCGGGCCCCAGTTCGGTCAAACCATGCACAAATACCAGATACCTCCATACCACTGTTCCATCGCTTGGAACGTCCGTCCAACCGCTCCCTTGTTTCTAAATGTTGTCTTCGAGCCAAGAATGCCTGCCACCTCTACGAAAAAGCTCCATGTTACATCTTCCGGCCACTGCCCTTCCTCACGAGAGCCCAGGTCTTCTGGAAGCAATCTCGCCTGAAGCAGCCCTTGATTCGACCCACGAATTTCCATCGCCTATAAGCAAAATTGGACATTGGAACCGTATCACCCAAGTCCGGATGTGGTTCCTCAAACGACTGCTGTGTCTTTACATGGCATGACTGGCTGGTCCTCAGTGTACTGGTCTCATGTTGGGTAGAGCTATGTCGCGTTCCCAACAGTCCGGATGACTTTGTGAAACCACTTCGAAAGCTGTGCAGGTTAAATTTCCTTCTGACTGTCGGTGGCTTTTGGGCAAGGGCGGCTGTGCTGTCGTCGGAGAAGAAACTTTCGACTTCCCGGAGAGGCGGCCTCGACAGTGTCTGAGGTTGATCGGGAAACCGAAGGCTGAGGTTTATCTCCGAAGATGTGAGCGGCGGTCCTAATTCTGGAGGAGCTAGTTGAGGGACCGATCCCAAGCGTGGGATCTGAGAGCTGTATCGTGTACTATTCAAAGGTTCGATGATGCTGGTATTGCTTCGGTGTGAATGGACAGTCCTGACCGATGCTTTTCGCACAACTTGAATGCCTTTTTTGACCGGCTCCGGCATCGCAGCGAGCATACTGGTCCATCTCCTGGGCATTGACGTCGATACAAGAACGCTCACTTCGGAAAGCGTCGTCGGTGGCTGTGCAACCACTGAGTCCGCACTCAATTCCGCATAGCCAGCAACCGGTGAAGTTTCACTAATCTCCTCGGGGGATTCTTCAGTCGTCCATTCTTCGTCTTTTCCAGGATCCTCTGACAACTCTTCGGTTCTTTCGAGGACTCCTAGTTGCCCGAAACTTTGTGATTTCCTCTTGTTCTTCATCAGAATCCGGGCTCGTCGTCTCTGATGGGATACCTGTCTGGCAAGCATGTCACTTTTCGACCTCCGGTGAACATGCGCGCCTGCCTTGGTCGGCAAGATGCCTCCTGTCTCTGGGCTATGCCTCAGCTCTGACAACCTCCTCACCTTGAATCTCGGTCGCGGGGGATTGGAGTCAATGTCGGCCATGTCACCTGATGTCAATGAGCATTTGGCGTTAGACCCATTGGACTTGGTTGACTCTGAAGTGAGGATTCCGCTGGTTGACTGAAGTGTCTGCCATCCGGACGAATGCCCCTGAATCCTTGAGCTATCTGAAGAAAAGATAGACGTGGAGTTGAGCTGCTCATTTTCCAAAATGGCTCCGGGGGGAAGTCTGGCATCCATACTAGCAAATAGACGCCGGGGTATGAGTCGACGCCTCTCAGAACTCGCGAGGCTGGAGTGCCGAATAGTGGAGCTCGAAGTTGTCGGCCTCAAGTTCCAAGGCGACAGAGTCCGCGGCATAGCGCACGGCGCTCTAATGGTGCTCTCTCCGCTACTGTCCAGTGGCGCGACTGAAAGTTGGGAAGGGCTTTCTGTTTGAAATAGCCCATCGTCGCCCTCAATGCCGTTATCGTTCAAGCCCAGGCACTCAATATGTCTATCGAGAAGCGACTCAATGGTTGATCGTTCGTGCATAGTGTTTTGGCTACCGTCTCCGTTGGTATTTGAGAGTGCTGGTTCACTAGCTACAGCTGCCCAATGGTTCTGTTGTTCAGCAACATCTACCTTTGATCCGTCCGGTGGTTGCGGTGACAGAGCTCTTTCAAGTGACTGCAGATCCGGATGTTCTTCCACGGCGTCTAGGCGAGAGAAAGTCTGAACGTGATGGGGCACCTTTCCTCGGTCGGTGATGTAGTTATCGGGAAATTCCAGGATGCGGCTAAATCGTTTCCTACTCTGTGAAGACATTGGCCGCTCAGGCATTGGCGACAAGATCTCGGAGCAGTCTTTCGAACGAATGTCGCCAGATGTCTTTGGTCGTTCTTTCAACTTAGGTGAGCCCGATCCGAAAGAAAGCGGTCTAAAGTTGAACGACGGCAATTCCCATTGAGAGCGGGTCCGTTGAATGTCACTGAATGCTTGTTGGTGAGCTCCGTCACAATTTGGATCTCCATATTCCATCAGGCCAGAGATGGAAGGCTTGTGGTCGAAGACAGGCGAGTGCACTCGCGCTGCAAGAGTCGTGAGATCTCGCGGGCTTCGACTTGCATTTGGAAAGAATGAACTCGAACGAGTGGAGCCACAGGTTCGACGCGAGGCGGTCGACGCTCGAGGGTTGTCCTTCTCTTCTTTCAAACGCCCATCAAGATATTCCTGATCGGCAGGAAGCCTTTCGCACACCTGGCTATTCTGTTAGCACGCTGACGGCGGCTTAAGAGAGTTTTGACAACATCAAAATAACGGGGAGTTTCTCACCATCTTTTTGGAAGAAGCAGATCTCATAAGAGGGGCAGTGGTAGCTCCGAGGCTTGACTTTCTTGGTGGAATCGTGCCAGCATAGCTGTATTTTGACTGTCTTGACTGCTCACTGGGACGACGACTGTGTGTTGCCGGCAGCTCTGACGGTTGGAAGGCTGATCCTGGGACCGTGCCAAAAGGAGATTGAGCCTGGCGGCGTTCGGGAACGGGGAGGGATTCAAGGATGGTCTGGTCCATATTACACAGAAGAATAGCGGCTGGAGCAGGTTCATCCTGGGGAGAGAAACAATCCTCCTCGACAAATGACTCGGAATAGTCATAATAATGAGGCGTCGTTGAATCAGTCGGGGACTTTGGGAGACCCCGAGACGAAGCGGCACTGTGATTCCAGGCCGGGCGGAAACTCTGAAGGGATTGGGACATCGGAGTGATTGTTCTTTGGTGCATATGAGCGTTTCCATCAAGTCCTATCCCGGAGGAGACTGCCGGCGACGGCAGCCGGGCAAAAGAAGAGACAGAGTTGTTCAGCCCGGGTGGGTATACGGGCGGACCAGGACGCAGATTATGCACTGGGGCCGGGGAAGAAGTAAGCGTCCCAACACTTCCCACTCTTGAATAGCCATGCCTTGCTCCACCCCTATACGGATATGCTTCACTCAATGCCGGAGAGGAGGCTCGATGCCCAGGCAGGCGTACACGGCCGGGAACGATTGTAGGAGAACCGGAATGGAGGTCACGGTGATTGCGGAGGGTCATCAACGACCTGTGCGAGTGCAAAGGACGGGTAGGGACGCCGTTGCCGGCGACAGGATGGGAGGTGTGATGATGGGGGCCTGCCCTCTTGGAGCGAAGCTCGGTATAAAGGGTAGGATGGACAATCCCTTGCCCGGACAGGGCTGAAGAGGAAGGAGCTGGGCGTGGCCCATGGTGGCCACGGTGGCGGCGAGGGCGTGGTCCGGATTGTTTATAGTACATGGACTGAGGGTTGCTTGAGGCCTCGGAGGAACCAGTACGCTGCTTGGATGACTGCTGGCGGGAACTAGACCGAGGGATGCGTGAAGGGCGAACTGCAAATTGACCGACATCTCCCAATTCAGTCGTATTTCTCAGCATGCTTTGCACAGCACTGGAGCGAATTGAGGCCGTGGACGTTGCTGCCGCCCTCTCGGCCTGTTTGGTGCCATTTTGAGAGGAATCTGTTTGGATGTTGGGGCTGATCTCCTCAAGTGGCATCGTGAGCCAACGTCTTGTATACCTTAAGTGGCTTTATGTGATGAAATGGTATAGGTGAGATCAGAAACAGAGTAGAGTGAGACGGGATTGAGACAGGCAGACAGACGAGAGAAAAGAGGGCTCCCGGCACACCGGGGAGATTCTTGTGCTAGAAAGAGTGTGATGATGATCTTCAACTGAAGGAGAAATTCTTGATGGTGAGAAAGAGAAGGAGGAGGAAAAGGAGGAAAAGAAGCCAAGCGTAGCATGTGGTTGATGGGAAGGTGCGTCTCGCAAAGTGGAAGGTGAAATTGCCGTGAGGTTTTGAAAGAGGGAAGGAAGGAAGGAGCGTGTTCACTGACGACATGCCAATAATATATATGTCGTAGCAGAGGGAAAGAGAGTCTCACGCTCGACTGTGGGAGTATTCAGGTCATTTGCTTCATCATTGACTCGAACACCCTGTAGTCTGTCCCTTGTCCCTTCATGTCGGCATCATGCTAATCTTTCCTGCTCCAACACCTCCACCGCGACTGCGGCTGGAAGAGGCCCCTTTGTTGTTCTTATACACAAATTCCTGAAGGCCCGAATTGCTGGTGCTAGACCGCGCGCTGACACCACTTTTAACCTTCCTGGCAATGCCACCACTGCTTCTCTTACCCTTTGCAGCCGTCGTTTTCCCCCTAGAGCTCCCCCCACCACGCTGCTGAGAGCCACGCGATGTACGGCGACTCCAAGGAACGGATCTAGGCTGAGAGGTCCGCTTTTTCGGTGCAGCTTTCTGAGGCCGAGTGCCGAGTGTCGATGGCTGGGATACTGCCATGTGTCAGTAGTTGGAAGGCTTCATACGGGCGCCGCGTAACTTACGCTTCTCGTTGAAACGGCTGACCTCGTCAGCTACACTAAAGTAGTGACTGCTCTCGGTTTCATCGAGATCTTCCTCGCTTTCGTCCATTCGACCCACGTCTTCGTCGTCGCTGATTTCCACAATTGACCTGTCGTGAGGCCCATCAGCATCTTCTCCTGTTGCCTCTTTCATCGCCGTGTAGTCGTTATAGGCGCTTCTGGCCAGTCGTAGCAGGACAGGCCCGAACATCTGGAACGTCTCTGGATTCATCTTGCTGATGCTGCGGAGTGCTTTCTCATCTCGTGGAAAGTGAGTGGCAATTTCCCGAAGTATCAGATCAGATATTGATGTCTGCCGTAGACCTTTAGCAATCTGAATGCGCTTAATTTCCCTTTTTGCATTATCGACAAAGTCATCTAGGATGTGTTGGTGAATCTCGTCAAGTCCTTCCGTCCTGTCGTCCGAGGTAATTGGAGGTCCGATTCTGGTGTTTGTCTTGGGCCGGTGTCCGCTAACAACAGGCATCGAATCAAAGGAGAAGCTGTCGTCATCATCATCTTCTACGTGGTCGACAAATTCGTCGTCAGAGTCGTCGTCAAACTGTGCACGAGGAGGGATCCTGCGAGACCTAGGCTGCAACGGCGAAGAAACGTTGGTGGACGCAGGATAATCGTCAGCAGCGGCTTTGACCCCTGTGCGTTGTGTTTTCTTCCCGGCCTTCGTTCCGCCCGCCTTGGATTTCGATTTATCTCTCGGTGAGACCAAGACTTGCATCCTCAACGCTTCTCGGCCGGCCTCGAATTCTGGCGCTCTGGGTCCCGGCTTCACATACTGCGTGGCAAAGCCAGCCGCGTTGACCTTGTTATATTCCACCAAAGCATCCTCACTAATGAGCCGGTAGAATAATCGCTCCACATCGCCTCTGGCCAACTCTGCCCCCAAGCCATACTCGCGAAGTTTGTTGTGGCCGAGTTCAGACATCTTCTTGGTTTTGGCACCACGATAGAGATCGACACAGTGCAACAGGGTGACCTGCTCCCGAGATACTTGCTGGACAATTCGGATTGCATGCTTGGCATGTTGCGAAAAGTCTTGTGTTTCGAAGGTGTTCGCCGAGTTACAATTGTCACAGGTATTGTTACAATCCTCTCGCTTGAAGTGTTCGTTGAAATACCCAAGGACTTGCTGTCGACGACAGTCGCTGCGGTTCTCACAGAACTGGACAACATTGCGCAACAGGTGCTTCTGTCGCTCTTTTTGCTGCCAGTCGCCGTCGCCCTTGTCAATCATCCGTTTGATGGAGGTCGTGTCGCCGTAGCCGTAGTAGAGATAGCACCCAGCTCTACCACCATCTCGGCCAGCTCGACCTGTCTCCTGGTAGTAGCCCTCAAGGCTTTTGGGAATCGTATGGTGGATTACAAATCGGACGTCTGCCTTGTCAATCCCCATGCCGAACGCAATCGTAGCAACAATTACTTTGTAAACCCCGGCTTGCCATTGTTTCTGGATATGGATTCGCTCTGGGGGTTCGAGTCCAGCATGATAATGTCGAGCTTTGATATCATATTCTTCTTGAAGTTGCTTCGCAACCTCTTCACAGGCTTTGCGCGACAGGCAATAGATGATTCCCGCTTGTCCTTTGTAAGACTCCTGTATAAGAGAAGCAATGCTTGCAAGGACCGCTCGCTTGTTGCCCTTGGGCCTCACTTCGTACGTAAGATTAGGTCGATTGAAGCTCTGAGTGAAAACCTCAGCGCCATCCATACCCAGATTATGCATGCAATCCACTTTCACGTTTTCGGTTGCAGTCGCGGTCAACGCCATCACTGGCACATTCATGAAGCGTCGGCGCACCTCGCCCACGGCCTTGTAGTCGGGACGAAAATCGTGTCCCCACTGGCTAACGCAGTGTGCCTCGTCAATCACAATGCGGGCAAGTAGTCGCCTCTGATTCAGATCCAAAAAGGCCTTGAAGAATGTCTCACTCTTGTTGAGCATCTCGGGTGTAACGTAGAGCAGTTGGACGAACTTCGCTGGCTCGCTAGATCGCAAGGCTTGGAGGATATAATTTCGATGTTCCTGTGGAGTCTGCCCATTGACGAGGACAGCTTGAATGTGCAGTTTTTGCAGATGATCCACCTGATCCTGCATGAGACTCAGCAAGGGGGAGACAACAATGGTGACGCCCGCCGTCCGACCGCTCTGAACCACAGCTGGCAACTGATAGCACAGAGACTTGCCTCCGCCGGTAGGCATCAGCACAAAAGCGTCTTTGCCGCTCAGAGTTGCATTGATGGCTTCCAGTTGATTGTGGCGGAACTCTTGAAGGTGAAACTTTTTCCTGAGAGTTGAATACACGTCTTTCGACCATGGATGCTGCATCAGAGCTGCTGGTGGGGGGGGAGATATGGATGATGCTGTTGTAGGCTTCTGGGACGGTACTCTGAGAATGTTGTCGCTGACTTCATGCAGAGCAGAGCGCTCACTTCGGTCAGAGGGCCTAGATGTTACAGGAGGTAGATTTTGTTCGTACTGTTCTGCAACCATGTACATTTCTTCGTCATCTAGACCATCCTCGAAATCTTCTTCATCGAACGAAAAGTCACGAGCTGGGCTACCCATTGTTCTCGAAAAGCCGCCCACGTTAGCATTCACAATCGCACTGACGGGCACGCGATTCGGGCCGGACATGCCAAAGACGTAAGGGGTAGAATTGCTCATTCTTGCCAACTCCGATACATGAGATCTTCTGGGAGATTCACGAAGAGGAGAAGGGCTTCGATTCGACGACTTGATGGCCAAGTCAAGTGCATCGTCTCGGTATAAAGATGGAGTTTGGCGGATCGATTGAGTTGAGAGGTGAGAAAGGCCTCGAGGAGTTTCATTAATAACATTCTTTGACGTAGATTGAGGTGGCTTTTGTGTAGAGGCAACTAGGACCTTCTGGTTCGATAACTTTGCGGTTGGGGAAGCCAGATGCTCTCGGTCTTGTTTTGGATGATCCCTCGTTTTGCTAGAGGTCGAGACACCCACCTGTTCCAAAAGGGCGGAGATTGTAAGCTCACGAGCGTCAATCTCGCGCTTTGCCTTGAAAATCTTTGAGCATAACAACGTCAAGACATCCTCAGGATCATCGGGCTCAATAACATGGCCCGATTTACGAAGTTCTTCCAGCTGGATGAGCATTTGCTCCCGCTCGTTTCGAAGTTTGTAGAGAGTGGCAGATTCTTCCTGAAGCCGCGTTGCTGCACTGATCTTGTTTCCTATTGCCTTCTGCCGTTCCTTTAATTGGCTAGAAGCGGCGCCCCGTTCGCACATCTCCTCCAGGATTTGCCTGCCGACGGCATCCTTCGACTCCTCTAGCCGTTGCACGAGGCTCTGTAGCTGGTCTTTACCGTTCAGAACGAAGTCATCAATGATTGTTTTCTGTTCCAGCGTCAAGCTGCCAGCGATGCTTGGGATCGGAGTGCTGTTATGGATCAAAATTCCTGGATTTGATGAGGGATGCGGCGTCAGCGCTCGCTCCATTTCCACGGCATCCGATGGTCCAGGCGGTTCATGGAACGGGAAAGATGGAGATCGAGACGGCGAGCAGAAGGCAGTCTCTGCAGGATCTTCTCTTGCCGCCAAACCACCGAAGCCTAAACCACGCCCTTCCCCAGGATATGCTTGGCTCGAAGCTTTGGATTCGAGCTTTTGAGCACGGGGGGGATCTTCATCATCGTCAGAATCAGGAATGACATGCAGCGATCGCTGAGTTCGAGCTCGAGTATGTACAAAACCCATGGGAGTTTGCGGTTGAGTGGATTTTTCCGTTACGTTCACTTGATGAACTGGACTTCCGCCGATCGCTTCGGGTTCACAATCGAAGACTGTATCCGGCGGAGCAGCCGCGGCCCTGTGCCGAGTTGTTTTCTGCGTCAGACTAACTTCTTCTTCAAAATGTTTCTTGACGATGCTGGTCTGGCTGGCGCGGATCGGAGAGGTAGTCGTCGTTGCTCGTTGCGAGACCACCTTCGTGGACTTGCGATTTGACTGGGGAGAGAGCAGATCTGATTCATATTCATCGCTTTTCCTCTTCTTTCCCTTCTTCTTTGGCGATGGCTCTACACGAGATGCCGACCTTTCGTTCCATAGCTGTGTCGGGGGACCAAATTCGCCAAAGGAAGAAGTCGTGACCTCGCCAGTGAGATCAACTTCCTCAATATCGAGTAGGTCGATATCATCAAAGTTGATGTCATCAAAGCTGGTTACAGGTGTACGTGGCTTAGGGGTGTGCTGGCGTATGGACGGCGTTCCATATTTCTTCGATAGACTTGATTGCGGCTTGTTGTCGACAGAAGATCGGGAAGGAGTGGGCGTGGGAAGTGGATTGGGGTCGCGTTGCAATTGAGTATGCAGTTTCGGTCTGGGAGGGATTTGGGGTGCCAGCTGCAGTCTTGCCATCTCCTCGTTCGTGTCTGCTGCCTCTGATTCATCGTATGATACACCGGCAGTATCAGCAATAACAGATATGTGCTCCAAACATCCGAAAGAGTGTGGGTGCTGCAAGAGCCATGAGAGGGAGCTGTTGAGATTATTCTTGGTCATAGGTCCGTCTCATCTTGCTGTATCTCAAAACAGTTCCCGAGATACAGTGGTTCAATAACAGATGTGTGTGGGAGCATTGGTCGTCTGCACCAGCGAGTTCGGCTGCACCAGGCAGGGATGTTAGAGCCCCCGCCAGCGACGCGTTGTCGGAACCGGTCGCGGTACGCGGCGAAATTCACGTGACTATGCCGCCAAGGACCATAACACACGTGATTCGAGTTTAAACTCTAACGGCCATCCGGCTGGACACCCAAAATTTACACCAAGGGTCAACTACTTGTACACATGCCTCGCTTGCAGTAGACTCTAAGTAACCATTTCACTCACAGATCCAACATGGCCAAGGGTAAGAAAGCCAAATCTGCAGAGCAAAAAGCCCGCACGGCTGCAAAACAGTCGAAGAAAGCCGCCAAGGGCGAGAAAAAGAAAAGTGTCAAAGCAGCGGCTTTAAATGCCGACTCAGATGGCGATGATGATGGTGATCTGGATGCCATGCTAGCTGCCTACGCTGAAGAGCAAGCCAAGTACCTCAAGGTCACAGAGCAACCCTGCGGCCCGCCCGGTCCCAGGTCGTCGAGCACAATAGTTGCGTCGCCGTCCAACAGGAACGAGTTGTTCCTCTTTGGTGGCGAGTATCATGACGGGAGCACGGCCTCCTTCTACAATGACCTATTCGTATACCTCATCGATAAAGGTGAGTGGCACCAGATAGTCTCAGGAAACAGTCCCTTGCCCCGAAGCGGACATGCAGCCTGTCGAGGCGGCAATACCGGTGGGATCTACGTGTCAGGAGGTGAATTTTCCTCGCCCAAGCAGAACCAGTTCTATCACTATCACGACTTCTGGCATTTGGACACCGAAACAAGGGAATGGACCAAGCTCGAACCGAGGGGAAAGGGGAAAAGCCCTCCTGCCAGAAGCGGTCATCGAATGACATATTTCAAGAACTATATTGTTCTTTTCGGTGGCTTTCAAGATACCTCGCAACAGACGAAGTATTTGAATGACACGTGGATCTATGACTGCCGGGAGAATATATGGCACGAGATGAAACTCGCGCCTGCAGCTCAGAGACCTGACCCTCGCTCGTCGTTCAGTTTCTTACCCCACGAGTCCGGTGCTGTCTTGTATGGAGGTTACTCTCGTGTAAAGACATCCACTGGCGTTGGAGGCGGGGGAAAGCAAGCAGGTAAAGGCAGTGGGGGCTCAGCCCCAGTGCGGAATATTCTCAAGCCGCTTGTGCACCAAGACACCTGGTTCCTCCGCATCACTCCCCCAAGCTCAGAAGCGGCGAGCGGTACTCCTCCGTCACTCCGCTGGGAACGGCGGAAGCGGCCGGCGAACGCGCCAAACCCACCCCGTGCTGGGGTAACGATGTCTTTTCACAAAGGGCGCGGTATCTTGTTTGGAGGTGTCCACGATGTCGAAGACAGCGAGGAGGGTATTGACAGCGAATTCTTTAACGACTTGTTCATCTGGAACGTTGATCGAAATCGATTTTTTCCGCTGTCGCTGAGGAGACCTAAGGCCGGCGGGCCCAAAAAGCAACTCCCAAATGCAGCTCGCGGAGGCCGTGATCGGGGAAAGGCGGATGAGGAAGAGCTACTCCGCAATCTGGCAGCTCTGGAGACGAAAGGCTCAATATCGGGTGCTCTGGACATCGACCTCGACATCAAAGACGGGGAAGAGCCTGAGCCTGAACGGCCAAAAAGGGACTATCCTGTTCGATTTGAAATGCCCCACCCCCGTTTCAACGCGCAGCTCACTGTGCAGGACGACACACTGTATATCTTCGGAGGCACACTGGAGAAGAAAGACGTGGAAATCACATTTTCTGATCTATATGCCGTCGACCTGGGCAAGCTCGACGGCGTGAAAGAGCTGTACTACGTCGAACCGGCCAACTGGAACGTGACCAGCCAAGAAAGCGACGAGGAGATGGAAGACGACGACGAGGACGACGAAGAAGACGAAGGGGAAGACGATGACGATGTGGACATGGACATGGACTCGGACGATGACCTCGAGAGCCGGGCGGAGAGTAGCATGTCCTTCGACTCGCGCCCCTCGGCGTCCACGGCTCCCACCACGCCCCTGTTCCGGCCCACCGAGCTCGAGACCGAGCCCGAGACCCTGGCCTCGCAGGACTCGCGCCCGTTCCCGCGTCCTTTCGAATCCCTCCGAGAATTCTACGCCCGTACATCGGAAGACTGGCAGCGGATCCTGATCGAGAAACAATCGTACGGCGGCAGGGCAGAGGCCGCGGCGTTGGCGGCCGAGCAGACGATCAAGGAGTTGCGGAAGAAGGCGTTCGAGCAGGCCGAAGAGAGGTGGTGGGATTGTCGCGAGGAGGTGGGACGGTTGGAGGATGAGCAGGAAGAGGCAGGCATCGGTGAAATTGTCAGCATGGAGGCACGGGGGGCGGAAGGAGGAGGTGTGGGCCGGAGACGTTAAAGAATAGCACAGCGAAGAGGATGTTTCCACGAGCCAGCGATGAATAAACACATTGACGAGAAATTCGGTGTTGTTGGAAAGCAAATTGCTATCTATTCCACTTTTCCTTTCCCCTGCATTTGATCCTTCACTCGGACAATTGTCCCTTGCACCGCCGCCCTTAATTTTTTCACGAGACCCGGTAGCTTGCCCTCTCCAACTTCATCCGCGCCAACAAATCTCCGGACCAACAAGTTGTAAATGCTCCCAAACGCCAACGCCATAACCGTACTCGTCAATATGATCACATTATATGGCATGGAAAAGTCCGGCGTGGGCAAGGGCAATAACAAGCTCGTCGTTCTAATATAAACATCTCTAGCATTTCCCGTGAGTGGGTCGGTCAGTTGTGGCGAAATAATACGGATGACCGCGGGGGGGATGTTGAACCCACGGTTCGCGTCGGGGGGGTATTCCGTGTACCGAAGGATGGATTTCTCGAAGGCATAGGTTAGAGAGACGGTGGTGAGGGGCGGGACGCTGAGCAGAAGTTCAAGTTGTGTGCCGCGATGGCGGTCGACCGCAGGCCGATAGTACATGTCCATAATGATTCTTTCTTTCTCAGGTCTCGACGAGTCGAAAGGGGTTGCGGACGAATGCGTGATTTGAGCCTTGAGGGTATGGATGTAAGGGCGCATGAACCAGGGTAGGCTCTCAAAGTATACGAATTGGACAGACTCGGTTGAGGACGGGTTTGTAAAGATGGTCCGCATTCCTCCGTGGGCAGCACCATGGCCGGTCATGGTTCTTTCTGCTCGGAGCAGCTCGTGGCCCAGGTCGTGCTTTCTGGAGGTTGATTGCTGCAGAGGCACTTCGAGGTCGAACTCTTCGAATGGCATTATTGAATAACACCTTGATTCGCTCGGGCCAGGTTCAGATTTGACTTCAAACCCGCTGTGACTGACCAACACCATTCGATCGTGTGGGACGTTCAGACACACTGGTTTCGGGTCATGGCCCTCGTCGTCTGCCAAAGGACATGTCCCGGCCAGTGTCCTTCCAAACACATCCTTCAGAGACCACGGCATTTCATCCACCATGTCTCGTGGATAGCAAGCATCATGGGAATGGTAAGCCTTCGACTCATCGCAAACAAGTTGTTCTGGAGGAACTGGTCTCGGAATCGGGTTGTCTCGCGGCCGCTTGGATCGTTCGATATCGAGCACGATATCAATCGTCTGGCTGATTTCCATCTGGCATTCGCTAACCCCAGCAGAACACTTCGGCCGCACGTCAATGGCCATGCTCTGCCATGAAGCGTCAAACACCTTGTGTCCGTCAAGGAGGCTGGAAATACCAGCCTTACCTTTGCACGGCAGGAGTTTCAGGAAGGGAGTCAAATTCTCCGTGCAAACCACTTCTCCGGGGAGTACTCCATGCAAAAGGTGAAGATTCTCGCTCCGGTTCTGGAACGTCCCAGCAGGCTGAAAGGACAAGACCGGTTTGGTGGTCCGGGTCGAATCAATGAAATTCAATGAGGCACAGAACAAGCCCGAGAGTGATTGCGTCAAGGTTGTCCACTTCGCAAATGCTTCGACTTCGGAGTCCGCATCTATCCACGCCCACAACTCTACTCCAGTGCCGCCCTCCTTGGTGCCATCCCACGGGCGCGCCCCCCAAAGCTCCGGATCCCATCGTCCTGTGGTAAACCTCAGATGTAGTTCTTGCGTGTCGGCATGCCTCAGCGCCTGCCCCAAGGAGCGAGGGAAGTATCTGAAATTCTGGGCGTTATAGTCCGCGGCACTTTCGTTACTGAGGAAATCGAACGAGGCGAGGAGAGAACCGAGGGGTAAGGGGGTGAGAGTCAATCGCTCATGATAATCGGAGGCTTCGACGCCCAAAGCCAGGAGCGCAGAAGTGAGTAAAAGAAATAGAATCCGGGACATGCCGGCATCGCTACAAGCAATCTCTCATTCCGGTTGTGCTGGATTACACAGACAACAGGTCAAGCGCATGAAGAGGACAGAGACACTTGAATCGAAGGCGGAAAGTGGACGCAAGAATTCTGCCGCAGTTCAACCGACTCCTCCACCACTTCTTTCTCTTCATTTGCGGACTTGGTCTTTTCCTACAACAACAAGAACATACGATCCGGGCTCTGTCAGATCACAATCCCAACCGTCCAGAGAACAAGGAACAGTCAAAAGAAGCCCGCCAGATCTCGGCTCGTCCCTCACCATGGCGGCCGAGCAGCGAAAGCTGCTTGAGCAGCTGATGGGCGACCAGTTCATGGGAATGGGCTCTTCTTCCTCCAGATCCGCAAACCTCACCCTCACTTCGCCCACCGTCTGTCGTTCGTACCTGGTCGGAACTTGCCCCCACGACCTCTTCACAAACACGAAGCAAGATTTAGGCCCCTGTCCCAAGGCCCATCCAGAGAACCTGAAGATGGAGTATGACAACCTGCCGCAGGCAGAGAAACAAAAGTATGGATTCGAATACGACTACATGCGAGACATGCAAAAATACATTGATGATTGCAATCGAAGGATCGACCAAGCACAACGGCGGTTAGAGAAGACGCCAGATGAAATACGGCAGACGAATAACCTTCTCAAACTGATATCGGACCTCACAAAGACAATCAACACCGGTCTCCTCGAAGTCAGCTGTCTCGCCGAAATGGGGTCTGTCAGCCTGGCCTGCACCGAATTCCACAAAGTGCGAACCGCAAAACTGGCAAAAGAACAAGCTGAGCGGGACTTGAAGTCGTTGTCCGACACGTCAGGACCGTCGGGCCACCAGAAATTACAGGTCTGCGATGTCTGTGGCGCATATTTATCCAGACTGGACAACGACAGGCGATTGGCCGATCACTTCTACGGGAAAATGCACCTGGGGTACGCGCAGATGAGGCGGACGTATGAGATGCTGCAGAAAGAACTCAAAGGACGAGGCCCGCCACCGGTACGGCCACAGGAAGAGAACACGAGCGGCGGTCCCACGGGACCGAGAGGCTACGATGATGGAGGATATGGTGATGGTGGTGGTGGTGGATGGGGAAGAGGTGGTGGGGGATACGGTCGAGGAGGCGGAGGCGGTGGCGGTGGCTATGGTAGGGGCGGTGGTGGAGGATATCGTGGACGCGGAAGGGGACGGTGGTAGAACCGCCGTTCTTCCCCCCTCGGCCTTCGAACAGCGACGACGTGCCTTTGGGACTCGTGGTCATTAAACATCATTGCGATGCATAGCGATTGGGAGGGAATGGATCCGGATCGGGGGGAATGAACCAATAACCAGGCTGGGGGACTGGAGGGAGAGCTTGTGATTACTACGTTGTTCATGGTTGCTTTGTCTCTTTTTTGTCTCTGTCACAAATAGCTCACTGGCCTTATTTGCGAGAGGAGAAGAAGGGCACTGGCCAAGAGAGCGAAGAGATACCCCAGAAATGCATGATTTTTTGGTACACAGTTCTGAAGACAGCAGACGATCTGCCATTTGCAGAGTCCAGATCTCATCCTGGCTGACGATCGGCAGGGCTCTTGGGACACGTGTATGTGGAGCAGTTAGTACAGACTCGAGTATATTTGAGGAGTTGCATTGCATGAGCAGCATTCATGACTTGCAAGCCCTTTTGGGTCCAATGGCTCTTGTGGGGACGGTTCGTTATGGGAGATTGCTAAACATATAATAGAGATCAACACGTAGACTCGATCCCAGGGGTGGTGGTGCTGGGTTTCTTCTGTATAGGTACTCCGTACAGGGATTGACGCTGATCGGCCCTCCGCAGCCACAAACCCGGCGACGCCTAGTGACCTCCCTCCCGCCTTTTCCCACCCTGTTACCTCCACACAACAACCCTGAACAACTTTATATTTTTGGGCGTTGGCTCGAGATCCCAAACTCTTAAACGTTCCCACCTGTCACTACTTGCATCACATCCCGCTCTTCACGTCACCCGTTTTGCGGAGTGCGACAAAGCCCCCAACTCGAACCTTTCAACTCCCAGTCTTAAATGCGCCTTTATACATTTGAGCCCGACTGTGACTCGCTCCCTATTACCCCTCGACGACTCACCATCTCCTGAAGCGCGGAAAGACTCCCGATCGGGCGAAACCCTTCCCTCTACGACTTGCACACATGTTATCCTTAGCCTCCAGAGGCCGCAGGAATTCCTACACCAGTCTGAAGGGCTCAGTGGTCGCGAGGAATGCAAGCTCAGAGGACTAAGGCCGAGCTGCAGCAACATAAAGCAAAAGTAGGAACCACAATCGGCGCATTTGGCCGTGCTGCGGGTGCATTGAGCTGACTGAGGATGGTGGACAGCTTGCCGATTCTTACTCGGAGTTACTCGAGTAAGATCTTACCGCCCTCCTCAACCGGTCTCGAGTCTGCGCTGACATCTCTAACCTAGCCAATTCGCCTCGAAAGAACTCAAGACTGTGGGAAACTACTCGTTAGGGAAACTCATTGGCAAAGGCTCCTTCGGCAAGGTCTATCTTGCCAAGCACAATTTGACAAATGGCTCCAAGGTTAGTGTTGGAACAGGGACAACACATATCGCCTCAAGCCCCAGCCGCTGACGAGAAGCCCTCAAAAGGTGGTACTCAAGGCCTCGAGTAAAAACGACCCGAACCTTGCGCGAGAAATCCACCACCATCGACAATTCGTCCACCCGCATATCGCCCGACTATACGAAGTTATAATAACGGAATCTCTTGTGTGGCTAGTTTTGGAATATTGTCCTGGTACGAGGATGTGATCCCATGGGTTGGATGAGTCGGCTAACTATCCACGCACCAGGCGACGAGTTGTACAATTATCTATGTAAAAATGGACCTCTTCCTGTTGAAACGGCGCAGAAGATCTTCACTCAGCTGGTCGGAGCGGTTGCATATATCCACAGCAAATCATGTGTTCATCGGGATCTGAAGCTGGAAAATGTCCTGCTCGACAAAAACGACAATGTTAAACTCTGCGATTTTGGCTTCACCAGGGAGTACGAGGGCAAAGCGAATTATCTTCAAACATTTTGTGGCACAGTGTGTTACAGCGCACCGGAGATGCTGAAGGGCGAGAAATATGCGGGCGAGAAGGTGGACGTTTGGAGTCTGGGAATCATTCTTTACGCCTTGTTGAAGGGGGAACTGCCCTACGACGAAGATGACGACGCAGCTACGAAAGCGAAGATATTGAAAGACGACCCCGTCTATCCCGACACCTTCCCGGAAACCGCAAAGACTCTGATCTCCAAGCTACTCTCGAAGCGGCCCCTGCACAGACCCAGCTTGTCAGATATTCTCGCAGATCCTTTTCTGTCGGACCACGCGCCTCAGCAGCAAGCGATTCTGAAACTCTCGCAGCCAGCAGCATTCACTACTCAGCTGGAAAAGGACACACTTGAAAGGATGAAGTCGGCAGGCGTGGACATCGACAAAGTCATCGAGAATGTGCTTTCGCAACGGTGCGACACGCTGGCTGGATGGTGGGCTTTACTTATTGAGAAAGAGACAAGGAAGCAGGCTCGAAAAGAACGTAAACGGAAGGAAAGAGAAGCAGAGTTGAAAATCCTGCGGCGGCTAAGTGGTGCTAGCGCTAGGCTGGAGAGGATTGCGCCCACACTGGTCGAGGTCGATGAAGAGCATTCGCCCCCAGAGCTGGCCGAACACCGTCGGAGCACCAGTCGAGGCAGGACACAACGGCGAAGTACGCCTCAGATATTGGTTGGCGACTTGCCTCAACTTCCCGAAGGAGACGTGATCAGGTCTCCTGGTGCTGAAACGCCACCGCCGCCACCAATCGATAAAGACTCTGTGCGGTCTCGGAGCGGTTCCCGACCTCCCATACCATCCAAGGATCGCACTCGACGGAGCAGCACGCTACAGCTCGTGACAACAAATCCCGATTTACTGGGGCCCCTGAATGGAGTGAACAAGAGACGGAGTGGGAGGTTTCGCAATCGACAATTTCTGAACCAGCTTACAGCGTTGAAGCAGTGGATCGTCGACTCTACGAAACGAGCCAAATCACCAGTCAGTCCTAGAATTGAGAAATTCTTGAATGGACATTCCAACAACGTGTCCAAAGCAACTCTTTCTAAAGACTCGAACCAGATAAATAAGAGCAACAAGAATCTCACAGGCACGACGAATCCGCACACTTCTAACGGCGCTGCACTCATTCCCGTCATTTCCAACTCGAAACCTCTTCCTTCTGTGATAAATCCCGCGCCTCGAGTCGATACAGCCCGTGGGAGACCTCATCGCAACTCTCTCTCACCGTCACCTGTAACTCCCCGTTCTTCGTACCGCCGCAGTTCCACCGGTCTACGAAGTCGGAAATCGACATCTTCGTCCGTTTCATCGATCCGAAGCATGGCACGACACAACACCTCTCACAGTAAAGCCTCCTCCCAGAGTTCCAACAACAGCCTTGACACGATCCAGAGTCCCACGAGCCGTACGGTTAGTCTCAATGGCCGCTCCCCTCATCCGTCGATAAAAGTGCTCCCTGTGACACCTACCGCCAATGCTTTCCCTTCGAATATTCGGATAGTCCGAACGCCGAGAGGCTCCGACGCCGGTCTTCAGCCTCGCCCGCTTTCCGGGGTAGGCAGTGAGATACTCCATCATCCACCGGGGACCCCGCAGGCCAACGCTTTCGGGTCGAATGTCATGTTTGCTCGGCGGAAGAAATCACCCTTCAAAGGCCCCTCGCTTAACTCGGCCTTTTTCTCCGCGTCAACACTCCCCGCCGCGTTCGGAAGCCCTGCTATTGTTGGCACTGGCAGGAACCGTGAAGGGTCAGACGGGAAGCTCAACTTAGGGCTCAAAGATTTTATGGCCGGAGGGGGTAGAAGGGGCAGCAATTCGAAGAGGAAAAGTCAAATCATCGAAGAAGAGGAAGAGGATGAGCACGCCGCCATTGGTGAGGAAGAGGAAGATGTTGAGGAAGTCGACACATTTCAAGCGGTTCATCTCAACAAGGGCGAAAGACTCGACAGTATTACGATTTGGAATGATGCCGTTCCAGAGGGGGCGGCTGGAGACGATTATGGCACCGACGACAGACGGAAGGAGGGGATAGGGATCTACACCTGATGCGGATTTCGAACAGCCCTGCTTGCATCATCCTGCCGCTGTCCTTCATGGGTCAGAAGGAGTCGCTGAAGAAAAAAGGAGCCACAAACTTACTTATGGGGAGTATGGTCCTCCGCTTCGATCGTTTCGAGCGTGCAGGCCTGTTGGTCAGATTTATGACAAGGAGGTGATCCGGAGCAGGGGTCCAACGTTTCCTTTGTCGACGAAGACACAGTAATGGATATGAAACGGCTTGTTGATAAGAGCATGGTCCCTTGTAGCCTTAATTTTCTTGTACGATATAGCAAGGAATACCTAAGGAGACCTTGTTGGTTGTTGCCTTCACTTTTTCGGACAAAGCTTCGCGAACATTAGGCATCGCGGTTGGAACTAGTGGTCGTGCTTCTTCCCAAGGGATTGAATGATCGGACCAGGCGGCTGTGGACTGCATCATCTGGTTTCATCAGACGTCTGTCTATCTTGAGATTGTTCCCGGTTCCCTCATGGTGCAAGCCATATCGGAATATTGATTTTCCGAAGAATGCCTCAAGGCTCTTCTCGGCGTTTCCTGCGCTTCCACTATTATACAAACTTCTATCCAGTTTGCGATCTCCTCCTCTTTTTGAGGTCAGTCTGCTCGAGTGAAAACTTTTCATTGATATAAATTCAACTCTTTCTCCTCACAAAACTTTGAACCTGGATCAGGGCCGAGGACAGGTCCGAGCCGGTGCAACAGACGCCAGCATGGCGCAAACAATGGTGAACGGCCACCGCGAAGTTGAAATGCCAGCACCTCCTGTTGACCCTCTCTCAAGACCACAGACACCTCCACCTCCCCCGTTCGCTGAGGGTGAACCGCCTCCGCCTCCTCTAGAAGCAAGATTTGCACCACCTCCTCCACCTGCAGATTCAAGTGTCCCCCCTCCCCCGCCTGAGGTAGTGCCGCCTCCTCCTAGCGATGACCCAGACTCTACGACAAATTTGGTCAAGCCGCAACCTCCGAAGAAGAAAGGATGGGGTACGGCAAAGACGGCGAAGGCGACGCCATTGAGTGTGGAGGAACTGCTCAAGAAGAAGAGAGAAGCGGATCTTGCGGCCAGCAAACCAAAGTTTCTCTCCAGGGCGGAGCGTGAGAAGCTCGCTCTGGAGAAGCGGCAGAAGGAGATTGAGGCAACATCTGCTCAGAAACAACCAAATGGGGCAGTACGGAACGTCTCTTCTGTGACGGCGGGATCGTCCAGGCCAAGTTCAGCACCCACGGGGCCAAAGGCTCTACGCAATGGAGACGTCCCCACAGGTCCTGCTGCGATGCGGTCCCGAGAACCCAACAAGGGCGTCGACTTGGCGCCACCTGCGGCGCCCAAATCGATTGCGTTTGGTGGTGATTCCAGGGCACACAAACGAGGAGCGGAGGACGACCGGACTGAAAAGCCAGAATCGGAGATCATCCGACAGAGATATATGGGTGCTGATATGAACGTGTCGACATTCTCTGCGCTGAAGAAGAGGCGGCGGACGACAGAAAAGAAATTCAACTTCGAATGGAATGCCGAGGAGGACACCACGCCCGACTACAATCCCATCTATAACAACCGCGCCGAGGTAAACTTCTTCGGGAGAGGTCGACTGGGTGGGTTTGATGAGCAAGCGGCTGATGCAGCTGCACGAAAGTATGCAGAGGCATTGCAATCGAGAGACACGGTTGCTGGAGCAGCCCGCGCGCAAGAGATTCTCGAAATGGAGCGCAAGAGGAAGGAAGAATCTGGTCGGATGGCCATTGACAAACACTGGAGCGAAAAGAAATTGGAACATATGCGCGAACGGGACTGGCGTATCTTCAAGGAGGATTTCAACATCAGCACGAAAGGTGGCGGCATCCCCAACCCCATGCGCAATTGGAAAGAATCTGGACTTCCGAGAAGGCTATTGGACATCATCGACCAAGTTGGATATGTTGATCCGTCGCCCATCCAAAGGGCCGCCATCCCCATCGCTCTTCAAAACCGCGACCTCATCGGTGTTGCAGTGACCGGTTCCGGCAAGACTGCAGCTTTCCTCCTCCCCTTACTTGTCTACATCGCCGAACTTCCCCGTCTAGACGAAGACGACATGCGCCGTAACAATGGGCCCTATGCCATCATTCTTGCTCCCACCCGTGAACTTGCCCAACAAATCGAAATCGAGGCCAAAAAGTTTGCGACACCGCTTGGTTTCACGGTCGTCTCGATAGTAGGAGGTCACAGTATCGAGGAACAAGCTTACAACCTACGCAATGGCGCAGAAATTATCATCGCAACGCCGGGTCGTCTGGTTGACTGTATTGAACGCCGCATCATTGTGCTGGAGCAATGCTGCTACGTGATCATGGACGAAGCAGACCGCATGATCGACCTTGGTTTTGAGGAGCCTGTGAACAAAATCCTCGATGCACTACCCGTCAGCAATGAGAAGCCCGACAGTGAGGCCGCGGAGGACGGAAGAGCGATGTCCCGCCACCTTGGTGGGAAAGACCGATACCGCCAGACAATGATGTACACGGCAACTATGCCTGCTGCGGTCGAGAGAATAGCGCGAAAATACCTGAGAAGGCCGGCGATCGTGACAATCGGTAATGTGGGCGAGGCGGTCGACACAGTCGAACAACGGGTGGAATTCGTCGCTGGCGAAGATAAACGTAAGAAGAGGCTGAACGAGATCCTTTCCAGTGGAGAGTTCCGTCCACCCATCATCGTCTTTGTGAACATCAAGAGGAACTGCGACGCCGTGGCTCGGGACATCAAAACCATGGGCTTTAGTAGTGTGACATTGCATGGGTCCAAGACGCAGGAACAGCGTGAGGCCGCTCTGCAATCGGTCCGGGACGGCAAGACGGACGTTCTTGTTGCGACCGACTTGGCCGGCCGCGGTATCGATGTCCCCGATGTGAGCTTGGTGGTAAATTTCAACATGGCCACCAACATCGAGTCCTACACCCACCGTATCGGGCGTACCGGACGAGCTGGCAAATCCGGTGTGGCGATCACGTTCCTGGGCAACGAAGACAACGACGTGTTGTACGATCTGAAGCAGATGCTCATGAAGAGTTCCATCAGCAGGGTCCCAGAGGAGCTGAGGAAGCACGAAGCCGCACAGCAGAAGAGAGGCGCCGGATTGGCGAGCGGCGACAAGATGAAGGGCGGGAAGACGGCCAGCGATGAGAGTGGCGGCTTCGGAGGGAAGGGCGGTGGTGGTGGCTGGTAGAAGGACTATCATTATGTGTACATTGACGAGGGGATGAACATGTACGGAGTATGTATCACTTCATAGGGGGGTAGATGCTGCATTGTAATACCTACCCAAACTGAGAGCAAGCAAAAGAACCAAGATCGACCAACCCCCCAAATGCAGACCTATGTATTGTTCTCGGTCGGAAATCGTATGTATCATCTCAGTGACCCAGGTCCATCCATCCAATATTCACAATCACTGCTACCAAAAAAAATCAAATGCAAATGCAAAACGGAATCGAAATCCAACTTTAACTATTCACTGCATTCATTACTCGAAAGCCAACAACGCACGCCAAAAGCCCCAAGTCAAGAAGCTGGCTAGATAGCTAGCTAGCCAAACGCGCCGCCCCCTCCCAAAACTTCCTTGATTCATCTCACATCATACTACTACAAATAGATCGTCAACAGGGCATACCATGCCGTCCCAGTCCCGTCCCGTCCCGTCCGCGCAACATCGGTGTATAGAGCAAAGCAGAGCAAAGCAAAAGCAGATCAAATCGGACTCCTCCGCAACGCACCCACGCGCTTGATGGGCGTGTGCATCATGGCCTCCTGCATCTCGGGCGGGATGGCTGCCCGGGGAATCACGTCCTCCCACGCAGCTGAGTCGACGGTGCCCTTTCCTTCGAGATGTGCTGGCGGCGGCGGCGGCGGCTGCTGTTGAGAAGATAGCTCGCCTGAAACCGAGAAAGATGGGTTAAAGTTCTCTTTCTCCGAGGCTGAGTGCGATTGCTGATGTGGAAACAAAGGCTGAGTGTTGAACTTTTCGAGGCGCTGCTTCGGGACTGGAAGAGCTTTCTTTGCGAGTGGGTTGGTCCGTTTGGGAGCAAGAGGAGACCGCTTGGGTGCTGCTGGGGTAGAAGCCGAGGTCGAGGTCGAAGAGATTGCTGTTGTCGTTGTTGTCGTTGTTGTTGTTGTTTTGGCTGTGCCAGTTGAGGGGGCCGGCTCAGGGGCGGAAACAGTCGCAACTTCTTCCAGCTTCTTCACCTGTTTCGCCTTGTCCTGCCCACGCAACCACTCTTCGAAACCATGGATCGCACTGACGAATGCTCCCTTCCCCAGGACCCTGCTCTCGACCTCCTTTCCCAAGGCATGTTGCACTTTCCTAGCTTTTCCACCGCTCAGCAATTCCACTGAACGTCCATAAATAGGATGCGCTGTCACACCGGTTGAAGCAACAATGGCGCCGTCATTCAGAATCGCGACAGTCATGGCAAACTCCACATCAACCCGCCCCTGTTTTGGGCTGATCAGAACGACTCTAACCCCGAGTTTCTCGTCGCTTAGGATTGAGGCTGTCGTGATGCCCACAAGGTTCAGAAGTCGAAGTTCTTCAGAAACCTTGCATGCAAGATCCCAGCCTTGAGAAACTGTCGACAGCATAGTCTTAGATGACACCGACCGCTTTGGCATCATTGCAAAAGCGTGCAATTGACTTCTGACCAACTGCAAGAAGAATCGTTTTTCGGTCGGCGGCTCTAATTGTTTCACGTCGGAGTCCTCTGGGTTTGCGGGAGCGTAAGTCAAGCTGATAGGAGCAGTTGGACCGCTTGTCGATGCTGATCTCCTGCCGGATCTGCGCCGTTGTGCGTCTGAAGCCTTATATTCGAAAGCTTGAGGGTAGAAGAAGAGTCGCAGATCATCCTTGTACATCATGGTGAGGGCAGGCCCAAACTCATTTGGTTCATCCATCTCTTCTTCCGCAGTAATCAGTCGCCAGCCAGTCTGTTTCTCAATAGCATCAACTCTTGACCTGAGACTGAGGACATCGGCGACCGGCCAACCCTTGTTCTCCTCTCTTACTCGATCTGCCTCTGCAATCTGATCTTCCATCTCAGTCTTCAATTCGGCGGCAGCGAGGAGTGCTTCTTCTTTTTCTGTCATTTGTTCTTGCAACGAATTGAGCAAAGCAGATCGTTGAAGACAATATTCGTCAGCACTCTGTAAATCTCGACGTAAATTGGTCAAAGATTCGTGGTGAACGCTGTCCAGTTCTTCGAGACTTTGTTGTAGCGATGCCTTCTGGCCTTCGAGTTCAGTTCGTTCTCGGTTCATCTGAGGCAGCACAGTATCCAGCATCTGTTGCTGTTTCTGTAAGAGTTGAAGATCCTCCTGTATGCCTCGGTCGATACCCTCTAGCCCATTCTTGAGTCCCTCTACCAGTTGCGCTCTCCATTGATACCATCCCTCCTTGCTCTGCAACCGGGCATTGGCCTTGCCATTGCGGAACTGGTTGTCCATCACGATCTTCACGTCAGGACGGGCATCGACGTATTCCCGGAAAAGTGGCGGCTGTTCAGCAAGGGTTTCAGCCTCGATGGAGCGGATGATCTTGCGACCTGCAGAAATGTAAGACTTGAGCTCTCTCGTCGCATGCTGATACAGTTCAAGGAGTGGCAATGTAGTGGTGGCCGCAACAAAGTTGTCCGCTGTGTCACTGCCGTCCGTACTTTGTCCGGATCCTGAGGCGGGCATCGGCTGTGCCATTGTGTGCCTCCTCTTCGTGGTCGACAGTTCGATGAAGTGAATATTGGTCATGTTCAAAAACTGCTGGAGCGAGATCTTGTCCTCTTCACTCCGGGCCGATCCTTCTTCCATCTGAACCGTGGAAATATCGACAGCTCCAACCACGTTGTCAAGTTTGTCCTCGAACGATTCTGGTCTTGCTTCGTCGTTGACCCTGATATCCTTGAAGCGTCCAGTGGTGGCTGGGCTCGGCGCAACAGTGCTTTTGGTAGGTGAGGCTGCTCCAAGACTTGGAGTCGCATTGTTGTCGGCCAACTCTTGGAGTGACTTCTGAAGTCTTGTGCCGAGTCTGCCAGTTGTTTCGTCCCTGGTCGGTGGCTTCGGTAGATGAACCTTTTTCACGGGGCTGCCTTCTCTGGAAACCACTCTTAAGCGCTTCGGAGTTGAGTCAGCCTCGTCTTCATCATCCATGTCGAGTTCTGCAGGCCGTTTTCCCAGGAGCCCTTTCGCGCCTCCCACCGCAAGGCTCTTCCTGCCCTTGAGCTTGCCAGATTTTGGTTTCTGTGGTGTCATCGATTCAATCATATCCTTCAGCTGTAATGTAACATTCTCATCCTGAGGTTCGTCCGCTTCTTGTTCCATGACAAATCTGCCGCTCTCTCGACGCTGCTCTTCTACCCTCTCAGCTTCGACCTCTCGCGCGAGCTGTTCTGGGTCCTCGGCCCGCAACGTCGTAGGCTCAATACTAACAAGCTTGAATTGAGGTGCGGCGTTTCCAATCGAGGACCGACGGTCTAGTAATTCCGTAACCCGGGGAGAGCCAATGCCGTCTTTATCAACGCCGATCCCACTCGATCGTCGACGGGTCAGATGTGACTTGGGTGCCTTCAAAACGACACTGGGAGTCTGATTACCTGGTGAAAAAAGTGTATTTCGCCTTGTAGAGGCCGGCGATGTCCTGGCTTTGATCTCGGCCTTGAATAACTTCTTTGGCGAAGCGCTTCTGTGTGAAACATTTGCGGACAATGGAGTTTTATTTGGAGATTCTGCTCGCACAGGAAGTGGCGTGATTTGTTTTGAGGGTGTACTTTGTTGTGTTCTGGGTTGTGACTTGACGGGTGTACTATGCTGCTGCGCCGTTTGTGGAGTAGAAGCAGGTTTCGTGGCGCTCCGCTGAGGTCTGCCCGACAATCGTGGCTTCATAGCAATACTGGGGCTGCCTGTTTCCAAAGCTATAGATGTTCTGTGTTTATGTGTCTTTGGTGGAGATTTGGGTGTAGTCTGGTCAGCTGGTAGGCGTCGCGGCGATGGAAGCATGGTATCTCCGGGTGATTTTCTCGTCGCCTGATTGTTGCTGTTGAGAAGGATGCCACCGATCGCCCTGGTCATATCCATAGCCATGGTCTGCTCTTCCACATCTGTCTGAGGCTCGGTCTGCTCCTCAATAGGGGGCAAGATTCCTCCAACAGCTGCGGTCATATCCATCGTCTCATTTTCATCGGTCTGTTCAGGAAGCATGGAGTCTCGATTGATAGCTCCACTCAGAACGCCTCCGGCTACCTGTGTGAATTCCATGCTGATGTCTTCATCGGACCCACGGCTGTTCACCGTCTCTTCAATGCCAGCACTGATGATTCCGCCTTGTATAGCTGTAAAGTCCATGGTCTCATCAAACATGGACTCATTACCAGACGAACGGCGACGACGAATGCTGCTGCGGCGACGCGCCATAAGTGATTTCGAACCCTTCTTGCTGGGGGATCGGGCCGTTACTATGCCACCAACAGCACTTGTGACATCCATACTCATTTCGCCACTCTGATCCTCACTTTCATTGTCGATCTCAGTATCATTCTGGTGCAGTGCTGGACGCGACGCTGTGTAAGGGCCTGGATTTTCTTGGCCGTGCATCTCGTCGCTTTCGACTTCAGGAGCTCGCCCATGTGCCCAGCCTTGAAAGGCATTTGTCACAGTGCCGGTAACCATTTCCATGGTCAAATCTTCGCCATGCTCGTCATAGTCTATGCCGCAGGTTCCAGCTTGTTCGGCAGCCTGCCGTAGGCGTTCTTCCAGGCTGGAGGGAGTGCTTGACCCTGAATCCTCAGAAGCTACCGTGTTTGAAGTCGCATCCTCCAGACTCATGGCTGTATCCCCATCTGTGTCTGACTCATCCGAAGACTCGATACCTTCCTCGAAGCGAACAGGACTGCTGTTGGTGGTGACATCGCCTGAAGGACTCGACGAATACATCAACTCCTCAGCATCCAGCGTGGGTTCTGCGAGACCTGAGCTTCTGCGTCTGCGCTTCTTTTGGTGGACATCCCTCTGTTTCGCGGGGGACTCCTTGACAAGCGGGTCCCCGGCCGGGTCGGCAGGAGTCGAAGGTACATTTGCTTTTTCAGGCGATGTTATCGATTTGATAGGTGATTGCGCTGCTGTCATTGAGGATTGTCTTCTTGTGGAGTTGGAGGCGGAGCTTGTCGTCGAGTCCTCTGCAAGCTCCATAACACTCCACGTATGCAAAGTAGCCTCCGGTGCGAACGACACCCGACGGTTCGCCAGAGATTTCCTCCTCGCCGCTCTCCGTTCCAATATGGCCTGCTTCTCTGCCTGGCGCTTCCGCTCTTCTTCCTGCTGGCGTTCCAAAGCCTCCGCGCTTCCCCCAGTCCCACCACCCCTCCTAGGCGATCGTTGCACCATAGGACTGAATGGGTCTGCGACATTCTCCGCGCCTGATCTTGAGATTATGCCAGCATTCTGTCCACTTGGACCCGGGGTCGAGAAATCAATGAGAAGCTCTTCATGATTGTCCCTGGCCTGTGACTTGTCCTTCCCGGTGCTTCGCTTTCGCAGCTCGTCAAACGAAGGTATAGCTTTAGGTGGCGTCAGAGGAATGGATGGTTTAAGTATTGATTTTATCTGGAAGGGTGTCGTAGTCTGCCCAAAGTCAACAAATGCGCCTCAAAACAAAAAGCCCAGTTTCTTTACCTTCGTAGCGTTTCCCATTGACTCTTTGAGGGCTTCGAGTCCCCCTGGACCGAGACTCTTGCCGCGCGACTTCTTCTTGGCCGCTTTGGTGTCTGTATTTCGAGCTTGGAAGGCACCAATGTCCATTGTCGCATTGTCCCTCGTAGAGGGCATCTTTGCAGACGGTATATGGGCAATTGACTGTCGGGATTTCGCTCGACTAGACCTCTGATCCGCGGTTTGGTCAGCCATTGCAGGGCCTTGTCGCCTTACCGACATAGTAAACCTGTAAGGTCGCTTTAAGAATGCTGCATGATGGCGATGATGTTGGCTCGGGTCAAGGCCAATCCGCGTCCCCACCATCAAGTTTCACCGCGACGAGCTAAACCCAAGCAAGGGTTATGTAAACACGAGCGGGTGGCGCCATCACGTGCGCCAGAACTGACCGGTTCAGGACTAGCCTGCTTGATGTCTTGGCAGAATTTTGAATGCGCACCATCAATTGTCGAGGCAAGTTGCTAGCGTCGTGCCGATTGCAAAATTCCACCTTTGCGCACCTCACACTTCCTTCCTGTCGACACACCGCAATCATGGCGACCGAGTTGACAGTCCAGGCCGAGCGCGCCTACCAGAAGCAACCTCACATCTTCCTCAACCACAAATCCAAGGCCGCGAAGAGCAGGAGAGTCGGCAAGGGCGGCCGAAGATGGTACAAGGACGTCGGGTTGGGCTTCAGGACGCCAAAGACTGCGATTGAGGGATCATACATCGGTTAGTGGCGTCTCGTCCTTGTAGTTGGTCTTGTTGCGCTGGATAATTCGAAAGAATCTATCCACGACTGCTACGACATTTGCAGCCACAGCGTCAAATCAAGAATGGAAAAAAAAGTGAACTCATTCTAACCGTTTCACCCTCCTATTGACAGACAAGAAATGCCCTTTCACCGGCATGGTCTCCATTCGAGGCCGTATCCTGACCGGCACCGTCGTTTCCACCAAGATGCACCGAACCCTGATCATCCGCCGAGAATACCTTCACTTCGTCCCAAAATACGCCCGATATGAGAAGAGACACAAGAACCTTGCCGCACACGTGTCCCCGGCTTTCCGTGTGGAGGAAGGTGACCAGGTCACCGTGGGCCAGTGCAGACCCTTGAGCAAGACTGTAAGAACGAACCCCTACCCTCCTCGAAGCGGTATTGGAGTCTTCTCCGGAGGGACCTTTATTGAAGGGAACAAGACTGACAGAGTGCGAACTTTTCCAGGTCCGATTCAACGTCCTTCGTGTGTTGCCCCGAACGGGAAAGGCGGTCAAGGCGTTCCAGAAATTCTAAGCGCGTGGGAGGGAGTGAACGTATGATTGTGGTATGGTGGAAAGCTTGTCGAAGGAGAGTGCTCTCTCAGCACAATCCAACACGGCAAATGGCGTGATGCCTGTGTGGAACGAAGGTCGTGGCAAGAGGTCATTTCCGGCGTCTGGAAAGCACAGATCAGAGTTAGATGATTTGTTGCTGGCACCTGGCCAGGCCATGAGCACCGGTGGGAAAATTCGAAAACGACAACTGAACCAAGGTCTACAAAAAGAATCGCATCCATCAAGTCTCGATCAGTTTTTTTTTTTTTTTGTATTCGTGTGTCTACGAGGTTCTAACGGTTTAGATCTAAAACTCCTTCATTGCTGTCAATGAACTCCTCCCCGATGTGTTTCCCCGGTCCAGACTCAGGTCTCGAGATAGGCGAAGCCAGCCTCCGCCTTGAGCGGCGGATAGCCCCCACTGTCCACGACGGGCAAGATGCTGAGCTTCCTGGCCGTCTCCTTCTCGTCTGCCTCCATCCACCTCTTGACCTCACTCTCGTCGCTCCAGTCACTGATCAGTTTGTGTCCCTTTCCGATCTGATGTAGTTGCGTGCCACTCGAATTGGTGTTCAAGGGCAACGGAGCGAAGTTCTCGAGGGCGCCCGTGATCTTCCCGCTCAAGAGCTCCTTGGAAAGGTACGGCTCTTGCGCAAATGGTCTGCCGATGCCGATCCCGTCGCAGGCGCCGCATTCGACCGCCTTCACCATGCCCGCGGCGGTCCTCAGCCCACCGGTGATGTACACCTTGGTCTTCTTCAGAAGCGGCCGGATCATCTCCGCAAACTCGATAAAGTACGCCTCGCGCGCCTTGGTGCTCTCCTTCTTGTGCTCGAACGCCCGGCCCTCGAACGTGCCGCCACTCAAGTCGACGAAGTCCACTCGCGCCTCTTCCAACTTCAGACACAGGTCTCGCGCGTCCTCGGGCGTGGTGCCCCGGTCCTGGAACTCGACCGAGTTGAGCTTCACGCAGATGATGAACGCCGGGTCCGGGACGCGGCGGTGGATCTCCTCGATGATCTCGAAGACGATGCGAGAGCGATTGTTCAGGTCCCCGCCATATTCATCGGTGCGTCGGTTCGTGGTGGGACTCAAGAACTGGGCTAGCAGGTAGCCATGGGCACAGTGCACTGTCAAGAAAGGGGATGAATCTCAGCTTGTGTGCTTTCACCTGTCCAATGATTTGGGGTGCCTACCTTGAACACCATCGAAGCCGGCTTTCCAGCAGAGATACGCGGTCTCACCCCAACTTTTCACCATGTCTTTGATCTCCGGGATGGTCAGGGGTCTCGGCTTAGCGAATTCGTTCCCGGCCCACTTGATATTCAACTGGATATCGCTTGCGCTGACCGGGTTTGGGTTCAGGTATTTCCCACCCTGTCGTCCTGGGTGAGAGAGTTGGGCGATGAACAGCGAGCCGTGAGCCTTCGCGACCTCGGTGACTTCCTTGAACTTGGCAACGCGGCCGTCGTGGTCGTCAACGAGGATAGGGTTGCCGTATGCCTCGACCGCGTCGTATCGGACCATGATGTTACCGCTGACAATGATGCCGATTTCGGCCTCGCCCCATCGTCGGTACAGGTTGAGATACTCGGGACTGGGCACGCCTCGGGCAGACTGGCAGTTTTGGTCAATAGATATCAGACAGCAGGGGAGGGGGTGCGTCCATACAATATCCTCGCCTTCTTTGTTCCAATGGCACAGTCTTTCGGTCATGGGCGCCTTGAGAAACCGGTTCTTCGCAGTGCGACCTGAGAACGTGAAGGTGACGGGCTCCTTGAGAATAGAGACATCCGTCGGGTCGGAGTGAATCCTCAAGCGACCTCGACCTGGCTTGGTTGTGTTCTTTTCATGCTGGACATTGGCCGTGATAGGCGCCCCGTTCATGGTCGATGTATCGTATTCCATATTCGCTGAAGACCTCTTTTTCCCCCTGATCCTTCTTCTATTTTCCTGGCTTTCTTTGGGTCTATCAAAACTGCTCCTGTCTCAAGAACCCTGGTTCCGACGTGCCACTCTACCAAATCTTTTGTCCTCTTTTCTATTTTACCAATTCCCGCTATCGAGCATTGATAAGCGAACTGTTGTACACGCCGGTCAGTAAACGATTTGAGAGACTGGAATTTCACTACAAAACACCGAGGTGATGTGGAGGGTGGGGGATGGGTCTGTCGAGGTTTCCTGAGTCGCATCAACCCACCTACAGGCGACGTGCCGTAAGCCTTTGCCCGCCCGAGGCTCCTTGGAGCATCTGCAATGCGCCGGAAAGAGGACATTGTGGTGGTGGTGGACTTTGAATTGGAGAACGGAGGAGAGATGTATATTGGTGCGGGGAAGACGGTGGAGGCCCGAGGAGGGGAATTCTTTGTCAGGAGTATTAAACCGTTTATATATTGCATACCGCAAAAAATTGATCTGATTTGTCACACAGAGAAATTAGTTCCTTAGTGTAGTGGTTTATCACATCTCCTTTACAGTTTCCTCCTTCCTCAGGGATGAGGGATTGCCCGCGGAGAAGGTCATGGGTTCGAGCCCCATAGGAACTATTTTTTGCTTCTTTTGCGGATCCTGCTGTCATGTACGGACGAGGGGGAGAAAGGGGTAAGTGGGAGGACTCTCGTGAGGCGAATTATTATTTTGTCCGACGACTTCTCCTCGAGCTGCAAGTTTAACTCTCCCAATTCCACGGAAAAGGTCGACACCACCAGCGTGGGCAGGGAATGTCTTTGCCGGCTCTTCCCCTGTTACAACATCAGCTCACCGTCACTTGTTTTTGTTTGGGCTATGCGATTCGAATACACCCGTGGAGATTCGACTCGCAGCTGCTCCCCCGCTTCTGGCCATTCCACCGTCGTCTATGTTACTAGGAAAAGCCTGCAAGGCTGTGTACTGCCCGAGGTTACGGCTATTGCGTGAACTCGGGTCTTGGACAGTATGACCATTGAGTCGGATCGAATGTAAAACCAATAATCTGTCTAGGTGAGCGAGCGTCAAAACCATCCTCGCGAGTCAGGTGCAGTCGCTGGGATGACGAGGCTGCAAACCCCAGGAGTCACCAGGTAAAATCCTGCCATATCTAGTCATCTAAACCGAAACTGAGAGTTGCCGTTGAACTATCATTTATTTTCCCTATTATCTTTCAAGCGTATCTGGATTCGTGCCCGCTCTTGGGACCACTCTCAACAGTTCCATCCCTACGCCGCCCACCAAAATCCTCCATGCATACTCTCCTGTCCCGCCATGCTCGCCGTTGTTCGCCATAGTACTGTGGCCGTCTTCGATGATCTCAAGATCGCTGGCATCCGCTACTGCTGTCCATCCAGTACCGACTAGTTCGACCTGTAGTGTTTGAAAAAGCCCATCATCTTCGACCCTGTGAACAATAGGAACACCATCTCTCTCCGAGGCGACACGAATATGCCAGATATTGACGCGCTGGTCGTTTCCCACGGTGGCCACAGTGACTGAATAACCCGTTGCGGTGCGCCTGGGCTCCGTTGTTTTCAGGGCCGTGAGGGCGGCGGCATGAGCGGCAGGGATGACGATCGTTCGGAAGTTCCGAGGGGCCTGCCTCTCAGTGTTGATCTCTCCTTTGAGAGCGTTCTTTGATGTAGACACAGAATTAAACAGTGTCAGGCCTAGCGCGTTGTCATCGCCACCTGTCGCAACGAGGTAGGTAGTTGAGCTGAGCGACACCATGTCCATAGCAAGAATGCTACTCTGGTGCACTCTGTGGACCTCCATCTGTGACAGCGGCTCCGCAGCGGGCGAAGCGGCGGACTGGGTAGGTACAGAGTAGGACTCCAAAAGACTGAGATTCAAAAATCCATTCGTGCCCGCCGACAGCGCTCCGATATGCTCCTTGTCAGATCGAAACCCCGAAGCTGAGACGAAGCTCGGTGAAAGGAAGAAAGCCTGCATCACGCAGAAGGAACCGTAGCTGATTTCTCGGACCGTCTCGAACATCGCTTCGTCCCTGACGGGTGCCGAAGTGTATCGTACTACTTTTGCCTTTCCGTTTGAGTATGCCATCACGATCGTGTACTCTTCACGTGAATTCTTGTCTCCATGATGGTCGCCACATCGCAGATCGAAGCTCATGATCCGCGCATCTGAGTCCTCTTCCCGAGTGGGCATCATGTCCCATGGGACAACGCCTATTTCGATGCCAGGAACATCAAAACTGAGTTTCCACACATAGAATTCTTCGCACCCACCACTGCTAAAGAGGTATTCACCAGATGGAGAGAATTGGAGGTGTTGGATACCTGTGGTGTGTTGCTTGAGGGTCGACACCGCCCAAAAGGCAGAGGAGTCATTTGATCCAGATTCTCCGGTTGGTGAGGGTTGGGAAACGGGTTTCGCAGAACGGGGTATAGCAAAAAGCTGGATGTTGGTGTCTTCAGCTCCTGTGGCTATGAGAATATAAGGGCGGTGTCCTTTTTTGCGGGGATTATAGGGCAATGGGCTGCGTGCCACGGCTTTGATCTCGCGCCCTTGCCCTCCTTTCTGAACTATTTGATGGCTGGGACCTGGAGCCGAGTACCAGTTCAACATGCCAGCTTTAGTCCAGACGAAGGATTTTACGACGCCGTCGCAAAATAAGGAAGAGTCGCGAAACGCCCAGCTTCGGTGAGATCCGCCACATTCAACAGCTAATATTTCAGACTGCTGGGTTTCATTCCAGACGACAAAGGACGTCGAACGGAAGCCATAGAGAACCAAATCTGGCTCTGTCTCAGGCGATGATCCTGCAGGTGATGTAAGGAAAGCATCCTCGATGTTAGGGCCAAAGGGGAGCGCAGACCGGTGAACGGCTGCCACAGTGGGCTGTAGGCTGTCTTTGGATGATGGCCAATCGACACGATGAATTGCATAGAACCCGTCACGCCCTGTCGTCAGGATATAGGCCTTTTCTGTGAAAGGTTCTGGAGCTTTCCGCAGAATAGTGATCGAAGTAACACTATCCGTGCCATGGGCATGGCGGAGACAGGACGGTTCTCCAGACGTTTCAGATTGAGGTTTTACTTGAGAGTAGATTGCAAGTGCACCAGCGCGGGATCCGAGAACCAGCACCTCGCTTGAACTGTCGTAACAACAGGATGTGATGGTGAAAGTTTCAGGTGTGTCCAAAGGTGTTTGCCTCACCTGAACGGAATCGTCGTTCATGCTCACCCAGAGGATGACAGCATTCCCGTTCGCCAATACGGCAACAACGCAAATTGTTGACGTTGTTAGTACTGTCGACTGCAGAGAGGCGAGTCGTATCCAAGAGATTGCACATTCAAGTTCGCATTTGACGGGTATTAAAGAGTCGTGACCGGTGAGCAAAGCAGAAAGCCCACCTCTTTGATATGCAATTAGAACGAGCTGTAAGCTTCCAATCGGACAGAGCAAAAGGCCGCCTCTCCCTGAATTCGGCATCAATTTGACCCAGTCCAGCTTGTCCTCGTCGAAAGTCAGTCGAAACAGGTCGCCTTGATTCGTGGCTGCCAAGCATTCACGCGAGTTCAAAAGCACGTAATTCTTCAGCGACATTGAGGAGCCAGTAACGTCGTTGAAGGGTAGTGAGACGGTGACGGGTGGAATTATGCTCCCGCGAGACACGTTGGGTCTTCTGGAGATTATCTGCCCATCAGCACCACCGGTTTTGACAAGCAAGCCCCGCCCATCATTGATGTATGTCATTGACCAGGCATTCTTCCCAGAGTGATGTCGATCATGAGACCCTGGTTTTAGAAGCGCTGTCAAAGGGGTCTCTGGCCTTGTCCTAGTATGTAGCTCGATGGTCCACAACTGGCAGGCACCGTCTTCACCTCGGGATAAAAGGCATACGTCGTTTCTGTTGTTGGACGCCGTTCCCCGGACGAATTCAACGTCCCAGATACGGGAGAGATGACCCCAGGCGGATGCAAGCTGGGTCTCACCCTCCTGACTGGCACGTCCAAATCCTGTTTCAGCTAATTCCGTGCTGTCACTGGAGTCGAGCCGCAGACAGTCACAGTCACTTATATCCCAAATTCTTACCGTGCGGTCATCGGAACAGCTCGCCATCAAGCGGGTGTTAGTAGTCTCCAGCTCGAGGATGTCAGAGATAGACACACCAAAAACGGAGCCCATATGCCCACTGAAGACATGCCTCAATGATGAGACCCACTGTCCGTCATTTTCGTTCCTTGAGCAAGTCCAAACCAGAATCTCTCCAAAGACAGTTCCGGAAGCCACGATAACCAGCCCAGGTTTAGTGACAGCTAGAGAGCCGGAGTACAGGAACGATTTTGGGCCAATCACCGGCATGGACTTTTCCCAATTCAGGACTCTCTTCTCTGTATGCTCAAGAATGTGCACCTCTAGGAGCTGGTTGTGCGCATCAAGCAGGAAAATACTGGAGGAGTGGTGAAAGGCAGCGTCCAGAATCCAATCTCCGCAGTTCAATAACCTCGAGAAACGGAGTTCAGGTACTGCGAGTGACGGAGCAGCTCCGGGTTTCTTCAACATCAATGAAGCGATCCGGCACAGCCGCCCTCCCCAAAGAACGATTCGAGGGCGCTGGTTCGAGGCTCCGTCCGCATCGTGTGAGTCAACCTGAATTCCACAGACTGGTTGAACCTCGAAGACCCGTGTAGATACAATAATGACATCTCTCTCATTGTAGATATGAAGGAAGGGTCCCTGCCCTGCGAGAAGCAGCCATTCCCCACCAACCAGGACTGACCTGAGAGCAGTGACTGGGAGACATGCGGCTTGTGGCTGTTGTTCGTCAGCGAGGAGGTTTGGGCTAGATCGTGAAACTCACTTCTAAAATGCATGTTGTCATTGAAGTGGAGCGGACCAATCAGTTTGCCGTGCGACCGGCTCGACCTCAGGTATAGAGCGATGAGATGCGTGTTGAGTGAAAGAAAATCTCTCGTTCTGCCTTCCCATGATGAGTACGGAATAACAATTGGCCGATTGTCGTTTTGATGCTCCTTCGGCTCACTTGCTTCTTTTGGATGATAATACGGGGAATTCAATCTTTCCCTTTCCGACGTCCATAGTCGCATTCATCGTAGACTTGATCGAGACTATTGAAACCATTGAGAAGCACACATGCATGCTGTTTGTTCTCTGAGGGGGTTTTAATTTTTAGTTCTCAACTATTTGCTGAGTGCTTCCATTGCAACCTCTACTGAATTCCAGTCCTCTCTGTGGATCCCGGCCTTAGCCTAATCTTGACACTTCTGGAAAAACGTCTTCGCCTGCTCGTACTCTCGGAGGATGGTTTCCTGGTGTTGCGTTGACCGGTCCGTGAACGAGACGGTGAACGAATGAGGCCCCTTCACGAATCCGTGCGAGTATACCGTCTCGACGTCCCGGTCCAGTGGCGGCGCGGTCGAGTCGGCGCGGATGTCGAAGGCCCAGGCGATCTTGGACATGTTGATCATGTATAGAGATTTTCGTAATTAGATTGTGTGTGTGTGTGTGTGTGTGTGTGTGTGTGTGTGTGTGTGTGTGTGTGTGTATGTGCCCATGTATATAAGTAGGTAGACCGTCAGGGAAAGAAAGAGTTCCCTCATTGTCGTGAACTTGTTTATCCGGATGTAAAAGGGTTTCAGGCAACTCGGAAACTCGCCAGAGAATTCTCGGCAAGGCGCTGCCCGGGACACATTCGCTCGGAGGCTCCGAAGCTGTATGTCACTCTCCTGTGACTTTCGTTATCGTCCGATGAAATTTGGCTATTGCCCTTGCTGCCGAATTTGTCGTGGAGGAACCGCTCCGGGTGGAAATCCTCTGGTCTGTCGTAGTCCGTTATGTCTCCTCGATGGACCACGTACTGGCAAACATAATGGTGACTTTCGACAGAAAGTAGCCGTCGTACGTGTCGTCTTAGATCAACATGTGAGGCACGCCGTTGGGTGTGACTGGTCTCCATCGCAGCGTCTCAAAGGAAGATTCTATTGTCAGATCTGTGAGGGAAAGCTCAGTCTCACACAACCGGTGCTTAATCTCACCTCTGTCATGATAGCTTGCAAGTAGGGAAGGTTCTTAATGTCCTAGGAGCCTGATAACCTCGAAGGTCCGTATACTTCGTCCAGTTCCTTCTGTGCCTTCCGCAAGACCTCGGGGTATTTGATCATAGCAAGGACAAACGAGTAGAGTATCGACGACGTCGTGTCAGAACCTACTTCCATCTGCCCAACCAAGAGTCAGATTGTGGCAGAAAAATCTTCAGCGAAAGAGGAGTGCCACACTAGAATGGCCCCAGTAAAAACAATCTGCTCGTCATCTAACCCGCTCTTCTCCTTCCCTTCCAAAAGTTTATCCATGAAGTAAGGGACTCTGTCCTGGTTTCCGGCCTTTGCTTGGTCTCACTGAGCAGGCTGGAATACAGTATCCGTTATTCTCGTCGAATCTCTACTGCCTAGCGCCTGTAAGTGGCCAAGAATATAGGTACATATTTCAGGAACGGAAAGGAACCCACGGGCGGCGTGGCTTCCGGGAAGGATCTCGGTGAATTGTTCCTGCGTATGTTATAGGGCTTGAACCTTTGGTGCTTTGTAGCTGGCGCCTCTCTGACCAAACACCGATATAAGAATGACGGCGGTCGAGTAACGCCGGATGTGCGTGAACCCCTTTCTTAGGGTTGTCATGAGTTCAAATAACGTCTGCGATGCTTCCGCCTCCTGCACGGGCAAAAGTCTATCCACAGCAGTCACATTCAATATGGCCTGAACTGCCTTCCGAAGGGCCCTCCAGCCCCGGCCGTATGGAACCAGGAGGATATGGGTGCCATTGGAGCAAAGAAGTTCATTGCCAACATAGCTATCAGGACGACTGGCAACAGCATAGCGGGCAAGCACGAGGACGGGGACTGCGAAGGAGGCAAGAATCAGCTCGCTCGCGATGGAAATGATCGACAGGTGCATGACTGTTGATTGAGAAGGTAGCCATTCTGTTGTCTTCCCCTCGATTGTCCAGGGCTATGTGGTGCCCATCTTCTTTGGGACGAAAGCACCTAGCCAGGACCTTTTCGTTTGAAGGTTTCCATTTCCTGCACAACCGAGAGCCGCTGGACCAATTCCGTTGCGACAGTCGGTATGGTGGCTAAAGTTCCCCACGCTTTGTGAATCGAGTTCGGGTTCACGTACGAGAGTGGTCTCCAAATAGCCCACGACACAAAACCGCCGGAGATGGGTTCCCTAAGTCAGGGGTAACTCCCGACAACCCGACCTAGACACCGTCTCCCTCATGCATAGTTGGTTCCGGATGACGAGTAGTGTCCACGCACGATCCAGTAAGACCAAACGGGTCGTCTCTTCTGCTAGCTGATGGAACAGGAGCTATAGTCTGCGATACGGTATACCTATCCAAAATTGGTGTGTTTCTGAGAGATATAACAGATCAGTGGCAGAGGAGGAAAGGAGGCAGAAATGCATATGCTGATGTAGAGCCAAGACGCTATCAAGAAGCCACTAAACCGTTTCGGGGAAATATAGACCTTGTTTAACATGGACATCACCTCGTACTCAATCAGATATCCCCAGGGATTTCATCTCAGTGACAAGTCAAGGCTCTGCATACAGCCCCATTCTGCAATAAGGACCATGTTCGCACGAAATACCAGCCTGTAGCCGCTTCAGAGGTGTGATTTCGCAGGCCCAACCTCCCAATCTGCCAGGAATCTCACGTTCACCTTTCTTCCTCGGAGCCCCTTTACTGCCACCTTGACCTCTTGCCCTGGCAGAAGATCGAACATGTTGTCCTCCCACAGTGGCTCGGGCTCGTCCTCCTTTTCGTTTCCGTCGTAAACGGGCTCAAGCCAACAGCCCTTGATGGGCTGATTAGCAGTAACTGTTACCACATCCTCGAAGGGAGCATCGTAGAAGCCGGTATTGGTATGGCCACTCTCTGTACTTTCAACTGACACCGTCACCTTCGTGTCGAGGGGCCATTGCAGGTATCGGTACGGCTCAGGCCAGTCAGTGAATCTTGCGAGCACCTTTTTGCTCCCTGGCTCGATGAGACTCGCGTCCAGAATGATCAGACTTTCCTCGGTCCACGACGCATGTGGCTTGAGACTCCCAAGCTCGGTATTGTGACCCGCTGACAAGGTCACGTCCGAGCTCACTGCCGTCCAGTCCAATTTAGCATCCTTTCCAGTATGAAGATCGTATGCTCTGAGTTCTAGGGTGCACTTGACTTCTTTTGGTGTTATGTTATGTGCGAAGAGGGCGAAATTGGGAATGTATGAATCCTTTGGCTTGTCCTCGTCTATCCAGCGAGAACGAGGTGTTCGCTCAATGCCGACGCTGATGGGGGCAAAGTTTCGTCGAATTGTGTAAAAGGCAGGTTTCGGACGGAGATAATAGTCAATGTATGCCCAGCTCGTAACCGGGTAGACATCGTTCAGCTGCCAGATAATTGCACCTGCACACTCCTCTTTACCTTTGCCCCCAAACTTGCGCTTCCAGTCGCGCAACGCATAGCCGTATGCCTCGCTCTGCAAGAGTTGCGAGCAGTATGCGAAATTCTCGAGCTTCATATCGTACCGGAAGTTCTCCGACAAGTATCGAGCGATACGTGTCTCCGCGCCGTGGCCTTTGTTGTGGCAGTCGATGACGCGAGACTGGGGATAACGATCCTTCGGCTCAGGTGCGAAAACATCAACTGTCCGCATGATCGGAAAACCGTGCATGCCAAATTCGGAGACAAACCGTCCAGAAAGTTCTCCATATTTCTGGTAAGCGTGCTGTGGCCCGTGCCACACAGCCCACTGGTGAAGATCGCCAAAGTTGGTATCACTGGCATTTGCACCCTCCGCACCCCAAGGCGATGACGGCCAGTACTGGATCGAAGGGCATAGACTCTCGCAGAGCTTGGGGAGAAGGTCGAGGAAGATCTTCCGTGCCGGGAAAGAGGTATTTTCAAAGGGTCCGACATGGTCTTTGAAATCGTACGGCTCCCCAAAAAAGTCCTGGAGTCCGAAATCTTCGTTGTCGCCACACAGGAGGGCTAGCGAGGCGCGGTTGCGCATCCGAATAGTCTGAGCTTCGGCCTCGGCTTTGACGCTGTCCAGGTATTCCTTGTGTACGGGATAGTCGCCACACGCAAATGCATAATCGTGCCAGACTAGCATCCCCATTTCGTCGCAGGCGTCGAAGAAGTCTTCTGTCTCGTAAATGCCGCCTCCCCAAACCCGAATCATGTTCAAATGATGGTATTTGGAGAGCCGGACCCAGTCAAAGTATCTCTCACGTGTCATCGTAGGCAATAGACTATCCCCAGGTATCCAATTGCCTCCTTGAGAGAAAATATCACGGCCATTGACGTTGAAGAGGAATGTCGTGCCTGGAGCATTGTCGAGAGGGCGTTGAATTACTTTGATAGTCCGGATGCCATATCGAATGCTTTTTGCATCGAGTTGGCTGAGGGATTCATCTAGAAGAGACACCGAAACATTGTATAAATGCTGTGCACCTTGGCCATGAGGCCACCACAGCTTGGGCTCCGGAATGGTGACTGTAGTGGAACCCTTTTTTGACTCGTCCAAAGTGATGTCAAGCTCCTTGGAAACCAATGAAAGAGCTTGATCGAGAATGCTGACTTTGGCGACCTTGGCAGGCGATCCTGCTGCTTGCACAGCAATCGTAACCGTGGAAGTTGAGTGGTCCTCTGCTAGAGCCGTCGTCATGTAGACATCTTCGAGCCTCGCGGAGTAGGTCTCCAGATGGATCGGCATATATGGTCCAGCCGTCACCAATACGGGACCCCAGTCCCAGCCCCAATGATACTATATCGTCGTCAATGGAGGGATAGGATCACGCAGAAACCTTGACGTACCTGTGCTTTCCGAATGTGGCTCCGCCTTTTGTCTCGAATCACTTGCTTTCGAGGACCAAACTTCTCCTCCAATTCACTTCCTTTCTTCAAAGCACTCTCAAAGAGTATCAAAAGCTCATTGTCATGCCCCTCGGGCCGCAGCTGACTCGTCACATCCACTCGATGCGGAATAAACATGTTGTCAGATTTGAGGATCTCTTTACCGTTCAGAGAGACAGTTGCGAATGTGTCCAGTCCCTCAAACACCAAATCCGCAATGCTGGAGCTGTCTAGGCCCTTTGGCGTTGGGAAAGAGCATGAATACTCCCAGTCCATCCCACCAACCCACTGGATTTGACGCTCATTTTCACCAATCTTCGGGTCCGGAATGATCTTCTTTGCTAGAAGTTCCATTTGGATGACCGATGGGAAAGCTGTAACCGGAGCCCAGGAACGGAGGTCTGGGAGGTCGTCTGCTTTCGATAGGCCATTCGAATTTGCCAGGCGCCATTTCCACCCCGTGGCTAACCCCTGTCGCTGTTTCGTTGCCATTTTGTGATCGTATCAAGATGAGTTGTTACGATAGACAGGCAGAGCGCGTGGTCCGTAAGGTTATAAAGCAGCCTTGTTTATGAGCTAGCATTATGCAGCCATTTGTGTCAACCGACTCGAGTCCGGCTGGACGACCCATATTCCCCTCGTGCGACCGAAATTCCGGACGCCGTGCTTCCATCTCCATCCATCTCCACCCTTCTTTCAATCTTAGATGAATGCTCTTCTTTGATTTTGAGAAGTATTTTGCGGTCCTGGATGTGCCCGTTGAGCGGGGAAGGGGTGATCGAATACTTGCCGAGGCTGCGACGCTGCTGTTGCTGATGGCAAGGAGAGACAAAATGGTAAACGGGCATATATAGTCCCGGCCCGTATCCACACGCGCGGCAGTACATATCTCCTCCAGTTGGTCAGAGAAAGGCGTCTTGGTCTCGGCAGCTAAAAGCAACATCGTACGTTCGACGTCAACAACTCCTGCTCAGCATCATCGAGGCCTGCAGGATCGCCCACGGACAGGTGGTTCCTACACCTGCGTTTCAGTTCAGTGCAGTCGAGCAAGCATCAGCGAAAGATATGATTGCTCTAGCCGGACACCTTTCCCAATTCGGTGCCGAGGGCAATGGGAGGCAACGCTGCGCCTAGTCACCCATTCGTCGTCGGCCAGATCTCTGATCAAGGCCAGCCCTTGTAGTCTGAAATAGACTCCACAAGCAAGCTCAGGAGAGTATTATGGTTTCATGTAAATGGCTTCCAGATCATTGACACAGCGGCTGAGTTGGACCATCTGGTGGTCGCTTCGGCGTGGAGCTCTGGCATCTCACCGTGGAAAGATGCACCCGGCTCTCCCAAAGGGGTGTTCCCGTTCCCAAGTCTCCTGAGACTACGGCATACCCTTGCTCGGGCTCGGCTATCCGTTGCAATTGTGTCGGATGTGAAGGCACAATATTGAAATCGTCCCTCAACGGCGGCGGATGATCAAGAGGGTGTGGCGTTGAGTTACAGTTCCAATTCGTGCCTCTTGGTTGGTTTACAGTATCATTGCCGCAACAACGTGCTGACGAACAGCCGCAGAAATGTACCGTGCTTGCTCGCGCGGTCGAAATGAACGCCAACCACCACAATCTTGCGATGACCCGTTGCCCTTCCCTTCCGGATCCCTGATAGGCGAACGGCCGGCTTCGGGCTTCTATTCTCCGTCGATGTCGGCTCGGGATATGTACCTCGTACTGGTGGAGCTTCATGTCGGAATGAAGATAACAACTTCCCTTGGGACCGGCATCCAGGGAACATAAAAAGGCGTCCAAGATAAAAATTATTCAAGACATGGCTTCAACCACAGCAAAAAAATTGTTGGAGGATACCAAGCCGCAGGTAACACGCAACCCGAGCAAATCTCCCGAATGGGAGACTCGTGGACTTGACGCCCTGCTTCCTATGGGCTGTTCCCACGGTAGACGTCAACGATACCATGACATCTTTGCTCAAGGAACATGAATGGTCCTCATCGAGCTCGGCGATATACTTTGGTCGCAAAGATGGCAGCCCTGAACTATGCCTTTCCTTGACCGATGGTCGGTGGCTAAGCTCTAGCCGTCTCATAACATGGGATCTTGAGACCTAATTTGCGATGCCACCTCGGCCCTACGTCTGATCCTGTCCGCGCAGTCAAACACAATCGATCCGAAAAGCACGCAATCCCTGTGATACAATGTTGACAGTCAACCTGATGGATTTTGGTGCATGCAGATGCAGCGAATGCAGGAAAATGGCGATGATCCCGCGCAGCGGTCGGTAGCTGTAATGCGGTGTCTTTATCTCCGATCGCCATGCGGTATGTTCTCGCAAGCACCGCCAGATGCTATCATGGATGATTTCAGCACAGACATCCTCGTCCAGGAGAATACGGTGAGCTGATCCAGTTGCAGACCACGCAACGACGCCGTGCGAACACATATCTTGGCCATGATGTAGAACGACGATAAGGGACTGGGCGCGATGGGCAAGGCGACTCAAAAATTCCATGTGAGAGAGCAAGCGTACTTCGGACACGAAACTCCACAATCTCGGTGCAATCCCAGCCTGTCAGTGGTGGACACCAAGGGTCGTATTTCCCAGGTTAAAACATGAATGGTCAGTATACCGAGCCTCAAGACGAAGAGCATTCCCCCGATCCGAGGCGCCCTCCGATGCATTCGATCACCTAGTTCAAGGATCAGGAAGAGGATACCAGTTCAGTTGTTGATCTCCAAATGTAAGATCATAATTGAACCACTCCAGGAATGGACCCGGCGCAGTGATATCCTGTCCGTCGAAATTCATCAGTTCCACCGCGCTTCCCGATCTGACGTCGGCAAGAAAATCCGTGTATTGGTCGAATTCAGGCGCGTACTGAAAGTCCTGGTTATTCCAAGATACGATGCCATCACGCAGTGCCTCGACAATACTGCCGTATCTGTCCGATGGCCTTGTATGGGGAGCCATATCCTTGAATGCACGAATAGCACCGTCCAGGCTCTGTTTCCATTCATTGATAGCGGCTTCGCCAAAAAGACTCAGTTTCTTCGCCACGGCAATGGAAATCAGGGGAATCAGGCAAGCTTGGAAAAGCGCGAAGGTCGAGTGCCAGACTGAGACTCTGTCGTGATGAAGGCCAGAACAGATCAAGTCGATAACCTCGCTGGCCGAATTCTGGCAGAGTGATACCACTTTCCAGTCTTCGTCTGTGAATGCGTTGTGTGCCATTCCGTCATCTGCCAACCGCAACAGATGTGGGCGAGATAACAGGACGCGTACACCCAAAAACCGATACAACATGGTCTCTCGACTCAGCCAGAAACGTTTTGGACATGTATTCTCGGACAAGAATCGGAAATGGTGAGATTTGCTCCAGATCTCGAGTTCGTCACTGAAGGCGAATATCTCCCGGGGCGTGATATATGACAACTGTGCCATTCGATCTCCAACCCTTTGGGCGATGATGCAGAATTCGGCAGTCACGCGCAACGCGATGCCGTGCCAGTCTCTATCCTCGGACTCATTGTGTCTCTGCCGTGAAAAACTCTCTGGCCGAGCAGAAATTGAGGAGAGCGTCGTAGAAGGCCAAGCTGTATCCATTGTGAGCGGATCCCATCTCCCAACCCGAGGGCGATGCAACAGCAGTCCTTGCCAGGCGTTGGCGGAGATCATACACCACCAAGTTCTTCGTCTGACTTCAGCCCGAGACAATGCCAACGCTTCTTCCTCCGGCGTCTGGCCGAGCTTTGTCGTTTTAGCCGGTTCACGATGTAGGCCAATTGCGATAGCCATCCGAAATGCGGTGCCCATGACCAGGAAGGCAGTATTCGGTGAATTGATGTAGTACAAATACAGGCTGCTCAGGAGAACCAGTGCCTGCAGCATTTCCAAATTTCCCGAGGTGAATATATTGTAACCAAGGACGTTACGCGCTCTTTCGTGGTAAGTAAAGTGCGACTGATCGTCTCCCGCCGCAATGGAACCTAATGCGAGGACCATACTTGAAAGCGCCTTCCACCCATCATCTGTGCGTTCTTGGCTGGCGAATTCATCACGAAAGCGACTCTCATCCACCATGGGGACTAGGGCGTGGATCTGCTCAAAATATGCGTCGACTGCTATCTGTTGTGCAGACGACAGGGAAGAGAGCGTCGAGGATTCCGGACTGACATTCTGCGCAGCTTGGGGGGTGTCTTTGCTTGCAACCCGAATTACCAGCTGTTTTGGTTTCTGGAAGGCCGCCTTTCCAAGATCCAAGAACTTTTCCTTTGCAGGAGGGCAGACGTTGAACAAGACATGCAGGAACGCACCAGTGGAGGAGATGCGCGAGTAGGAGCCTGGACGCTGGTGGACGGTAAGGCCGTTGACGACATCGCCCACCGGTGGCTCCGGACCTTCCTCGTTCTGACCCTCATTCCATTCCTCGTCGTCTGCGACGTCTTCGAGGGGTTGTGAAGCTTCTGCGACCTCACTAACCATACCGCCTTCGGCGACCGGTGAAGGAGTCTGGGTGTCCACCTCATTGCTGATCAGTCGGATGACGTTGTCTCGAGACAGGCCGGGAAGGCTGTCGAAGTCAACTGCGGGCAAGAGCTGCTTGATGATCTGATTGCGGGCATTCAGAGCCTCATTCAACTGGTCTATTGTCCTATACAGGGAGCAGTCAGACGATGCCACAGCCTCGATCCGCAAGATGCCAGAACTCACTTCCAGGAGGGGTTTGTCCGCCGTTGTCGCTTTCTGTAACTACACCTTGATTCCAGAGAATGCTTTCGGCAGTTTTGGCAGGGCAGAGTGCCGTCGCACTTGATTTTCCTTCTTGTGCATTCGACACAAGCACGATTGGTCCTTCGAGGTTCTGGGCGACTTTGCGGTCTCTGGGGGCTCGGGCCCGTTACCGAGAACGCGACATCGCCCGGGGCATCCATGACGCATTGCCCACCCTTAGTTGTCACCTGGAATTCGACTTTGATGGCTGTTCTTCATTTTGGCGATGAGGAAGGGTTGCGTTTGATGATCTGTCAGTGTAGTCTGATATCGGAGATGTTTAACTAGACTTTTGGGTGACCAAGATGTCGTGACAAACTTTGTTTCTTGCCCCTGTAGCCTCTTCTTCCTTTTGCGTGGGAGAAGCTCTCTTGGGGGATCGACCGATCTAGGGCGGCTTGGGTATTGGGGGGTGCGCCCGGCTTAGCGGACGCGCTAAAAGGGGCAGGGGTAAGACGAGGGGCGGGAGGCTGCCCCCCTTCCCCTCCCCGAAGAGAACAAATGGGCTCTCTGTGGGTGACGGAAGCACCATGCTGAGGGCAGAAGATTGGTGACATGTTTCCTTCCGGGCGAGCCTCATCAGTCCCCGCTTAGCGCCCATGATGCCCGGGTTGGCTCCTTAGGCACTGACCTCGCTACCAAATCCTTGCTCCGCACACGTACAGTTGTTGCTACCGAATCCCGACTACCCCGGACAATGCTTACCGAGGTCTGAAGCCAGCACAACCAGAGACGCCCTCCCATCATATTGGGCACGGATCTGACGAGCCAAATGCAGGAACGGCTCAGACCATGGCACCGATTACGTGATTCTTGCAGAGTGTCCAAGACACAACACAACGAGGCAGCCATGCTGGGGTCGAAGCTGAGAAAAGTTGGCAATATGGTAGGAAAGACATCCACGATGGGGAAAAGAACATCTGATTCCTAATCCAGAGCCTATCTCTATTCTATCGTCACGTCTTGCATTTTGGGATCGTCCCAACCAGGTCGTGGCTCGACTTGGGTCGTGAGACAGTTGCGTTGATGGCGTCTATACCTTTGCTTCAGACGCCTTGACGAGCAACTCGGCCGCCTTCTCCCCAATCGCATACGCCGGCATCTGCGTGTGTCCGCCATTCAGACTGGGCATGATGCTGCAATCAGCAACCATGAGCCCCTTGACGCCTTTGACCTGCAGCTTCTCATCCACCACCGCCATCTGGTCGCTGTCCTTCCCCATTCGACAGGTGCCTGCCGGATGGTGTGCCGTTGCGCTATACTGTCGTACATACGGCTCCCAGTCCTCCCTGGTAGTTTCAGGACCCAGGGCCGCATATTTCGAACCCGCCATCCACACGCCTGGGGCAACAATGTCCTTGGTGCCGGATCCGGATGTTACGATCGAATGGGCGAAACGCACGCCTTCGGCTAACATCAGCAGGTCGAGAGGGTCGGAGAGGTAGCGAGGGTCGATGACGGGCTTGTCGTGTGGGTTCGTGGAGCGAAGGCTGACCGTACCGCGGCTCTGTTGGCTGAACAGCAGTGTCATCATCTCGAAGCCGTGCTTCCCATCCAAGGGGATGGGATAGCCATGGACGTGGCCAGAGTACAGCTCGGTGTGCATATATTCGACGTGGGCTTGCTGCGGTGTCAAGTTGGCGGCGTCGCGTGTCGTTCCCGGCGTCCCGGCTGCCCGTTCCCGCCACAAGGCGGACGTGTTCAGCCTGTCATCGAGTCGCGCTAATGCGAATACACCAAAGGGGAATGTGGAAAAGAAGCCAGATCGAGAGCTCTGGTACGTTTCCAGGGAGTTTGCGGCGCCATTGGCGTGGTGGATGAAGCGGTCATTGGTCAGGTTTGGCTGCGTGACCTCGTATGGGACAAAGACGACCTTGAGAACATTAGAGAAGACATGTCTATTCAGGGAGGGAAGCATAGCTTGCCAGGTGGTCTTGGAAGTTTTTGCCCACGCCAGGAGAGTCGATTATACAGTCGACTCCAATCTGGGCGAGCTCTTCTTTCGGCCCGATTCCAGAGCGAAGTAGAATGGTCGGCGAGCAGTACGCCCCTGTTGAATACGTCAGACAATAGTGGATGTGAGTGTGAGTGCTGAGTGAAATGCCTACCTGCCGACAATATGACTTGCTTACCAGCTTTCAAGACCCTCCTCTTCCCAGAGCTGTCGACAACCTCGACGCCCGTCGCCACAGCCTCCCCTCCAACGCGCTCAAAGACGATTTTGTCGACTACGGTGTCGACGACGATATCCACCCGATCCTCATGGCCCTTCAAGTAGTCCGTACTAAAAGTTCTCACACCGTCATGTACCGTACGGGGAACATGGCCACAGGCATGTGCTGCTTCGCCCGTGGTGAACATGTCATCTATCAGTGGCAAGCCCTTGTCCTGCAAAGATTCCAAGACGTGACTGGATATTGGGGCCGTATCATGTGGTTCGACGTGCAGGGGCCCGTCCGTTCCATGGTATCCCTCTGCCGCCTTGAACCAGTCTTTGCCGTGGAACGTTTCTGCCTTCTTCATGTACCCGAACATCTCATCTCCACTCCAGCCCTCAAGCTCCCAGTCGTCATAGTCTGCCTTGCACCCGCGGATGCATAATGTCCCGTTGAAGCCGCTGCTGCCGCCCAGAAACTTGCCGCGATTGAGCTGCAGAACGCGGTTGTCGAGGTGTTCCTGTGGGACGGTCTCCAGGCCCCAGTCCAGGTCACCACCCATGGCTTGGAAGAGGCCGCCGACCATGGTGATCAGCGGATTCCCTGTCGAGTCCGGCCCAGCCTCGATGACTAGGATGGAGACATCCGAGGGGCTGGGGAACGCTTCGGCCAGCCTGCCAGCAATCACGCAACCTGAAGTGCCGCCGCCGCTGGTGGGACAGAGAGAGCATTAGTCGGCGTAGAAGGGCGAAGTGGTGGCGGATAGCAAAGATCATTCGCACCCACCAGATGATATATGTGTAGTCTTCTCTGTCATTCTCAAGGCTCCGAAAGGGAGACATTATAGGTTCCGTCGTTGCGACTGGCACCCCCTGGTGGTGATTGCTTATTCTTGACGGGTTCAATCGCGATAGATAAAATAGAGGTTTCACTAAACTCTCCGCCAGCCAGCAGTTCGCGACAGCAAACCAACCTTACAACCTATTCTTGAACGGCGGCTGACTCGAGGTTGGCCTTTGGAGTTGGGGTGAACAAGAATCAAACATCATGTTGAAGCGAGAACAAGTCCTTTATCAAGAGGGGACCGAGGTCGGGTTCAGACGCACTAAGCCGCCTCGAGAAAGATATGGGACAGCTGTATTTCGTAACAACATCTTTCGCAACATGTCCTCTCATAAACGTCCTCGTCGTCCACAGGAATTCTGGTCTCATCCAAGGTCACACAAGTGAGTCTAGACCTCAAGCCGATCGTCAGCGTTTGAGGTGATCGGGTTCTTGCTTCTGCCCGTCGCTATGAGCACGTCTCGGGCCGCCCCGCACTTCGCGGGCACCATAACTTCTTGATTGGCACCAGGAATCCAGCTCACCAGAAAATCGTGGAGGTGCCGCATAACGACCACTGTGGTTAGATTTGTGCATGAGCTCAGACGAAACATCGCTGCCAGGACCCTCCCCTTCTTGCAAAGGCCAGACTATCCACAAAATTGACGACTGAGCAGCGACCGAGGCCATCCCCCCCGCAGGAGGAGAGCGGCTGAACACGATCGTTCACGATGACACGAACCCACTCCTCCGAGCTGCCGTGACACTGCATTTTCTCGATGTATGCTCTGGCAGCAAACGGCACAGTCCATGCTGCGCTGTATCCGCCCGCTGCACCGGCCTCCACAACCGTCGTGTTGGGCAATGGTTGCGTGTCGCTGTACAGGCCTAGTGCCGAAAAGATGGCCGTCATATCGTTATCGTGGCTGAAATCAGCATACAGCTTCCGGCCTAAGGGGAACGTGGCTGGATCATCATCCAGAGTATGGTTTGTCGATGTGTGGTCTTGGACAGAGGTGTTGGTCAGGCGCGCAATAAGCTCGTTGACGAAGCCCACGCCCTGTGTCGGGCCCAGAGGATTGCCGTACGAATATCCGTAGTATTTGCCCAGTGTCTGATAGTAGGCGTAACTGTGCCATTCAGGTTCGGTGAAGAGGGCACAGAAGGGTGAAACGATGCCGGCATCGTTGGCAACTGTGCTGAAAGGGCAGAGATCCATCATGTCCACCGTCTGGTCCACACTGAGATTTGCGCCGGGCAGGTCAGCGTTGAGGCGGGTTTGAATCGGAGGGATGAAGATCTCCGCCCAAGCTTTCCGGGCAGCTTCACCGATCACGCTGTCTGTGCCGTTTTCGAAGTCGGTGCAGAGGGCATGGTTCAGCGTGTTGTTGAAACCATTGCCCTCATACTGCAGGATAACCGGATACGGATATCCTGAGTCGACATCCGCAGACTTGTCAGCTGTTCTGGATGCATGGAAGCCCTGTGTAAAATTGAGGGCAGACTCTAGCACTCGGTTCTCGCTCGAGGAACGGACGAAGGGTTCGAATGATTTTGCCAGTGAGCGATACCGGCTATAGAATTTGGTGCCCGAATTAACCATCTGCTGCTGGCCGAAAGTCGTCAGTTGATCCGCGCCCAGGGTATACGAATAATTGGCGAGGAACGAATATGGTCCAGTGAATGTTTTTACGTTTGTCTGCACCTGTTTGATGGTGTCATTGTATAACTCGGTCTTTGATGCAGTCGGGTCTCGGGCTCCATGGCGGGACAAGATCTGAACGAAGGTGACTTCACAGCCATCAGGGATTTCTGTCGAGATGTCCGAGGGCACCGAGAAGAATGACGAGTACTGGCCCCAGTAGTGTGAGATCGCTGGTTCACATTGAAAACCCGCGGCGCCAGTGTCGCATGAATCTGATAAAGGAGTCGACGACCTTGCTCCTCGGGCTCCGCTATTTGTGTGGGCATGAGTATGTGGGCAGGCAGATGGAAGACTGATTGTGGCCGGGACATCGGCAGCTTACCTCAGGCCTAAGAACACAATAATAGTCGCCAGAGGGATCAGGATCATCATGACGAAGATGGGACCTCGACGAATCCTTCGAGACGAGTGTCTTCGACCAAAGCCATCGTAGCGGAGGGAGGGGAGGCCATACACCTCCTTTTCAGAGCCCATACGAGGTAGACTTTCCATGACGCTAGCAGATCATAGTTCTTTCTGTGCTTGTAGGCCTGAACGAGCTAGAGAAGATATAGTGATGGAAATGGTGGTGCGGATGGAGATCCGATGGTGCATCACGGTTAGGAGCCGCGTGTGGGAATGACGCGTAGAGGAGGAATAGACATGCTCGGTGCTAGCAGCGACTATTCAGGCAGGAGAGTCAATGTTTCAGAAGAAAAGGATAGAATGGAAGCCGGACTATCGGGAGAACGAACAGCAAAAGCAAAAGCAAAAGCGAAGGCAACAAGAACACAAGAAGATGGTGAAACGGATCAACACTTTTCGACAGACGTGGCTTTGTGTTGCAGACTCGGTGTTGGTGGTTGAGAGAGCCTCACTAGCCTCACTAGCCTAGACTCTCCATCACTAGCCCAACAACCACCCTGTGTGCTAACTAGGCTCAGCAACCAGCTGCCTGCAGCGAAAGTCACCATATAGTGTATACAAACACCACATTTCCCCCTGACGCCGCCCTTGTCGTCTTTCCTCCTCTTTTCATCTACCCTCTCTCTATATTATATATATGTACTCTATGCTTGATGGGTCTATCTAATCAAGCAAACGAGGAGGATTCAAGCTCAGGCTCCTTCAAACCCACACGCCCTCGGAGTGCTCGCGTCATCTCACCGCGGATGCCGCCATCATACAAAAATCCATAAACGCCCACGCCAACCGTCTCTTTTCCTTCCCTTCCCTCCCCCAGCTTGCAAATTTCGTGTCGAATCTCCCCCGAGTGCCACTGCGGGCGTCGTTTTGTCGGTGTTCAGAGCTAACTAGGTAGAGGGTGGTGATATACCACCTTCTTGGTGCCTTTTCGCTCCGTTGATCCCACCACCTCCTGGCGAACTGGAGAAACTCAGCAGACCATTCTGCAGCCGTCGAGCAACAACTGCGACAGACCATGACCTTGCCATCATCCACAGTCCACGCCTTGGCTATCTTTCCATGGAGCTTTCGAAATGTCGCGCAGGGGTTGCCTCTTTGCTGAAGGCCGACTAGGCACGGTCTCAAAATCCTAAGGGTCGGACGATCACGGTTATGTCGTACAAACCTGACGGCATCAGACAGCGTGACGAAGCTGTTGGTTACGGTAATACGGTGACCGATTCTTAATCATCTTTCAACCGCCCGTGTCGATGGTACGTTAACATTTGATCGTCCAACTCCATCCAACTTTGTACACGCGGGCGGCATACATCAAGCAAGCGCCCACTCCGGTAAGTACTCCGAGGCATATCTGTGCCACCAGATACCCGCCTCGTCCGCCTCCGTTCGTCGACAACAGCGCCCCTCCGATGGGAGGTCCGGCAAGCCCGGCAAAACTGAAGATGGAGAAAGCCATTCCCATCCTGACCCCATTCTTACTCAAATCGTTGTTCAAACTTGTCACCGTGGTTGGAAAGAGACACTGAAAGGCTCCTGCTGAAAATCCATAGAACGTGGCAAACGCGTACATGCCTGTCTCCGACTTGACTGCAATCCAGGTAAAGGCGAAAAGCGCGTTGATGAAAAGGAGCGGCACCATGGCGTTCAACGGACCCATGAACCGATCTGCAATGAAGCCCGTGATCAGTCGAACGGGTACGGCTGCTCCGTTGAAGATGATGAGCAGGGTGAGTGAATCTTTGTAACTCATGTCCAAGACCGTCCGGCCAAAGGAGGCGATGTAATAGTACGAGAAGAACAGCCCCCCGAAGACGAACGACATGCCCACTAGAACACAGACGTACGGCACTTCTCGGAAGGCACCCCATTCGACAATCGGTCCGGATTTTCGAGGAGGCAATCTCGGCCGCATGCATGCCAGCGCCAACGAAAGCAACCCCAGATTCATGAAGCCGAGCACGCGCACCGTCCATGCATATCCAATTTTGGGAAGAAGCTGACGCACAATCACGGGATACACGGCACCACCCACCGAGTTGCCGGTCGATACGATGGCGACAGCAACGCCGCGATTCCTCCTGAAATATGTCGTCACGAGTCCTATGGTTGGGCAGAAGAAGATCCCACTCCCCAGGCCGGTACAGAGGCCCTGGGCCAGCACAAGCTGCCAGAAGTTCTTGCACAGACTCGTCATAAAGATGCCGATAACTTGCACGATCGATCCGATAAGCAACGTCGGGATGAATAACCCGGCATCCAGCGCCCGGCCGGAGAAGGCGCTCACGAAGAAGACGATCCACAGCTGAACGGAGCCGACCCAAGAGATGGTTGACTGAGATCCACCCAGCGTGTCGGTGTAGTAAGTCTGAAAGACACCAAACGAGTTGATGTACCCCCTGAGAAAACCATGAGCACTCTGTTCGCCGCAAGGCTCCGACTTTTTTCCTCTGAGACTGTTCCGAGTGCCACATACCAGGTACAAAAGCAGACAATCCACCCCATCGCAACTTGGGTCCATGCTTTGAGGCCTCCATCTGGCGGGGGCCCGGGATCGACGATATCTCGCGTGCTGAGGTGTGAGGTGATCCTGCTCAGGGCATTGCTGGCGACTTGTTTGAGTTCCGGAAACGACGTCTGTTCAAAAGTCTTTTCACCGTCGGGACGGTTCTCTATGACGTCTTTCTCGTACTCCGAGATATTCTGGCTCGACATGATGGTTGGGGTCTTGGTCTCACAAGCATCGGATCTGGCGGTCGGCGTATGAAAAAGATTTTGCTGCTGCTCCTGGGATCTCTACCGGGAATCTGAGAAGGATAAGGAAATTGGGCAAGGAGAGGACGAAAGAAAGCCATTATTGCTGCATGCCGACGGTATCTCCAAAGGGCGCCTGCATCAAAGGTCCGTCGACTTTGCTCCTGAAGCGGTGGGTTTTGGGGTAACTCAATCCTCGACCAGTGCCGAATAGCCGACTCCATCGCCCAAAAAACGTGTCAGAAACGGCGAAAACCGATGTAATGCAGGGGAACGGCCGGCACCGCGGCCCGCACAGTTCGCCCGGAACCCACGACGGTACACCCACGTATCACAGATGTAATGACGAGGGTTGCGCCGCACAGAGCGCCGAGCGTGCCAGATCTATCGCCTGTGAGAACTCCGATATTCGCTCCTTTGAGACTCTTGAGATCTTGAAGGCCCGCGCTGGCGTCGTGCGCGACCCAAACACGGGCTAGCTGGCAAGCCCCGTCTGCATCATGTCGAACGCTGTGTCAACAATCTTGTCAGCACCAGCGCTGCAAGAGTCGGTCAGTCAAACGTGGCCACACGGCCAGATTTTCCGATCCTGCTGATTTTGTAGGGTCTAGCTGTACACAGGGTCAATTCCTCTGGTCTTCCGACACTCGGACGACCAGGGAGGGAGATGCAGCCAGATGTTCAACGTCACGACAACGCGGGAAGGAATGGATATTGGCAATGATACCGTCAAAGTCAAGCATCATTTAGTGTCACTGGGTAGTTAGCGGCATCGCGGCCGAATGATCCGCGGCGTAAGACTTTATTTCCGTCCATACATGCACTTGCTCTTTTTTATGACGACCAACCTTTGGACATCTGCACTGCCTTTTCCCACCGCTCAAACATCTCCTTACTCTTGGCTTCGTGCAACCGTGGTTTGAAGACGGTGCTCCCCTCGACGTTGATGTCTTTCAACTCCTCAATGCTGTCCCACACTCCGACAGCCAGCCCGGCGGCAATAGCGGCTCCCAGGGCTGTAGTCTCCCGCATTTGTGGCCGCCGCACAGGAATCTGGATCAGGTCCGCTTGTGTCTGGACGAAATGTTAGCAACCCATCCGCAGGTTCGTAGATGCAAGTCCGCAACCGCGGTGACATACCTGCATGGTCAGATCGGAGTTGCTCATGCCACCGTCGACGGCGAGCTCAGCCAGTTTAGCACCCGAGTCCTTCTCCATGGCGTCAAGAATGGCCTTCGTTTGGAAGCATGTTGCCTCGAGAGTGGCCCGTGCGATGTGTCCGCGTTGCGTGTAGGCAGTTATGCCGTCTGGACAGGAGAAGGATAAGGATCAGCCATCGATACCGACGAGAAGCAGCGAGCAAGACCACTTACAGATCGTTCCCCTCGCGTCATCGATCCAATATGGAGCAAACAAGCCGCTGAAGGCGGTGACGAAGACGCAGCCCCCATTGTCTTCGACCGTGGCAGCCAACTGACTTATCTTGCTGGAGGACTCGACAAAGCCAAAATTGTCCACCAGGAACTTGACGCTGGATCCGGCGACGGCGATGCTGCCTTCGAGTGCATACATCCGCCGTCCCTCGCCAAAGTCGTAGGCCACCGTGCCGAGAAGCCCGTGGGTGGAGAAGACCGGCTTTTCACCGACATTGTACAGCAGGAAACAACCCGTGCCATAAGTATTTTTGGCCAATCCCGGGGTAAATCCCTTTTGGCCGACAAGGGCGGCTGACTGATCGCCCAGACAGCCCGTAATGGGGGTGCCCTTGAGCACACTCACCTCCAGACGCCCATACGCCTCGGGATCTGACGACCGGGTGATCTTGGGGAGGTGGATCTTGCTCTGGTCCAGTCGGAAGAAATCAATGAGTGACTCGTCGTAGTCCAGCGTTTTGAGGTTCATGAACATGGTTCGCGAGGCATTCGTTGGGTCAGAAACGAACACATTCTTCTTGGGCCCCCCGTTAAGCTTGTAGACCAGCCACGCGTCGATGGTGCCGAAGGCGAGGATGCCCTTGTCATAGGCCTCCTTCACCTTGGGCTCGTTGTCGAGGAGCCAGAGCAACTTGCCCACAGAAGGGTAGGTCGACAGTGGTAGGCCGCAAAGCTGCTGAAGTTGATCTGATCCCAATCGCTGCTTGAGCTTACGGACCAGGGCCTGCGTACGAGTATCGGTCCATACTATTGCGTTGTACAATGGCTCGCCCGTCTCGTGGTTCCATACGACCTAGAATTTCCGAGCAGAAGAAGCGAGTCAACGCTAGCCACGGGAAACGATTGGCTCGCAGCCGAGTCGACGACTGGATGAGGGGGTGTGGCAAGGTGGGAGGGATGGAAAGGATTCGCCTTACCGTTGTCTCACGCTGGTTTGTGATGCCCACAGCTTTGATATTAGCACTTGCGTGGCCTTGGGTCTCGAGGTCCTTGACAGCACCGTCGATACATTGCTCCACCGACGAAATGATTTCGAGTGGATCGTGCTCATGCCATCTACAGAGAGTGTAATTAGAAACATCACGCCCGCCATCTGTCTCATGTCTGGGAAGACCTGTGACTTACCCTGGATGCGGATAGATCTGCTTGAACTCGATCTGATGCGATGCAATCACCTCGCCGTGTCGGTTGAAGATCAGAAACCGGGTGCTTGTGGTTCCCTGGTCGATCGAGCCCACGAACGTCTCGTGCGAAGATTTGTTGGTGGTGGTGTCGCCCATTTTGGTTCTGATTGTGGCCAACATCCAATCACGCCCCGACTGCAAGAGATTTGCGACTTTGAATTAATTGGACTCGGGGTTATTAGCTGTAATGGAAGATAGGAAAGGGAGGAGAGAGCTCGGTAATTCCCTGTTGTCCTTTCCCTATGATGGAGCTTCAAAAGGGGATCAGTCAGTTTGTGTCGACGAAGCTATCTCGATATCTGCTGATGCGCGCTTTGACTTTCTGTGGCTCAACCTTCTCGAAGTTAGGGCTCGGTGTGTCAGACCCCGAGATGCAGTGCCACTCAATTTGGTGGTCTGGGTGTGGAATCCGGGGTTTTCGGGCGGAGACGGTGGCTGGGATAGTTGATGTGTCCAGGATTAATTTCTCCAAAGGCGGGCCAAGCATGCAAGAGCACGGTTAGATTGTCGTGCTCAATTCAATGAGCGAAATGCCGATCCAGGTTCGAGGCGCAACGATATAAGGCCCTAGCACTGTCTAGGTTGGAGAAAACGGCCACCGCGGGAGGAGCAAGACGGGCATCGATCCCGTGCACTACGAGCCGGCTAATGCACGTCAGGCCAACCATCTGCCTGGACACAACTGTGATGGAACAACAGGAGAGGGGAATTGACCAGGCAGCTGTAGTTTTTGGCCCAGCATCACGAGTGCAACGTCGGTTGGGTAGCGTCAACCAGGCCCAATGCCACTCGTCCGGAGCTCCAAGAAGATTCTCATCCAGGCGGCATATCTCGGCAGCTGTGCGGAGGCTGAGCTGAGCAGAGCAACAGCAGAAGCGTATAAAGGATACGAAGCAATGACACAAAGCGTCCACAAGACACGGTGGCGTTCCTCGGCGTGGACGGACCACTGGCTGGAACAAGGATTCGTGGCAATCAGGCCCCTCGTCTTGTCTTGGGCCTGTACAGCCTGTACAGTGCATTTCTGCGGGGTAGCGTGAGAGATATGAAAGAGCGCGCTCTGTTGCCGCTTCTTGCGATCTTCTCTCGGGGGATTTTGTACAGCCGACATCACGCATCTGTTGCTGTGTATTCCTTCCCTCGACAGCCGGCCAGACTCCTGGCGACCACTAGACAGGATATGACTATTTTAAAACCCATGAGGATGGCAGACGTGTTGACATGCAGAGCCAGTCGTGGGTTGGTGTCTCAGGCAGAGAGATCTAGATCTACCGACCCTAGGTATGGTACTTGGACCAAAGGAGTCTACCCCGGCAGTGGCGTGTTGTCCTGGAGAAAAGGGAGTTAGGGAGTATGGGTAGAAGCTCAGGTACGATAGGCGGTCAAATAGGACATGTCAAGTAGGTAAAGGGTGGCTGCTGGTGCTGCTGCTGATGGTGGACTGAGTTGGCGATGATTAATCATAAGCAAGGCCTTTGTACGGCGTCCCAGGCGTGGGCGAGGGCAAGTAATTCCCAAAGGGGAGCATCGTACGAGTACGAGGAGGGGGGCTGGGGATGAGAGAGAGGCGACTAAGGTCTCGAGTAATGATGCAGTATGGAGTAGTAAGAGGAGGAGGAGGAGGAAGAGAGAGAGAGAGAGAGAGAGAGACACACACACAATGTCAGCCTCGGTCAGATCTGGGCCGAGTTTCTCGTTGGTCCATTTTATTGCCTCGCCGTCCGCACACAATTCACTCCCTGTACAGCATGTACAACTCTGGAGAGTACCTTACGAGATAATAACCATCCGGTCACCAGTCTATTTGTGCCCGTACGAACCTCAGGTATGACGAATGCCGGAACAACAGCTCGCAAGCTATCTCGATCCCTGGTCCCTTGTCTAGCTTCGCCCTCCTCCCTTGCCACGCCATCCGCGAGGCTCCCCAGACTCTCCAGATTCCCACTCTGTTGCTGACCTCCAGTGCAAACCTCGCCTTCGGGCTTCGTGCACCCGAGATCCATCACCTGGTGGTGACCATTCGTGCGTGATACATGCATTCTTTGTACCTCATCACCTCCACCCAAGCTGGTTCCGCCCGGCATGCAACCTCGCCTCTCAACGGCAACAAAAAAAATGGTCTCTCCAATCCTCCCCCCTCCCCCCTTCATGACTGGTTGGTACCCGCCCGCCTCCGAGCTTGGACTTGGCTCCTTCTTTTTGCACGATGCGGTTCTCACCCCGGTTCGTGACCAACCTGCTGGGGCCCCAAGGGAAAGCGAACCAAAAAAACTTGATAAGACTCGGGGCTGCCTCGCTCTGTGAAGCTGACCCTAAATGGCTCCTTCTGACCACATCCAATCCCCCTCGCTCTCTCTTCCTGTGAACTCGTCCAAAGCCAAGGACGCTGGCATCATGGCCCTCGAGAAGGAATCCCTCTCCTCTACTCCTCCCGCCACCCACAATGAGCATGGCATATTCCACCATCCCCACGAATATCGCCATACCACGGTCGACGGCCAGCCGGCCTATGCCGAACACGGTCCTCTGGTTGATCATAAAATCCCCCAGGAGGAAGTGGTCCAATCTGAGCCGGATCTGGCCTGGAGCAGGTTCCGGCACTTTATGCGGGAGCCGCTCGCCGAGTTCTTTGGCGTCTTTATCCTCATTCTATTTGGGGACGGTGTCGTAGCTCAAGTCGTTCTCAGTGGCGGGACCAAAGGCGACTACCAGTCGATCTCCTGGGGCTGGGGGTGAGTGACGAATTCCCGTTTTCGAGCCCCCCAATGGCTAATTCTCCGCCAGATTGGGCGTTATGTTGGGAGTGTACACTGCTGGCATCTCTGGAGCCCATTTAAATCCCGCAGTCACGTTCGCAAACTGCGTGTATCGCAAGTTTCCCTGGCGAAAATTCCCGGTCTACATGGTAGCTCAGACGTTGGGGGCTCTGTGCGCCTCGGGCGTGGTGTACGCCAACTACAAATCGGCCATCGACGTTTTTGAAGGCGGTGCCCACATTCGAACGGTCCCGGGCTATTCGGACACTGCCACCGCGGGCATCTTCTGCACCTACCCGGCGCCGTTTATGACCAAGACTGGACAGTTCTTCTCCGAATTCATCGCCAGTTCGATCCTCATGTTCTTGATCTATGCTCTCAAGGACGACGGCAATCTGGGAGCCGGCAATCTGACGCCCTTGGGGCTCTTCTTCATCATCTTTGGCATCGGTGCTTGCTTGTAAGTTGTGCGGGATGCGATTGAGACGGCAACAAAACTAACGCTCCCCACCAACAGCGGCTGGGAAACCGGCTATGCGATCAACCTGGCTCGAGACTTTGGCCCGAGATTGATGTCGTATATGCTTGGGTACGGGCCCCATGTGTGGCATGCTGGCAATTATTACTTCTGGGTAAGATCGACCACCGCACCACCACATGTGCTCTGGGCTCTCTGCTGACCGTTGCCACAGGTACCTATGGTTGCGCCTTTCTTCGGCTGCACATTCGGTGGCTGGCTCTACGATATGTTCCTCTTCACCGGCGAATCACCAGTCAACACGCCGTATGTGGGATTGGCCAGATTTCTCCAGCCGAATCGGGCGACATGGTCCAACACCTATGTCCCAGGAGAAGGCTCGAAGGTGTAACCAATCTCCCCCAGGTGAACGGGCTATCGACTTCGGCATGGATCATATGGACTGGCACAAAGTAACTCACCTGGCTCACGCCCAGAGAGACCGCAGGGGAAACGTGAGACGGCCCAAGTGGATGGCCGGATGTCAATAAAGGCAAGAGGCAGGCAGACAAAACAAGACCCATACTCCAGAGATGTATTTCTAGGTGTTTGATGACGTGGACGAAGGTATATGAAAACAAATTAATCAATGTCTGGTGTATACTTCGTGATCTTCATGGGCCTCGACACAACTATTGGGGCCCTTGACCCGGGGCTGGTCGCGTCTCTCTTTCCCTTTCGGGACTAGCGCTGGAATTTCCCAATTTCCTACCAAACTCTATTCGAGCTCCAGCTTCTTCTCAATTTTCCATCTCCCAAACAGACCTTCTCACGACCCTCCTCCCATCCTCGTGTCGGACGAAGCCGGCCTCGAAGACGCGAGCCAGATTGCATTGATGACAAAGTTCAGCAACCCCAGCTGCCGGCTGGTCTCGCCCCCGGCGCGAGATGTCCCTCATGACACCGCGAGTACGTCTCTGGCTAGTTGCTGAGCCACGCTGAGAGATAAGCACCCCAATGGACGCGTTGTGTTTCCCCGGCTGAAATATTCTGGGACGGAGGAACCCTCTGATAAGAAAGACATGGGCCAAGAGATGCTGAATCTGTAACTCCTGTTGTCGGCGAGATGGCCTCGGCCCACAATCTTCACGCAGAGGAGAGCGACGTGCTCGTTGAGCCACTTTCGGCGCGGATTATGACCTGAGACATCCTGCCTCAACTCAGTCACAGTCTACGCTACAAGCGTGTTTTGTGCCTGGCCACCGATTGCGAGGCCAATCTGCCATTGGACACATGGCGAACCTGGCGCGATCGTGCTCGGGTTGTTATTGCGAGTCTGGCCTCGCTTGATGACCTTAGCGTCGATCCCCCGACCTCTCGCCAATCTACAAGGTTTGCGCCTGGCAGGACTCCCAGCCTCCAATGGCACCGCAGCTAGAACGGCCCTCAGGCTGAGCAGGAACCAACCGCGTCGTTGCCATGGCATTTCCCCCTCCACTTCTATACCTGTTCTCTGCTCTTGTTGGTTGATCTGGTCTGTCCATGTGCTTGGCCCACCCCTGTAAGGCCGGCGGCGTGTCAACAAAAGCCTCCCCCAGCACGCCGATTTCTTCTCCTCACTTGCCTGCGCTTCGTCAATCTTCACCAGCCTCTCTGGTTATACCGCTCGTCTCGAAGATGGAAGCACCATTATATAATGGCGCTGCTTTTTGGTTTCACAATGGCATTCCTCATTCCATTCTTCCAAGAAGAAAATACTCGTTTTCGCGTCTCCCACACGAAATCGACATTGCGAAATGCACGTCTCAGTCACTACTCTCGCCATCCTGGCTTCGGCTGCCTCGGCGGCCTACGTTCTAGAAGATGACTATTCTGCCTCAGCCTTTGCAAGCATGTTTGATTTCTTTACGGTATGGTACTCTTACGCCCATTCGCACACCAGCGGAGACTAACTTTTGGCAAAGGACAATGATCCGACAAACGGCTATGTAAACTACATTTCCTACGATGAAGCAGAGAGCTCTGGCCTCTACAAAATCGACAACGGAACCGTCTACATGGGCGTCGATTCCACCAACGTTGCCTCTGGCCGGGGTCGCGACAGCCTGCGACTGAGCACCAAGAAATCGTACAACCACGGCCTCATTATCCTCGATCTTGCACACATGCCCGCCGGCGCGTGTGGCACATGGCCCGCGTTTTGGATGCTGGGCCCGAACTGGCCGAACAATGGAGAGGTTGACATCATCGAAGGAGTCAACAGTCAACCTTCGAACAACATGGCCATGCACACGAATGCAGGATGCACGATAACAAGCACTGGCGCTTTCTCTGGCACGCTCGAGACCGATGACTGCGATACCACTGCTCCTGATCAGCCCAGCAACGCCGGTTGTTCCATGCGCAGTCAAGACACAACCAGCTTCGGCAACGGCTTCAACTCGAACGGCGGTGGCGTCTACGCGACCGAATGGACGAGCGAAGAGATCAGCATCTGGTTCTTCCCCAGGAATGCCATCCCCGCCGACATCTCGAGCGGCAACCCGGATCCATCAAACTGGGGTCTTCCGCAAGGACAATTCACTGGTGGTTGCGACATTGACGAGAAGGTCAAGGATCAACAGTTGGTCTTTGACGTTACCTTCTGCGGCGACTGGGCGGGTCAGGTCTGGTCCACCGACGCCACTTGCTCGCCCTTAGCATCCACCTGCCAGGACTTCGTGCAAAACAACCCTTCAGCGTTTCAGGATATGTACTGGCTCATCAACAGCTTGCGAGTATATTCCGAAAACGGCGCAGCCCCAACGTCCACATCGACTACCACCGCTACAGCTACGTCAGCCACTCCCACTGGATCTGCAACAACTTTCTTCACCTTCACTTCCTCCAGCGTGACAGCGGTTTCGACACAAAGCGTGGCAGCGACCAGCGCTCCGGCCGAGACTAGTCCAAGCTTTACCCCTGCGGCTACCCAGACTGCTCTGCCAACCACTTTCACCACCGCCGCTCCGTGGCCTTCATCATCAGCCTGGAACGGCGCGCCTTGGAATACCGCCGCCCCCGGTAACGGTGGATGGAACAATGGAAACTGGGGATCAAACGGTGGCGGGTCCAACAACTGGGGCGACTGGAGCAACGGAAACAACGCCGCCGGCCGGGGAAACCGCGGCGGCAACCCCTGGAGGGGATGATCTGCATCTCGCGATGCCACATCTCCTCGACGATACACGAATTTTTATTACGAAGCAATATTTGACACCTCGAAAAGAAAGTGGGTTACACAGCACCACGATTACGACGCAACGACCACAGCACACGACGAGAACATTGTACAAAAGGAGAGGGACTAAGCTCCCTGATATAGAAACAGCATTGGGATGGGAAAAGGAAAAATGGGGGCAAAAGCATGCGAGAGCAACATTATGACCGGGAATTAGAGAGGATTGACAGAACGACATCGGGACAACATTGAGATACCCCAGTTTGGAAGACGCCCAGAAGCGAATGGGAACCTATCTGTGTTCTTATCATCTGCGAAGGAGTTTGGAGGCACCCTGGAATATCAATATACGTGCATATACACACCCCGGCAGGGTGGATGTGTTATTTATGAGACTGGGACTTTTATTATATACTTGAAGCGCTTGAGCATAGTTCAGCGAGGCTAGACGGCGACGTCACAGAGTTGGTTACTCATACACGCATGAGACTCTCTCTATACATACATACATACTTATGATATTGATTGTCATCTACCAACTTCTTCCTCTTCCTCTTCCTCTTCCTCTTCCTCTTCCTTTTCCTCTTCCTCTTCCTCTTCCTCTTCCTCTTCCTCTTCCTCTTCCTCCTCCTCTTCCTCTTCCTCTTCCTCTTCCTCTTCCTCTTCCTCTTCCTCTTCCTCTTCCTCTTACTCTTCCTCTTACTCTTCCTCTTACTCTTCCTCTTACTCTTCCTCTCCCACCGTTCCGCTCATGCCAGCGGCACCAACCTCCGGGCATCATCAGCAAGCTCCACTCCACACTCTAACTACACCGAAATGTCCACTGCCACGCACGACTTAGTTCGAGGTCATACGTATTGTAAAGTGAGATTCTTTATTAGCGTTCTTAATTAATTTTAAAGCCATATATTTATAACCTGACTGAATTAATAAGCAATTTTGCTGCTCCTATAATGCTCAAAAGCATATAAAGGTATGTTCCCTCAGAAGGTGGGCGGGATGGCGGTTCAGGAAGCGAGTTCCATAATCAAAACTCTACCGGACCTATACCCCAATGCCACAACATTCTTGTGAACAGCGACAATATCAGTCCGATACTCGAAAGGCAGCCAAAGAATATTATCCTCATCCCGACGTATCCATCGCTCTCTAACAAACATAAGTGGGGGACTATATCCAATAACATCCATACTACCAGACAGGTGTGTAGTATGTAGGGATCCCCTATTAGTCCGTAAGAATGTACCGTCATCGGAGAACGAAAGGGTGCGGATGACAGCGTCAACCTCGAGCGTCTGCTTCACCTCGCCCGAGCTGGTGTCCCAGACCCTGACCGTCCGGTCGCTCGCGCTCGACGCCAGTAGCTTACCGTCCGGCGAGAAGGCTACGGCCCTAACCCCACTCGAGTGGCCCTCGAGCGTCTGCTTTACCTCGCCCGAGCTGGTGTCCCAGACCCTGACCGTCCAGTCGCTCGCGCCCGACGCCAGTAGCTTACCGTCCGGCGAGAAGGCTACGGCCCTGACCCCACTCGAGTGGCCCTTGAGCGTCTGCTTTACCTCGCCCGAGCTGGTG